ACCTATTCGAAGGGCATTATCGGCGCTCTCAGATACAAACGCCAAATCCTTTTCCCTATACACTGTCTTGCCATCGACAGCGAGTCTTATCTTCCCATCTGCTTTTCCCGGTTGATTGAATCTGAGTGTTTGGCGGATCTTCATCCATTCACCGGTTTTATATACCCAAGATCCTCGTCCAAGACTGTAACCGTACGTTGCGTCGCAATATACTCCCTCATCTTGGCATAAATCAGCTCGCTGTAGATCTTCAGGAATATAAGCGTAGAGTTCACCAGCGCCTTCGGCGCGCCACATAGTTCTAATATAATTGTTGAGTTTTATAGTGGGTAAGCGCGGCTTATTACTCTGCACGTATTCTGTTACTGCCGACGTAATTTATCTTTCATGTTACACTTTTTGTTCTACCTTGTTGAGAAACATATATCGGTATGAATACCTCCAGAGCATATCTCTACGGGGCGACCGCCATAAAGACCTGGTAGTTTACCGCCTAAATAGATATCATATCGTTTTTGTTGAAAGTCATCAACAAAGAATTTCTATTAGCAACAACTTTAAAAGTATGAATTTACCTTAGTTGTCGTTAATAGCAGCTTGCTTAGAAATTCATCTACCTCGAACAAAATCAAAGCCCTCCGAAAAGTAAACTTGATACTCAAAAATAGCAGATTTAGCCTGTTGGCGCTGAACGATAGGCTCTGCATAAAATCCAATGCCGCCCTGAGGTCCCAATACACCTTTAGGGTTGATGCTTCCCTCTGGATATGTGATTTCCAGTACTTTTTCGCCCGTATTGGCTGGATCGTCAACGATGCGACGGTTGTTATAGGCTGTACCACGACCTGTTGGCCAGATCCAGCCTTCCGTTGAATTAACTGGGATACCCCACGCTTTACACCATTCTGCATTCTCGTCCGACGTATCGTTCACATAATTGTCCCAGTTTTTAAACGTCCAACTTTGTTTCACCGTGTAAGCACTAGCAAAGACATAATACTGTGCGGCAAGAAGAGCAAAGATTAGAAGCAAAAGAAGATGGGTTAAACGTGGCATATATGGTTGGGAAGTGCTGAAACGGTGTGAGAGTGAAAAGAAGAGAAAAAATTTAAGATACTGAGCTGTGCTACTTTTATAATAATTAGCTCCCGCAAACTGGTTAAACTTACATGCACATTTGGGGCACAAAGCCCCCAAATAAATCAATCCCAATTCATACAAGAAAAAAAGCTTACATGCACGGCTTTTACCCCTTGATAATTATCCGGAGCGCTCCAATTAAATCCCTGAGGCGTTTTAAATGTGAGTCTCGAAACTTTGCTGCCACCGGTGATAGTTAATACTAAAGATCTACATGAAGAACAATTGGTAGCGCTGAAGGCTTCTGGGCTTTTCATTGGCTGGAATAGTTGTTGATAATATACAATTCAAGGTACAGCACTCTATATGAGGATTTTTATAAATCTTATTTATCGTAAAAACTGTTGAGAATATCAACGAGTCATCATTATCGCTCAAATAATGTATTCTGGTCCGTTGGGAACGATTGCGCACAATGACACTGCATAAACATACAAAAGAGGGATTCGCAAAGGGGGTAAATTAATAATCTCTTTTTTATTTTCCGTCAATAGTGACTGGAATTATGTCTGTAAGTTTTATACAAGAATTTCAACATATGTGAGCTTCTCTAATACACAGATTCGATGTCAACACATTATCATACACGGATGAAGGGATTATAGAGCTGCTACTGATAATACTTGTAAGTAACTTGCGTTATGGCGATATGGATCTTCGGGTATAAGTCACAAATAACAGCTGTAGATGTTGTGTGTATTATTATGTATTATTATCATTAATGTGCATCTTGTGCATTGTGAGTACGCTAATGACACATTTTTTATGCTGTAAAATGTGTAGAAAAAACCAAACGCCAGGTGATCTAATCAAGGAGCAAATAGTAGTGAATTAGTTGAGCCCAGGACCTTTAGACCGTACTATCTACTTCGTATTCCTTTTGTTCTAGACATATAGCTATGATAACCAAAAAAGAACCACATATTTCTGCACTATGTTCACTTTTCTTATTTGAATTTCATTCTTTAGGCTGTAGATGCACAAGGTATCATGTGTACATACAGATGATGTCAAAAATTTGTATATTTGTGGATCAATTTCACGGAAAAAAGAAGAGTTTATGTATAATAGGAGCCAGCCCTTGTACATGCATGATGCATCTGAGTGTTTTCTACAAAATACAACAGGACAATGATATATTGTCGGTTTTTTTTCTGGTCTCTAGTACTGAGCCTTCAAAGAAAAGCCCTTGAAATAGCTGTACTCCTTCTTCTTTGGTGCCCAGGCGCTGCCATTGCCGCCAAAGAATGTATGGAAAGCTATATCGAAGAAAATAAGAGCAATGACGACGATATGAGTATTATGAATGATATACGCAACAAAAAATAGCTATGAAGGAACAAAGAGCATGATGAAATGTAGACAACATACCAACACCGACGACTTTGCCGGTATCCTTGTTTAGAAAAGCCAGTTTCTTTTCGGTATAAACATTTTTGCCATCGACGTCGACGCTGACCATGCCATCGTCCTTGCCAGGGCTGTTGAGCTTAAGTGTTTGACGGACTTTAATCCACTTGCCAGTCTTGAATGACCAAGATCCACGACCGAGACTGTAACCGTAGTCCTTGTTGCAGATATTACCCTCTTCGTCGCAGAGACCATCGCGTTGCTTGCTTTCGGGGAGATAGGCATACACTTCACCATCGCCTTCACGACGCCACATGAATCTGATTTGGTTCAACAATGAATATTGATGATAAGTCTCATGGTGCTGTGTGTATAACTAGGTGCTACTGCTGTTGCTATTTCTATGCATTAGTATCTTTGTAAATACGTACCGAGTAGAGAAACAGGTATCAGCATCAGCGCCCCCAGAGCATCCTTCGTGGCCACCATAGAGACCAGGCAGTTTGCCACCTATTTAATAAGACCAATTGTATCAGTAAGGCCATGTGGGTGCAGCAAAAGTAAACCAAGTAATGTTCTTTACCTTTGACAAATTGGAACTTCTTTGGGAAATAAACCGAGTATTCGAGAACAACAGTTTTGGCTTCATTTCGCAGATGGAGCGGCTGAGCATAGAATCCAATACCGCCTTGAGTACTACCACCGGGGTTACTGCTTCCTTTGGGATAGGCCACTTGGAGTACTTCTTCGCCCGTTTTTGCTGGATCCTTGACGATTTTGTGATTCGAAACCGAGTCGCCCTTGTGCGGCCAGGACCAGCCGTCGGATTTCGCGATGCCCCAGGCCTTGAACCAGCTTTCATTGTCACCGTCGGTTTTCGCGTCTTTGAACTTGTTCCAGTTCTTGAAACTCCATGTTTCACCGGTGGCTGTTACAACATGTACAAGGGTGATGACGAGCAAAAAGAGTTGAGCACGGAAGAAGCGCATTTTGTTTTTTTATATGAATTGTATCTTTTGTGTATATAAGGGAAAGTGAGGGGTTGGTGTGTTTATATGTACACTTCTATCAAAGAAGGAAAGAGAAAAGATTGGAAGTGGGTATGTGTCTAAAGAAGTTGTTTTTTGGATGAGGGATGAGGAAATTGAAAATGGATTCCGTATTTATATAGTTCTTGGAGAGCAAAGTCTTCCTCTTACATCCAACTCAATTTCTTTCTTTTCGCTTGCGAACTGGGTGATACAAGAAAGATTGACATTTTTGGGCATAATTTGTGAGATCCAGCACCACACCATAAAATATAGCATGGCACTTCTAATTTTGAAGCAGCAAATGCCCATATCACTCATACTCATTAGTAGCTTTCGAAGCTCCGTCGACCTCATTACCACCTCACCGCCGCTTTCATCTACCGCAATATATATTACTTGAGCTACTCGCTTTCTAGGAGTGTCCCCAGAGCTTCACATGAATAGGGTAACCGGTTTGACAAACAATCCTTTTTGGAGCACTTGGGCCTGACAGCCTGCATTTCACTTTTTTGTGTTACTAATTCGGTGCTACGGTTATTTTTTTGCCACTGCGACCCCTTTAATTTTCAAGATTACTATAGTTCTTCCAACAAGAACTGCAAGTCATCTTTTCGTCGGTAAAAAATGATAATTGCTTATTATATGTAGGCGAACGAGGGAGATCGACGACTGAAGCATCGTTAATACCACGGAGTGCACGAAGACAAATAAACGGCAGTTCCTATGGTGGTGACGGTTACCCTTGTTTTCTCTGAATCAAAAATTAAGAATCACCATAAAAAGGCATTTTTCTAAGTCATTAAGCAAAAATTGAGTAACAGCAAATCGCACGCGAGGTGGCATTAATAAATGAGCATCTAGCCAATCATGGTGCTACCACCATTTCTGGCCCCCTCAACCTCTCTCCTTTTGTTGTCCAACAAGTGCATTGATTTCCTCCCGCTGCCACAGCACTATTACGAGTGCTGTGCCCGTCCGTTACCATCCGGTTTAGCGTGAAGTGATAGTAGCACTCACTTGCCTCTCTCTCTCTCTCTCTCCCTTATTCTGTTGTAGTACACAAAAACTATTGATGTCAATCCATTATCGGTGTTGACAAAAGATCCTCTGCGATACCCATCTTTAGACAAGCCCAATGGCTCGGTATCCTTGTGTTACTCTGCTATAGAAACCCTGTGTGTGGGTTGAACAGCACACATTTATGGGCCTCCTTTTCAGTCTCAGCATTGGAACAACGGAAGCAAAAAAAAAGAGACCCCCACCTGTAACCAAATGACATGCATACTTGCTCAATCGGAAGGTGTACACACAGTATGAAGTAGGAGGCCCTTAAAATTGCATATACAGTAGCCTCTGGATTCATACCTAGCCAGTGAGCTGCTCCATGTGTCGATTTCAAAAGGCCTTTATAATTATGAAAAGGCTTGAAAATGAACGTATCAGCGAACTTCAAGAAGATTTGGTGATAATGGTATGTAGTGATGGCTGAGATGCTGCGATTTAGACTTTTAGTATGAAACAACCACTACTACTATATACAGTATGTCCAATAATTACTACGGTCACCCTTACTTCTGAAGAGAATGCTGCCTGTTACACTAGTAGTACTAGATTCGGCGTTTGATCTTTTTCTTCATTGCACAAGATCATCCCATTGATACCACTGTCGCCATTATTGGTAAAGTGTATTCCGTTCAGGTAATAATCTTCTACTCTATTGTTTCGCCACACACTCGGTCCATACATTTATTAAGGAGTATGGTGAGAAGCCTTCATATACTGCATCCAAATACATGGAAGGAAGGAGAAAAAAACTTAATCGGCTCACATTGTTACGCAAAGCAGCACTGATAAACCCACAACTATTTTCTTTTTAATTGCGCGTATTAGGATTGTGTAGTAGCGGGTAAAATCTGTTTAGTTATACTCTGCAGGTACATACGTATGACAGAATCGTGGTGGTTTTTTTCTCTGCCCAATGGAATCTCTGCTTAAAGATACCTATTTCATCATTTCGTATCAGATAAACCCCAAACAACCAACAACTGAGCGATATACCGGCACAGCGTATACCTAACCTAACATCTCATACGCAAAAGCGGACGAGGGATTGAACTGAACATTATACTATGCCATATCGTGTTGAAGGATATGGCTTTTGATGCGACCAATCAAAACTTTTGCTTTTATCTTTGTAACACTGGAGTAAAATGAAGCGATAGCAAAGTATAGTATAGCTTAGCGCGATGGAAAATCCAGCAGGATTTGACTTTCATGGTAAGCTTTGGACTCAGAAAAACCACATTATTTGTAGATTGGGTACCTTTGGCACGCTTGTACTATGCAGTATCGAATAATGTGTGTCAGTCATTCGTCGTATGGCAGTATCTAGCGTTTCTCAAGAGCAAGTGCATAGTTGATGTGCCCCAATATAAAAACGCAGAAAATGTGTGGGCGGAAGGAGGGTGTGTAGAAATTGACAGTGTCACTACCAATGTGTAGTCAAACGCATAAAGTTATGCGAAATTAGGTTTAAAACTAGTCGCGATCCAACCCGACCGAAAGAATCAACGTGGGCAGATACTTCTTAAACATGTGCCATCTAGAACGATTTCTTACGGCGAAGAACCTGATGGTAAAGTGGGTGGGGGTGAGGGTTATTAAAACTGTAATATCAATTGTTCGATTATATCAGCAGTGTTACTATATCCATAATAATTGATAGATGTAAGCGAGCAGAAATATAAAAACGAGCGATGTTGGGCATCCTTATGGATTAAGGGTCGTTTAGTATGATATGCGCAGACATACCAACTACTCGGCTGAATGATCGTAAATAGTAAATATTGACATGGCTACTCACGTTTTGAGCAGGTTGGCTTGCAGGACTGTTTGAGCACACAAAACGACTGGTTATATGACGATGGCCGTTTTTGACCACAGCTTGTACAGGTAGGGGTAGGAGCGACGCGTTCCTCGATCGAGCGCAAGAAAGAAAACAGTCGCGATGCGAGTAAGTTGATGACCGTGCATACCGTACGAAAGGTAATAAAAGTCAACGTGTCTGAAATTGAAGCAAGACCGGAGTGAACGATGGGATTACTTTGTCCGCTGCCAGTATGTAAATTAGTACAAAAATGATGTGTAGGTACGGTGACTGGTGAGCAAAAACGAGAACAGGGTAATAGTACCCGACACTACAAGAAGAAACGAAAAGAAAGAGGTGGTGGGCCTATCGATCGGACCAGTGTTTTGCAAAGCAGCAGTTCCTCGACTACATTAAGTCGAAACTGAAGCATACCATACAGTGAAGAGAGCAATTAGTTTGAAGTATATGAAATCGGTAAGCTTGGCGTACTTGCATAGCAGCTCATGAAAATCAAACATATTTGCCGGTTACGATCGCGAAGAAGGTTGCACGGTTAGCCTGTGTTTGTTTGCGGATGGTACAATATAGCACCAAGGATATAGGCATCGATCGCGGACTTGAAACGAGCAGGATCCGTGCAACAGAGCGTTAGATTGGCATGAACGGTTTACGGACTGAAGTCGCTGGGAGCACAAGCCCAAAGAAAAACCTGATGCAAGGAGCCACGTTGACTCATCTCCGATCATCATTGTGACCTTGGAAGCACAATGCATAAACAAACACCGGATGTTTTGATTCTCTCACCGACAATTTAGAAGCAGTATGATGGAAAGCTTGCGAAATAATGTCGAAATAACGAGGTCACAATAACACAGTGAGATATGGTGCTTGAGGTTGCTGTTCCCTTTAACGCAAAGATGTATCCGATAAGTACAGATTCTCTGTTCGAAACCACAAACAGATTAATAGTGTGTAACCGGTGTACACGGTGTGCATGTACACTGAGAAACGTGCATATCGATTTGGTGGCTTTTCTTTTTTCAACGAGAATTTCTCATAGAGCGAGCAGTATGCTTCTATACTTCCTTTATCCCGATTTGCTTTCCAAGGATCACATATGCCTTAGCGAAGCAGCATATTAGGTGGTGTGGATAAATCACAGATATCGTCTAGTGGAGAGGTAGCTGGTATGTCGTATTTGTTTCATCAGAAACAACATCACTCGGCGCCATTCTTCATCAAATCCAGGGGAGGAAATGCAGGAAGGCGCAAGCCAGTGCCAAAAGCGGTTCGGGTCGGACACGGTCGGGGATGATGAATCACAGTGCGTGGGTCGGGGCCCTAACAATAAAATTTTAATAAATGTGTGTTTTTTTTCTCTCTTCTGCTCTTCTTCTCCTTGTTCCTCTCTTTCTCTATCCCTCTTCGAGAAACACACACGCCTAGCGACAAGCTACAACACAGAACAAAAAAAGCGATTTATTTTCGCCCTCTTATGTATATTCACGCCTTTGAAAAGTGCTCAGCCGACTACATTTGCGACCAACGTATGTTGCTTCTCTCTGGTTTGATAATACGCTTTTGCTGTGATTAAAGGGCTGTACTTACTTACCAATACTACATCACTATGACATCTATGATTTCATCATGCCGTGGATGCTATATATCAAACAGTCTGGAAAGCCTCTGGAAGTTTTTAAATAATGCATCTCTTGAATCAAAAGCCCAACCTTGCCACTCTCAAACTCAAATCCGGCCAGACCTTCTCCGGTGTCTCTTTTGGCGCTGATACGAGCGTCACCGGTGAAGCCGTTTTTACTACCTCTCTCGTGGGTTATCCGGAATCCATGACCGACCCTTCATACACTGGCCAAATTCTTGTTTTTACTCAACCGCTCATTGGTATGTGCTTGTCCGGCGTTTTTCTCTATTCTTCGTTCTTGCAGAAAACAAATAAACAAATAAAAGGAAAACTAACGCCTTTGTTCTCTTTTGCAACAGGCAACTATGGCGTTCCAGGACCTGTCAAAGACAAGTACGGTCTCTTTAAGTACTTTGAATCCGACAAGATCCAAGTTTCTGGTATCATCGTCAACGACTACGCTGCTCAGTATTCACACTGGACTGCCGTCGAGTCCTTGGGCAACTGGTGCAAACGCTTCAATGTACCTGCCATCACCGGTGTTGATACGCGTGCCATTGTGCAAGTTCTCCGTGAGCAAGGCTCCACGCTTGCCCGTTTAACTGTCCATACTGCTGAAAGCGATCCAGCAACAACCAAAGAAGCCGGTTTTCTGTGGGATCCGAATGCGGAGAATTTAGTCGCTCGAGTGTCCACCCCGGCTCCTATCCACTATAATCCAGAAGGCGACATCAAGATTGCCGTCGTAGACTGTGGTGTCAAGCAAAACATCATACGATGCTTGACCAAACGAGGAGCAAGCGTCACTGTGCTGCCCTTTGACTATGACTTCAACCGCGACCAAGATATCTACGATGGTCTTTTTATCTCGAATGGTCCCGGTAACCCCGCAACGTGCGGTGTCACCGTGGTGAAACATCTGCGTGAGGCTATCGAGACCTATGGCAAACCCATTTTCGGCATTTGCATGGGCAATCTATTGCTTGGTATGGCCGCAGGTATGAACGTCTACAAGCTGCCATTCGGCAACCGTGGTCACAACCAACCTGCTTTGCATGTTCAGACTGGTCAGTGCTCCATTACATCCCAGAACCACGGCTATGCCTTGGATGACAAGGTCATGCCAGCTGGTTGGAACAAGCTTTTCATCAATGCCAATGACGGTTCCAATGAGGGTATCTGCCACGAATCACTTCCCATTTTCTCAGTGCAATTCCACCCAGAGGCTAAAGGTGGCCCACAGGATACAGAATATCTATTTGAAGAATTCATCACTCTTGTACGCGCAGAGAAACTCAAGCGCATGACAGAGGATGATGATGTCGTAGCTGTAGCTTGAAACATGAATACTAGTAATAAAGATATTTGATGTGTATATATTTTGACAAAAAAACTATGTTTTTTCTATATGTTTGTTCTGCGCATCTATTATCGCAAGAACATGCCGTGGATCCGCTCAAATTCAGCAGCACTCTTAATCTGTACGCGATGCTGCGATGCTGATGATAGCGCGGGTATCTGGATCTTGGCCAACGTTCGTGACAGTCCTTCCTGTAATGACTATAAAGTTGATAGACAATCAATTTGATTAGACAAGGAGGTGGCAAAAGGAGGGCATCATATATAAACATAGTCGTTATGTGTAATTTGCGTACCTTGATATTATTATTAGCAGCAAGATCTTTCCGTGCAGCTGGCTGCAGCTGCATTTCTTCCATCCGATTGCGAAGCTTTTCACTTCGCTGCTTGAGGGTATACAGGACCGACTGCTGTGTTTGGTATTGATAATCGGGCGTCTTCTTTTGGCTCTGCCATTTGCCACCGCGTCGCTCAGCATGAAGTGCAACTACCTTTGGTGAAGCGCCTGCCGTTCGCATATCTTTGATCAAAACACGCGTCTCAATGGCAACCGTTCTCAACTCAGTGTTGGCTGACTTGGCAGTTGGCGCGAGAGGATCGGCTGTTGACAAAGTATCCAGCTTGAGCGTAGACGCCAAATCGCGACTTTTGAGGTGCGCATTCTCGGTCTTGAGGTAGCGGATGGCTGCCTTTAATGCCTCTACTTGACCAGCTCCATCATAGGCACTCAAGCTAGTTGCAGAGCCTTCGATTTCTGTGAATAGCTTCTGATCCTCGCTAGTGTCTGTCTTTCCATTGGCACTAGTCTTGTTACTGTTGCTTTCAGAAGTCGACATTTGTAACTTGGCTTCTTGCGCAGCCGTAGCCTTCTTCAACTTGGTGTTTTCTTGCTCGAGTGCGTCGTACTCTGCCTGCAGGTTTTCAATCGCCTCAGCATACATGGTTTCTTGCGTCTGTGACTTTTGCAAGGTCTCTTCCAGCGTTGCAATCTGTTCTGCTTGCTTCTTGACAGTGACCATACGCTTTTCGAGGAGTTCGACCTTGACCGTGGATTCCTGCAAGGCCTGATCCTTCAGCTTGAGATCCTTGATCAGTTTGAGAATTTCATCGCTATGTTGTTGTAGCTTGCGCTCCATATCATGGCTCACAACCACTTCTGCCTTCATGTCGGATGCACGCTGTATCCAGGGTGCTACACCCGTGGCAATCTTGTCCATCTTGTTGTCATTGTCGACGCGTGTCACTGTTGTATTAAGCTCGTTTGTCAGCGATTTGATCGTTCGCAAGCAACCTTCCCAAAGAGAGCTTTCGGCAATCTCGAGTATTTCGTCAGCCTTGTTGTATACGGCTTGTTGGATAATGCCCAAACTAATTTCCTCCTTGCTTCCGCACTTTGCATCCACATAGGTGGCAATTTGCTTGTAAACCTAACCCACAGTTTTGCTTCATGTTAAAATAACGTATGTAGCGATGATATATCTTAACCTAAGATATTTTTTACCTCAAAACAGAACTGACTGAGCTTAGAGCTAATAGCGTACAACGTCTTGAATCTGTGTAAATGCTCAGACTTTAGCATCAAAGCTTGCTCAGACAAATCCTCCAATTGACGCAGCAATTTCCTATTCCATAAAAGACAAGGGGTAAGTTTTACGAGAAAAAAAGGCGTATCCTTGTCCCGCTATTCGCAACACACATACTTTGCCAGAATCTTGCTGTTCTTTGCATGGCTGATAAGACGACCCAACGGCTCAATGTAGTCGTAATCCAATCGTTCTTCACCTTCTGTGATACTAATACCCTCCTTTTTGATCGCATTCTCAACTATCTGCTTGACAAAGGTCAGTTCCACAGTCATTCTATCTGCATTGAGGTCAAGTGCTCGTGTGAGACCAAAGAATTGGTCTGCCAAGATGCTTTCGCCGTTTTGCACCAAATAGACCTCTGTCAAATGCTCCAGCTGAGCAATCATTCTAATCGTACAAGTGATTTAGTCTCTTCTTCTTTTACAGCTTATTGTGCTGCATGAAATTCAATGAAATGGTTTAAATAAGGAGAATGGTCGTTTACCTTTGCAAATCCGAAATACAATCGGAATTGTTCAACTCATCAGTACGAAGAAGCTCGACAATACCATTCAACCGACGCTCAGTGCCCACCAGATCATGATAAACTTGGCCCATTCTGATAAAGATTTCAGGACCACAATGCTTGATGAAGGTGACAAAGCGTTTTGCGAGATCGCTGAGCCATCCAGCACGTTGTCGCATCTATCAATCGAATTAGAACATTAGTGTTTATAAAGAAAAAATGGCGTTTTTTTTACTTACCTCACACACTGAAACTAGATTCTCGCTAACTGTATCCATAATCTTTTCACTGATCGGATGGTTTTGATCGAGCTGTTTGATAATGAGCTCAGATTTAAATACAAGGCGCTTAAACAACAGCAAACATGAAATAGGATCGTTTTCGGTCTTGAAGAATGAATCGGGTAGGTATGGCTAAACAAGACACATAAAAATTTCCATTAATGTTCAGTAAGCATCTATGCTCACTTGTTGTTTTCAGTGTAAACATCTGGTTATGTGATTTGAGGTGTGCTTAATACCTGAACATAAGTCAAACGGTCATTCGCCTGAGCTGCTTCAAGTTTTCGAAGCTCTAGATCAATGGCCTTAGCCTGGGCCTTCATCACCGTAGATTGGAGTTGCATATTGAGTGACATCATTGCTTGCGATTGACTGCTGAGCGAGCTCTTTTCGGATTCTTTGCTGACTTCTTTCTGACGGAGCTGTTCCAGGTCACTCTGCAAGTTGGTGACAAGTTCTCGGAATTGTTGAATAGTTGCTTCATAGTCAGCGTTTGTCTCTTCAGAGGATCGAAGACGGTCCAATTGCTCGCGCAAAAGCATATCACGGTGATCTAAAAAATATTAGAAACGCAAGATTGATATAGTCTCCTCAATATTTTTTGATACATGTGATATTTTTCTTTGTTTTTCCTTACCAATCTCAGCTTGAAGCTGTTTCTCGGTTTCCATATGGTTTTCCTCCAACTCATCAGCAAGTTCTTTGAGCGCTTCCAAATCATCAACAGCAACACGCATTTCTTCTAACTTTTCGTTCAGAGTCAAGTTCTTTTCCGTCAATTGTTCAACAAGGTCCTCGGCGCCCAACGAATCGTCCAAACGCTGCTTGAGATCATCGATTTGTAGTTCAGCATTATCAAGGTTTTCTCTAACACGCTCATATTGCACTATACGACATTACACAACAAAGGGAATTTGTTTGTTACACGATTCATGCCAAATTTCTGTTTCACTGAGCATGCCGAACTTACATTTAAAGTCTTCAAGTTCATAATTCTCTTTTTCTAATATCTTGATTTTACGGTTGAGTTCAGCTTCATGCTCTGTGGTCGCATCACGAAGTCTACGTTATATACGTTATATACGTTATTGTTGTCTCAAATGTACATTTCTCCCTCTTTTTTTTTGCTCTGTATCCTAGCCCCCCAGTTTTTCTAATTGGTTTGTGATTATCACAAAAAATAGGTCCTTACCGCATTAATGCATCCTTGAGTCGCTCATTATGTCGTTCTAATTGGATCACTTCCAATGGTGTCTTATCATCGCCATTACTATCAGTAGGTGGTCGGTTCAAAATATCAGCCTCCTTTCGCAAGATATCCAAATCAACGCTGATCTCTTCAATTTTGTCCTTGAGCAAGTTAACTTCTTGTTGCAGGTTTTCTGCGCGTTCTTCAGCGACCTCCTTATCCAACGTCATCATTTCCATTGATTCAATGATGTCCGTGTACTTGGCTTCATATGAATCCTTTTCACTCATGCTTTCTTTGAGCTGTCGCTTGGTATCGCGCAAATCCTTTTGAAGTTCAGAGATCTTGTCTGCAATACAGATACATTACAATCGTTTAGCTCTCCTGTTGTATGCTGTTAAAACCTGTCATTTTTTTGAGTACCTTGTAATTTGTTTCGTAGCGTCAAGAACTGTTCAGCTTCCTCTTTGACCTTTTCGTTTTCACGATGACGTTCACGATCCTCTTGACGCTTGGCTTCCAGAATTTTTAGCTTAAGTCGCAATTCTTCGTAATCTTTCATAGGCACCATCTAAGTAGTACGTTTAGCGGTTATTCTGAAAACACATATAGGAAGGTATCTTCGTGTCCCTTTCTTTAGTTCTTTCTCCTACCTGTTCTGATTTGCTAACAGGCATTGTAGGTGCAAGAGTACCGTATACAGATGTTGGTTGTGCTTGTTGTATAACCGGTATCTGCGCCTGAGGCTCTGGTGCTGGTGTTGGTTCTGGCTCAGGCTCCTGTTCTGGCTCTAATTCTTCTGGCTCTGGTTCGTGTCCCGACGGTGGTGGTGAAGAAGGTACAGACGGCTGCTGTTCGGGTGGTTCATCGTCTTGTTGCTCCTCTTCTTCTTCTTCCTCTTCTTCTTCCTGGTCATGTGTTTGCTGTTGTTGTTGTTGCTGATGATGTTCCTCAATTTTTTGCTGCTGTCGTTTTCGTTCTTGAAGCTGCTGAATACGCTGTTGTCGTAATTGTTGTAATTGCTTATCGCGTTGTTGAGCACCGGCCGAAGATGCACCTTGTGTGCCTGATCTTGGACGCTGAGTTGCATTCTTTTGACGTCCACTAGATGTAATAGTAATACTCGATGTTGGTACAGCACTGCTTCGTGGCGATGCTACGGCAGGTCGTCTGATCCCCGTTTGACCACCTGGCGCTCCTCCTGCTGAGGGTCGGCCAATCCGTGACCCTATCGGTGATGATATACGTGATGGTAAGAGAGTTGATGAAGGCGAAGGTGTACGTTGTTGTGCTGATCGAGCTGCTGCTAGACTAGGATCTTGCGGTGGTGCGAAACTCGTGTCCGAATCATCCTTTGGTTTTTTCAGTAGTTTGAATTAAAGAAGATTCACATGGAAGAAACAGCTGCTTCAAAGAAATATTATTGTCGTTACCTCGCTGGTTGTGCTCGACGGTGCAGACGGTAACACTCGTACTTGACTAGGACGAACAAAAACACCGTGATTCATTCGACATTCAAAATATCGTTTGCCTTGAACTACGCCGCTGTTCTTGCCAGTGGGTTCATCGAGCTCAATGCCAATCCATTTGCCGGTTTGAAAACTCGTTGCACCTGCAAAACGAATCGTGCCGATTTTGCCTTGGACCTGAACACGACTACCAACTTTAAGTTCGGAATCGGGCATGCCGGTGCTGCTCGTGCTACTGTTATTGCTAGCCGGTGAACGAGATGAATCGAGAACAGATGATCGCCTATAGCGGTCCAATGCAGCCATTTATAGGTTGTATCTGTACTGTTGTTGGAGAAAAAAGCACTTGACGCTTTTTCTTCTTTTCAAGAATCTCAAATTTAGAAGCAAGAGAGAGGAATAATATGAATTATGAAAACCAGTGCCTAGTTTTGAGATGACACAAAAGTCTTGTATCCTGACGAGCTGGAGAGGAGAAGGGGTGTAGAGGAAAGCAGAGAAAAAAAAATAGTATACAATATCAAACGTTTTTATTCTTTCTTTAATAATAATTTCGTGTTACAACACGCATTACTTTTCTATGGATTTGAGGACATCCTCGATAGCTTGCACTACAGAGTCAAATACAACGAGATTCGTGCTATCAGCTTTATCCTCGTCGCCTGGACGATACTTGCCCGTGCGCACTATATGATTGTAGCAAAGGTTAGTGTCAGCTATTGTTGCCTGCTATCTACTCTGTCACTTATAATAAGATGCCTGCCTAGGTAACGATGTAGTCCGAGTTCCAAGGCACCGCCACCCAAGTCATTATTGACATCATCACCAATCATGGCCACGTTTTCTGGACTATCCTGCATTCCACTGAACAACGCAAAACTTGTCAATAGCTTTTCTGTTGCCCAACGTACGCTCTTTGCTTTTCCTCTCATCATTGATATTCTAGCTTACATTTGTTTCAGTGCCAACTCAAAAAAGCTTTTTGTGGGCTTGCCAACCACGGTTGCCTTGGTACCCGTAGCATACTCTAACGCCTCCACAAATCCGCCTGGTCCCATCGATAGTTGTTCGTCTTTATCTGCAAAATATTTGGCTTTATGCACGGCGATCAACGGCATGGAGGGGTTATGGACAAGAAGACGAAAAGCTTCATTCATCTGTTTTATACAACTGTTAAATCAGTGGAATAGAAATAGCAGCTCATCTGTTACTTACATGGTCATAGCGGAACTTGGAAGGGGCCAATCCAACCACTACGCAGTTTGGATCTTTTGTATCGATGCCTTTGAACTCATCGAGAGCTGCATCTTCCATCAATAAGAGAGGTCTGTTTTCAAGTTGGTTTTCGCATGTAACGTATGGTTTTATTAGTATGTAAGTCGAAAAAATGATAACTACAGATTCTCTCGAGAGAGCTAAGAGAAGAGTAAATAAAAAACACAAAATCAAACCTCAAGTGACTGACGCGGTCGCGACATGCCGATAGCGATGTAAACACTTCATTTTCAATGACGTCGAATCCCATGGCATTCAACTTGTCTACCAGCTTACTTGACGAGGTCTTGGTCGTATTGGTTGCAAAGCTGCAAAACCATACGGGTATGGAGGCGTTGGCAAAAGAAAGATAGGGTACTCATATACTCGCTGCCAGGTTGAAACAAAGTGCTCTCTTACCGAAACGGAATCTTGCTTGCTCGCAGCTTGCGTACAGCCTCCGTTGCGCCAGGAATGGCCTTGGCATCAATATGAATAGTGCCACTCAAATCAATGAGCAATGCTTTCACTGACATTTGCACACTTGGTTAAAAAAGCGCCTTGCGGGTGGTAATGGCGCTCTTTCTTCGCTTCGCGCCAAATATAACAGCCGCACTATCGTGCAAAAGACTAAACTAACGAATGACCTCATTTGACACTAAGGACGGGGATAGTGCATGTGCGTTTTTTCGCATTGCGATAGGCTGGGAAAAGTGATTCTTTTATTTGTGATCATGAACAACGGGTGAGCATGAAGAAAATCAAATTATTTACAGTTTACCACAGTCGGTGATCTTGACTTCCTTTTGGGGAGCGCCATTGCGGGTACCGAAGCTTTCGATCTTCTTGACGACGTCCATACTATTTAGTTGGCAGCGGAGAGAAAGAGGCCATTTTTAGTAAAAATTTTTGCATACGTGGGCGCGTGTAGCAGCCAAGAAAAGATTGAATTACGTACCCTTCGACGACTCTGCCAAAGACGACGTGCTTGCCGTCCAACCAGGAGGTGGTGACAGTGGTGATGAAGAACTGGGAGCCGTTGGTGTTCTATTACATGACAGACAGAAAAATGGTTAGCTTAATGTTATATAATGTATTTTCGAGATTACTAGTCTTCACAAAAGAGCTGCTGTCTTACAGGTCCAGCGTTGGCCATGCTGAGAAGACCAGGGCCAGTGTGCTTCAGCTTGAAGTTCTCGTCAGCGAACTTGTTGCCTGTGGGATTCACGCAAAAGGGAACAGAGTTAGCACCACCGCGATAATAGGAGCAGATCTTTTGGTACCCCGGTTTCTTTCTCTTCCTCTTCCTCTGGTTTATCCTGTGTCCTTCTTCGTGTATAGATCATTAAACATACCGTAGATGGACTTGCCACCGGTGCCGTTGAAGTTGGTGAAGTCACCACCCTGCAACATGAAGTCAGGAATGATACGGTGGAAGATGCTGCCCTTGTAGCCGAAGCCAGGCTCGCCAGTGCACAACTAATGTCACATGAACTATATTAGCCAGCTTTCACGTACACTCGCTGTCAACACAGCACGAGAATGATCGTGGAAACAACTGTTTACCTGAAGGAAGTTATCGGCAGTTTTGGGGACAGTATCCTTGAAGAGCTCCATAATGATACGCTATATAAAGAACAACAGCAAGTCTGAGAAAACCAGTCCTCAAACGTACAACAAACAAACGAAGCCGAGATAGAAAGCATACTTACGCCAGCAGGGGTGCCGCCAATAGCAACATCGAAGAAAACCTACGTGGGCAAAGCACAACGAGTCAGCGAACAGAACATACACTTCGATTTCCCCCCTTTTATAAAGAGAAGACTTACCTTGGGGTTGGTCATTTTTAGAAATACAGAAAAAAAAGCTTTGTTTTGTTGAGGTTGCAAAAAACAAGCGGTTTATATAGCCATCGACTAAAATGGAATCCAAAGGAAAAACTGACTTTCAATAATGTACTGCTTTTTCTTTGCGCTCTCTAGAAGTGCCTTCATCCCCAGCCCCCTGTTCGCACTCTGCATCGCTCTTGTAAACTTTCGGTGAGTTGTTCTGAACAACATAGCCGGTCAATAACTTTTTTTGTCTTGTTTGAAACGGAAAATTTTACCTACTGGGTATGTTTGTAAATTAACAATGAAAGGTCTCCCGCCGGGTAACAACGTTGGATGGATTCGGCCCCCACCATTTGACGGATAAATCACGCGACATGACGCGTCTGCATAATTTGATGTTGGGCTTATAAGTTTGCGGATAATCTAGACCCACTGTAAAGTTGTTCTAAAACTACCGGCTTATGAGCTCTCTAAACCGCAACCTGTCACAGTTTCTTCCATACTACCCTTTCATTGACACCTTCGTCATATTTTGCCTATGTTTTGGCAGCGCAATAGACTCTTTCTTTCTCTTTCAGTGGACAGCATTGGTTATACCCGGTTGTTCGATATGAGTATCGTACACGGTGACGCAATAATATGCGTTTTGCCAGCACACTCTGTGGCACCACACATCTCTCCAGCTGTTGTGCTGGAGTGCCTTCTACAGAGAAACTAGAAAAACCCAAAAATGAATAGCGAGCTCTGTTTCGTACACCCTATCACTGGAAATTAACACACAGAGTTCTATATGCTGATAGTAGAATCAGGTGAATGTTTAAACTTCGACATATGATTCATACTTATCAAAAGTAATCGTTTTCTTTTTGCTAAATGGCCTTGTCGGCTTTCAACAGCCGGTTTTGTGACCAAAAAGCAAAGGAGGATTATTCCAGTGGTAACCTTGTAAGGATTAGCGACTTTTTCCCAACAAGCAGTTATGCGTTGTTTCTCTCGAAAATAAAGCTAGTCCTGATTTTCCAGCATGAACAAATAACAGAGTTAGAATAGCCGTGCCTCATCCTGCTCATCCCCCAAGCATAAAAACCATTACGGTGGTGTATTTTTCAAGCATTAATGCGCCTTTCTTAAACCAGCCACATCATATCGTGGATTGTTGCGGCAGGAAAGTCATTGGACAGGTGCCAAGAAAATACAAGAAAGGTCCTTCTCCCTACAATGCGCAAGGGATGTATCTCTATTATCGCTTCTCATTCAGCAGTAGCTTAACGGACAAAAGGCGTATATAGCAAGCATATAATATGTAGAGTCCATATTTTAAGGACGCATGTGCATCTCGTCGTTATTAGGTACGTCTAAGAAAAAGAAGGATCGGCGATCATAGATGATGCGCGCGGCGTTCAAGGGGGGATTTGCACTCTATACTCTATAACTTGTTCTTAACCTGCCGTATGATATTTATTTACAAACAATGAATAGTTGTGGATATTCCCTTTCTTCGGGAACAGGACTGGTAGTAACTCAGCGCAGTAAAACGTGTAAAGAACAACTTTACCTTTCGACCGGTGATGTCACGCATAGGAGCATAAATACAAGGGCGCAGAAAATGTATGACGTCTCGTATTTGGTATACGACGACGTAATATTAAGCATACTCTAAGTAGCACAGCCAACAAGGGCGTAAAATCTTTCCTAATATATAAAAACAAACAATGCTCCATGCACTATGAGTGCATCCGACTTTGTAGTAGCTCACCGCATGGAAAAAGTTAGATAGGTCCCGGGCCACCATGAATATGTTTATGATTCAAAATGACAGTGCTTCGTCTGTAATTCCCTATAAAAATACTAACAACTTGGTATATAATCACGACCCATTGCTTTATACGGATTTATGTAAACAAACGGAACCGTCAATTCCATGGTGGGGTTGCATTCTTAGCTCTCAGGTACGTTAAACAAATACGGAGCACCAAGAGTATGTATAGAAACCCCATTTTAGTAAAGGGTTACCTTCAATCTGCTGCTGTGCTGCTTTGGTCATGAATATAGTATTCAGACCAGTACGTAGTCGAATTTGGACACTTGATAGGATAGGTATGTCTATGTATATAGACTACGCCATAACAACAATCAGTTTTTTGCTTTACGCGCATTTTACGAACGTATGTGGCAAACACAAAACGGCTTTACATCCAGTCTACCGACAGCTTGGCTATACATACGTGTCAGAAACATATCCGCGCTGCATGCTATGTAAGGCTTATTGTTGCGTTGAAGTACTGTGTACACATCAGTAAGAATAACATAGACTAAGGATATGTACTTCACTCACTGCATACATAGTATATAACAGCTGGGGACAATGTAATTCTATCGATGTGTAAAAATGCTCTAAGACCCATTCTTTGTTTTCTTCGCCTAGAAAATCGTACAGCTATACTCTTTCTGGATGATGGTCGGAAAACTTATACGGCTATGATATAACCGCTTGAAAAAATTCAGAGTATACTATTAATAAGATCTCTTCAACATATCACCCTTAATCTTCATAGCAAAATTTCTTCGTACACATGGATTTATTGGATTTTAATAATAATTTAAAAGGGTTTTTTTGTAAAGAAAGTGCGAGCAGTGTGTGGTGCGACGTCTTACTGGTAGATGAAATTTATGTTATACTAGCCTGAGATGTAATGTTTTCTTTATGACAGTACTTAATCAGCCATGAGCGTGTCGTGAAATAACATAAGAATGACTTCGGGCGTATTTCATGCAGGTGGCATCTAGTGCAGCTAGGCCACCTCGTCGGTTGAGAGAAAGACTTACATTGATCTTGTATATCATAATGTGCAGTGTTCAATACAATTGCTCTCAAAACACCAAAGTTTTATATAACCAATGAAAAGGGCCCGTAAATATCCCATTGAAAAGCAACAGCCTGATAAGCAGTGTCTACCTCGAGTAAAACAATATGGTTATGTAGTAGATAATGGCCAAAAGCGGTTGACCGCACGAAAAAATATCACATAACTCATCACCGCTGAATTTGATTTTAATCCCTACTCGTTCATAGATGTGTTCGTCATGCAACCTGGTTAGCGATCCGACGATACGGATAAGCAGTACCATTGATCGTTATTTCCACTTCTTATGTTTGAAAATGCTCAAAGGCCAGTGATCCAGACCCTAAGCGAGTTCTTTGTACCTCTGGACACTGAGACACAAATCAAATGACATGGTGCTGATGATGATAGCTAGGAGCATTGATACGTCCTAACTCAGTAGCAACAGAAGTACATAAAACACAAAATTACGCAAATTATCGGAAGGTGAACATCGATAGTTTTACGGCAAGCGTGAATTGCTACACATCGTTGTCTTTTACTTGACATTGCGGCTCATGATGGCAAGAAACATCGAGATACGTAGCAAATAATTACTTGCTCAATGTTGTACAATATGACTATGGTATCATCAATATATATGGAATAAACTATAGAAAAAAATTTTCGTAATGATATCGAATAAAAAACTCCAGCAAAAAAAAAGAAAGGGTATATATTCCATAATGACTACAACAGAAAAGAAGAATAGAACAGCCCGGGTCAAGTAAAAATGAAGCAAATAAGCAAAAGTGCGGGGGGAGGTAGATTTTTAGGGATTTTGACTAATGGAAATTGTAGGTGTTTCAGAGTTATCAGTAATTGGATCTGTAGTAGAAGTAGCTGTAGCAGTAGTTGTAGAGATAGAAGTAGAAGACGTAGTGGTGGTAATAGGATTGGCGGTAAGAGCAGCAGCAGTAGTAGTAGAAGAAGAAGAAGAGGAAGAAGAGGTAGTAGCAGCAGAGGTTATAAACATTTTCTGATGAAATGGGTCAGTATCAGGCATATTTTGCAAAAACGATTGCCATTCGGCCCAGATATTCAATGCAGGGCCTGATAAACGATGTACTCTAACCGAGGTAGCCTGTTTATCTTGAGTAAAATCGCGACACCGAGTCCATCCAGTCAAGGGATCATGCATAAAGAATGCCATCGTTCCGCATTTCTCTTCGTCCAGAGTGAGTTGAATCTCCAGACGTTCGTTTGTAATGGGTTCGAGCTGGATCGTCTGGACTGCGTCCAAGTCAAATGTCATTTTGAAAGAGTAGGAGCCGTCCTGAATTACCCAGGTCATGTTTCGCTGGACCAGATCACAGTAGCATTGTAGATCGTTGGGCTGTAGCATGACGCGTTTCCAAGTGCCGATCTCGAGAGTGTCGATGGAGAATCCGTGTTGGATCAGCACAGCAGGATCTACATAATGGTTGATGAATAAGTAAAATGATTTATACTTTTCAGTATCAAAATAAGTAGAGAACTAGAGGAGCTTAGGTCAGCAATTATCTGGTTATAGATCATTGATCAACATTTACATGATTGGAATACGTCTGTAGGTGACCATTCATCTGCTGTAGCAGTTGTTGGGATTATTGGCATAGTGGCCCCTCGTTGATGACGCATTTGTTGCTGCTGCTGTTGCTGCTGTTGATCATGCTGATTATGATGATGCTGCAACGTAGTGCTTGGATCCAAAGAATGAGCACGTAAAGGAGTAGGTGGAGGGGGAGGAGGGGGAGGAGGTGGGTGTGCAAACATGGTGTGAGGGTTACTGGTGCTAGTATTATTGTTGTTGTTGTTGTTGTTATTACCGTTATTATGACTCGACGACGACGTTTGTTGTTGATTGTAGTAATAGTAGTAATAGTAATAGTACATTTGTGGGTCCTTGGAATTCTGTTGCTGACAAGCATTTGAAGCAGCCTCTGCAGCTAGTTGCTGCATCCGCCATATCCGGTTTTGAGCAATGCATGTTCGTCTTGCTATATTCTTTTCTTTGGCACGACGGTTTTGGAACCAGATTTGAATGGAGCGTTCTGTCATGCCGAGTTGACGCGATAATTGTTCGCGCATCCGACCATTAGGGGATGGATTGACAGCAAATGTGTTTTCCAACACGGCAAGTTGATTTGGCGACGTGCGAGTGCGTTTACGGGGTTGTTGCTGGTGATGCTGCTGCTGCTGCTGTTGCTGATGGAGATGCTTCATATTATGATCGAATGACACTTAAGGGGGCTTGTTTGGTAGGGAAAATTTACATTAAAGGGGTTGTTTGAAATAAAGAAAAAAGAAGATAAATGGTAGAACAGTATGGAGACCGGTCTAGAAAAAGAGAATGTCCAATTTTTATAATTGCCCATTTCAATGTAGGGCTCGGGAATAAAAAAGCTTCGCGACGATCATGTCCGCAGAGGCATTTTGTACGATGCTGTTAATTGACACATACCGCATTTGAGACGTGCGCGTGGTGGAAATGCCTTTTTTATATATGCTTGCTTGGATGCACCGAATCGTAAGATGGCAGCCCGAAATTGAAGGTTACACAGCCATTGGTCCTAACATTCTCGGCCCTACGAATCAACCAGCGGTCTATATAAGAGCGGGTTCTTTCGCCCACATTTGCTTTATTGGTAATTAAATTAAAGTATTATTGCATAGATCATTGCTACCAGATGATATATATATTTGTGTTCTATATAGTGTGTGCGTGTTGTGTTCTTTTCGCGAAGCGTTGTGCTAGCTTGGAATGTAGATGATAATTTTTGATAGCAGAAAAGGGGGTTGGGTATTAACTAGTATATATTACGGTTAGTATGATTATAAATGCTTAGGCGTATTCTGGAGGCGGTCGCGATGGTATGCGCTCAAGCTGCTGATGTTCATGCTCGAGCGTGGTGGTTACTAAAAAGGGAGCTTGGGAAGCATATTGCATTTGCAGGGCAAAGTCGTGATAGCATGAGCAAAGGAACGTGTGGGGTGGTATATGAGGCTTGTCGATTTCGGGCATTCCACGTTCACTCGCCAGCACGGCCTTCTCCTTGCTGTGCTTATGTTTTGGCTTTTTGGGTATATTGCGAGGCACCGAGCCCAAATCAAAATAAGAGGGGAGTCGGCCAAAGTCTTCCTTGAGGCGGCAATCGAACACGCTGATGGGCACCTCAAACACAATCGTATCGTAGACGCGGTTCTTTTCTTTGTTCTTGTTTCGACTCACGCGAAACTTGGATAGGACATTGTGCCAGCCGGCGGCACTTCCTCCTATTGCTGCAGCATCCAGCATCATCGACATGTCTGCAGTCGAGGCAGGAGGTGTCGATACAGGAGAGGAGGACGATGAAGAAACGGTCGACGAGGATAAGGATTCGGCCAATGGAGGTGTTGTGGTGCCGCCGTCATCAGGCGAGGATATGGTCATTGTAACGGTAAGATAGTGACGGAACTGGATCTCTTTGTAATGTGTGGTGGTGTGGTGAAGGTTCTGGTGGCATGTCGGCGTAGCAAACGTGAGTCGGTGAGCAAATGTGTCGTCTAACTTGATAGGCCGCGCGCCATTGTGTTTGTCAAACAACGAATGTAGCGCTTCCGTGGTATCTTCTGGTATTTCCAGTGCAGTCGAAGCGCGGAACTCGAATGAAAACTTTTCGTGGCCATTGCGTTGTGCTCGCATTTCGAGCTCGAGGTAACGGTTGAGCTCGCTCACAACCAGGTCCATGCTCTCAATCCGCACGTGCTTGCGTTGCGGTTGGACTACCGTGCGGATACTAAATGCCTCGCCTGGCGAAAAGGCCGCTTGTTCTATGACGACTTGGATGTCCGCCGCGGTAATGCGCTTCTCGAGCGTTCGCGAGAGATCTTGCACCGAATTATTGGTCAATAGCGAATTGGACATGTACGTTCGTAGAATCAAAACGTGCTTGGAGACGTGCCACGAGTTAAGAAGCTGGATTCCTGGGCGGGTGACTCGTGCCTCAACGGTGTGTCGCACGCGACCATACATGTCTTCAATGGTTTCGACGACGGACTATTTACATCGAAAAATCAGGAAAAACAATTAGCTCTAGGTCTCGGGAAAAACAATAGATGGAAGATTTTGATCGTTTTATTACTCACGTTAGGAACGAGGAAAACGAAAGGAAAGCGATGGGTGCCTGCAGGCAACTTTGTCGACTGTTCATCCTCGGTCTTTGTCAAGACTTGCACGTTCTCTTCACTCAACACTTTTTCAGAGGTTAGCCGAGTGCCACGAATGCCAATGCCTAAACAACACCAAAATTATCAACGATAAGATAAGCGATAAAGCTGCAGATTCAGTTAAACGCAGTTGATTGCTTTACCTTCAGGCCAGTAAGTGGTCGCTGTAGATTTAAAGGTCACACTAACACTTGAGATCTTTGTCGGTTTTGGTAATGACAAGACAACATTGCCAGAGAAAACTGATTGGACATCTTCTTCGGGACCCCCACGTAGAATGACCGGCTTCAAAGGATCAAACGACAAATGAGTTTGCGAGATCTTTTTTAAGTTCATCGCGTCGGGGGATCAGTAGACGGCACAGACGGAGACAGACAAAAGAGTGAGTGATATAAAAGGCCTTATTGTTTACAAAAGGTCGAGCAAATAGAATGTGAAACTTGCACAGAAACAATAAACGAAATCGATGAAAAAAAAAATCCTCGACCTTGAAGCTACCATATTTCATTTTCAGGCCAAACGCCGACACAATACACAGCTCTAGGTGCCACTAATACAACGACGAGGACTACACCAGGTGCGCTCGGATCAAGATCTCGACACAACCGTGAGAAAATTCACGACGTATTTGGCGATCATGACATGTCATTTTATCGGCAAACGTTCCCATTCGCTGTCCTCAACGAAGCTACTCGAAACCACATGTTCATCTGATTGTTCTTCTTACAGGAACACAGGGCGCGGGCACCGGATTACTCTCTTTCTCTCTCTCGGGAAAATAGGATTCCACAGTCACATCGAACCAATTTAGCCTTTACATCTTTACCTAATACACACGAATAGAAATAATATGCCGTTAATCGTATTGACCGGATTCCCGAGCAGTGGCAAAACAACAAGAGCAAAGCAAATCGAGCAGTACATGCTCCAGCGCCTTCAGGCCGAAGAGCGGTCCATGCGCATTCACATAATCAATGACGATTCGCTCAATGTCAGCAAAGATGCATATCGAGGTGCGGATTTCGCTCTGATCCGTGTGTCTATGCGTTGGAGAATTATAGCTCACAAGTACCCGTTCATACATAGAGGCACGCGAAGAAAAGAAGGCTCGCGGTGCTATGCTTTCAGCGGTGGAACGACTATTAAGCAGAGACGACATTGTTATTGCAGACGGCATGAACTATATCAAAGGTTTCCGATACCAGCTGTACTGCGTTGCGCGCGCCATTAGCACGTCTCACTGCGTGGTAAGAAATATAGGGAATAGACCATTTACGTTTGTTTTATCGTAACCACTTATTGTTGCTAGGTACACGCAGGCACACCGATTGCTATGGCAAAAGAATGGAACACGAAACGAGAATCGGCAGAGGCATATGACTCGACTGTGTAAGCAATATCTTGGGGGGAGGAGAGGACATGCAAGCAAAGTAATACAGGAAAGAGATGGTGCGATTTCGGGGGACTGATTAGAAGATTGATCAACCTCTTCCTTACTGCTGCTAGATTTGATGAACTAGTGACACGCTACGAAGAGCCAGACTCAAAGAATCGGTGGGACTCGCCACTCTTCACAGTCATTTACGATGACGAAAGTGCTCCTGGCGATAAAATCTGGGATGCGGTCATTTTGCGTAAACCGCCACCACCGAACATGTCAACTATTTCCGTAAGTGGTGTGCAACCATTTCCCTTTCTCGTATAATTTAAACCCAAACCTTATTCTGGCTGTCGTAGAAACCCGTATCAGATACGAGCTACGTGTATAAGCTCGACAAAGTGACGCTTGAGATCATCAATGCCGTGACCGAAGGCCAAAAGGAATTCGGTGCCGGTGGTCTGCCCATGGTTGTCCCGCATGCCTCGGCCAAGGTGATCAATCCCTCACGCTCAGTGACCTTATCAGAACTACGGCGTCTGCGCAAGCAGTTTGTGTCCATCAACAAGATGCGCACTACGCTGGACACTGATCGTCTAGGCGATCTTTTTGTTGACTACCTCAATACAAACTTGGAATAGAGATGATATCATGCCATGATTAAGTGTGTGTACTGTGTTTCTGCTTTGGCTTTTTTGTTTTTCATTGGGAGACGGAGGTAGAGGAGGCAAACAGCGAGATTTGATAGGCCATGAAGCGCATGATTAAGCAAAGCAGAGCTCTTGGCTCCGACTCGCTGGCCGACTCAAAATGAAGAAGATCGAAATCATTCGAAGATAGTCTGCGTTTTTGATTGGGTATCACGAGGCTTGACTAAGCATTTCAAGCAGCGAGGGTGGCTGTCCTGTTTATCAACAATCGGTGGAGCGCGCGTCACCTTGAAAACCCGCCCACCCATATAAAAGCCGGGGGCAAACCTGTAATTTTGGAATCATCTTTTTCCCTTTCGTAATATTAAAAAATGGGTAAGCTTCCCTCGCTTCCGCTACTGCTGCGCCTTGTCCCTTGCTTCGTTAGCATGTTACTGACCTCTTCCTGTTTGCTCTTGTACAGTCGCTCAAGTTCAAAAGCCCGCTCCCGCCTTCACCCTTCCCGCCGTCGTCGATGGTGAGTTCAAGGATGTCTCGCTCGCTGACTACAAGGGCAAGTACGTTGTCTTCTTCTGGTACCCCATGGACTTCACCTTTGTCTGCCCCACCGAAATCCTTGCCTTCTCTGAGCGCGTCAAGGAGTTTGAAGCCTTGGACACCGCTGTCATTGCTGCCTCCACCGACTCTGGTAATAAACGTGCTCGCTTTGAACACGCGTTTTTATGTTGTTGTCTTCTTTTGCGGAAGATGTCTTTCTAACACAGCTCCCTTCCGTTGACTTCCATAGAATTCTCTCACCTTGCCTGGATCAACACTCCCCGCAAGCAGGGTGGTCTTGGTGACATGAACATCCCTATCGTCGCCGATAAGACTAAGAAGGTCGCTCGCGACTACGGTGTCTTGCTTGAGGATGAGGGTGTTGCCCTTCGTGGTACGTATTTGATTAAATGTGGGGGAATAACGTGACAGCATTGTACTCATCATTTGTGTGCATTTTACAGGTCTCTTCATCATCGACCCCAAGGGTATCGTCCGTCAGATCACCATCAACGATCTTCCCGTTGGTCGCAACGTCGACGAGGCCCTTCGTCTTGTTGAAGCCTTCAAGTTCACCGATGTCCACGGTGAAGTTTGCCCTGCCGGTAAGATGACACGGAAAATGGAATATGAAAACCGGGAATGGGAAGAGTAGTGTAAGGGTTACTGACATGTTCAATTGCTATATAGGCTGGCAAAAGGGTGCTGAAACCATCAAGCCCGAAGTCAAGGCCTCCAAGGAGTACTTTGAGAAGGCCAACTAAGTGCAATCTCAGCTGTACATGAATAAGACTCCATAGCTTTGCTTTTTTTTCTTGCGCTTTGTACCATACTTTTTAAACCAAAATAAATACATTCTTTGACTGCAGAAAAAAAGAAACGGAAGGACATGGGATCGTGTGTGATAGGCACAATACACACGTGGTAGGTGGCATGGGCTGTCAAAAGTATTCACGCTCCCACGCTTTCGAGAGGGCTTTTAAAAAAGCAGTTCCTATGTAGTCCCGAACCGCCGACGTGTGTATATTTGCGACTGCAACCTGTGCCGCTTAGTATACAAACATAGACGCCCCTTTTGCCACCTATCACTAAAAAAATGCGTTCGGTGTTTCCGACTTCATCGCCTGAGTCTTTACTTGCGTCTCTCTCTCTCTATTGCCTACGTTGTGTATCTGCGATTTCTAGGATCTCTTTCATATATTAAATCACCTCCACGTTGATATATCGCTTCAAACGATCAAATAATATATCGCCCTGTATTCTCTTTCAAACGAAAATCCGGATTACCCGTGACCTCATCTTATTTAACACATCGGTATCAGATACAAAGATGTCAGATCAAACAAAACATATTTTGCAGTTTATAGATACACTGCTGATTCGAAGCGCATCAATGTCAAGTTCTCTATGAATCAGAGCAACCACACAGAATACATAACCTATGATGATTTACAGTGTCGTCAGCAAAACATACAGATCTGTTTTGGTGAGGTATATTGGGCACCAGATGCCTTTTTACATCCTCCGCACCGACAGTTTGAAAAAGGCATTTCCAATACTAGCGGCAACATAGAAGCACCGTTGTTTGACGTGATGTGCTACCCCACGTAACTGCTCACTGAACTGGATGCGCACCTTGCTGCAACAATCGACAATAATAAAGAACAAAGAAACGATATCTCCCTTTCTCATAACTAGTAGTGCTTATGCAAGATGTGGTTGCAGAATTGCATAATAATTCCGGGTGCTGTGGTGTAACAGCTTGATGAGTGCATCGATATAGATATCTATTGCTATGATAGAAAGACGGTTGATTTTGTCGAAAGCAAAACACTGTATTTGGCTCTATCGTACTGTAGAGATAAACACCATTCACAAAGTATCATGCTCTTCCAAGAAAGTTATGTATGTCATACACTCTTTTGAGACAACCGAGCTTATTTTGCTTCGCTTACTTTCTTTGTAGTATCAAGATACGGTTATTGCAACAGTAACGTACTTGCATCAATATTATGGTAGAGGCAGTAATCTGCAAGCAAAGTGTCCGTCAATTCTGGGCTTGCCCTTAAAAAAAGTCAATTGTGCGAAAGAGCAGTATCATTTGCTCTACATATACTTATTTGCGCCTACTGGACGACTAAATGGCATACATGTACTTTGCCTGCATAAAGAATGGCCAAACGCAATTTAACGCTACATATCTCATCGTTACAGCAATTGGTCGCATTGAAAATGAAACGATAGCATGTGTTATACAGTAGCAGAACTTTCATGATCTCATCGGTGAATGACTGACTATCCACAAAGCAGCAAATGTAAACTTGTTGCTTATATAAACTTGACATTTTCGTAGAGCTAAAAAGTACGAAACAAAAAAATCAGCAAGAAATGCACACACCTACTGTTAGCAGGTGTTTTTTTAGGTCAGTGATTCCAAACAATGGAGGTAATCATCAATTACGCCACACTTAAGCCGGTAACATTTTTGGTACCGTCTCGAAATTCAGTTTTGTGATTTAATGCTTTCAAAGGCTCTTGAAGGCTACGAAAAGCGTTTCAAACTTCCGACGACGTAGACGCCGGTGCAACTTTCAACTAAACATTTTTTCAAAAGCTTAGTGGAACGAACAAACAGCCATGCTATTCGTGCAAGTAGTAAATAGAATCCCAGAGGAGTTGAAAGCTATCGAATGTTCTTCGTTGATATGTTCCGTTCATGTAAAGAAGTGCATGAGCGTGATTGAATATTGACTTTGCATCGGGCATACTACAAAAAGTGTCACATAGTAGACCAATGGAGAAAGGATATAGCTGTCATGACTGATGATTAATCTATTACAAATTACGTTGGATAGCAAGATATTGGGAACTTGTAAGATTTTCAATTGAGTAGTAGTAGTAGTAGTGATTGTATAGCAGCAACCTTTCCCAGTTCTGTTACTAATAGATTACCATCAGAAGGAGTTCGTACCACTATCCATCGATTAATGTCAATTCGTGCCATCCGCCAAAAAGCAAATAAAGGGGAGTCAATTCTTAACATATTCCGCAGCCTTACAACAGGCCGATCCAAGATATGAATGCTTCAAGCTTATCCGTACCGATTGTAGAATCAAGCTGAGAAGAATCTAATCGGCTATACGGCGATGTTCCCTAAAGGTCCGTTAATACCGCGCCTGCCTCGAGTAAAATTGACAAGCATACTTGTTGTATTTCAATATAAACTGTCTATATTTCGCAAATTGTAACTGTATACAAAAGATCATTTGAGCATTCGGTAGCCAGCAGCGTGCAACTGATGAACAATGGCAGCATTGTTGTCTCCTTGGGGACAACATTCAGGATAGCTGAAAGGAAGAACAAAGTGAACCATGTACCGATCCCAGTGTCGATGCAACATCAGCATGATGGTTCAGGTTCAAGAAAGTTCTTACTCAGGAGTAGAGTGTTTTTGTGTACAAAGCGAACGCTTTATTTTCCCCTTCGAACGTTCATAGAATAAAACTTGCTGTTGCGGACCCTCTATTCAAAAGAACTTTCTAACGAAGACATAAAATCCTTATAAGGATTTTTTACAGTCCTGCGGCCTCCTTTTTTTCTCTCTTTTATCTCTTATTTTATTTGCGTTTGACTATTTACACCAAAGAAGCACAACATGAAAATCATTCCTATCCAGGTCTTGGAAGACAACTACTCTTACATTCTCATCGATGACACGACGAAAGAAGCCGCTGTTATTGACTGTGTCGATCCTATCAAAATTCTAAATGTTGTGAGCCAAACAGGTGCCAAATTAACCAGGTATTTTCGATATGCCGGACGGCAGCAAGGTCCATTTTTCATTCAGGGATAGCAACAACTAAATAGTCCTGTCGTATAGTGTGTTTGTTACGCACCACCACTGGGATCATTGTGGAGGCAATATCGAACTAGTAGGTAAATAAACACTTTATGACCGGCAAAACGGTTCGCTATGTTTTATTGCCATTTTTAGTTTATAAAGTGGGATCCGAGTAACACAAGAACATCTCGGTGGAGTTTGTTATTTATCGCTGAAGATGGGATTGTATTACACATGTAGCAAAGAAGCCGGGACTTGCTGTCAGTGGTGCAGACGCAAGAATCCCAGACATCAACTTTGTGTGCAAGGATAATGAAGAGTTCAAGCTTGGTACATTGGTAGTAACGCCTCTTCACACGCCATGTCATACCAAGGGTCACGTCTGCTACTTTGTCACGGATCACAGCACGAATGAAAAGGCGGTGTTCACCGGAGAGTGAGTGAGATATAATATGGCCTTTTTGTGCGCAATAGTATCATCGGGAACAATGGGCTGGTATAGTAATCATGAGATATATATAACAGCACACTGTTTGTGGCTGGCATTGGCAAGTTCTTTGAAGGTGACGCGCGGGACATGTACCGTAATTTGTTTCACGTCCTTGGCAAGCTGCCGGATGATACCTGGGTTTACTGTGGCCACGAATACACCAAGACCAATTTAAAGGTAAAAGAAGGAAAGACAACGGGTAAAAAATGCACAAGTGTAATGACATGATCTAAAACGGTAACTTCTATTAAAGTTTGCTCTGTCACTTGAACCCCACAACGAGGCACTGATGGCAAAATGGGCATGGTGTCAAGACAAGCAAATCACGGTGCCATCAACAATAGCGCAGGAGAAAGCATATAATCCATTTCTACGGGTGAACGAGCAAACCATACAGCTGATCACTGGCAAGAGCGACCCTGTCGAAGCTTTAGCAACGCTTCGTGAATTGAAGAATGCATTCCGATGTTAACTGCGGCGATCTCTTTTAGGCTTAAATAACCTTTTTGCATACTACTACTACTACTATGTGTACTACAGGCCAACTAGCTTGTATGTCTAATCTGTCCCCACCCGCTCCTACTTCTCCATCGTGTCTCTTACTTTCCTACTATATAGTCTATCACACTAATTCTGTAATACCACATGACAACGACGCCCTGGCTTTTTTTTAGTATCTTTTTCTTCTATCACTTTTGAGGAAATATTTAGAAATGCAATGTTCATTTTTGATCTACGTCAATCGATATGCTGTGCCTGCATTGTCGATCTTGTTTTTTCTGTATCATCATCATCATCATCAACCTCTCCGAATTTCCTCCTGTCTCACATTTCGTGTGGGACTCCTGTTCGTTGTACAGTGCTTTCTATATAGGAGATACCAGTGACAGAGTACGCTTAAACAGGAGGCAGAACTCTACTCAAATCCCACTTTGCCAGATCCACTGGACTAAGAAAAAAAAATACGTCTATCATCAAGACAAAGCAACAATTAAAGAACAAACAAATCACCACACCCGTCAGCTCGAGAATTTATCATAAAAAACATGTAGGTTCTCCTTTTTTTTCCAATACTATGCTACCTCGTCTAGTGACGTGCCGGGTCGTCATCAAAGCTATATGTATATGATGATGTGACTATTCCGTCCATATCAGAGTGCAAATACATCTATCCAGACATGAAATGTCTCAAATTTGCCTTTGGTTTTCTGAAAGGATTTGTATTTAATTCTGCGTACTTCACATCATTCTGCACATCTACAGCCGCCCCTTCTTTTTCACTTTTGGTTTCTACTTTTATATAACATGTCAGCGCCGGAAGAAGAGCTACAAGTCAATCAAACTGTTAGCGATGACAGCAATGGTGTTTCAAAGACCAGGCGCCATGCCTGGCTAAGGCCGGTTTTGCCACCACTACTACAATCTTTCTTTATCCAATTTCTCACTGGAATCAATGATGGCAACCTTGTACGATACAACTACGATTACATTTTAAAAGGAATCATCGATACACGCCCTTTGCTACCGCTACTCATACACAAATTCTCTTGCGTTGTGTAGGGCATCATTCTACCGAGTATGAAGAGCTGGTATAATGTGAATCAATCCATTGTTTCAATCGTGTTTCTATGTTATGCAGCCGGGTTTGCAATAGGTAACCGTATCGCACCTCATAAATATACATTCGATCAGCAAACGAGCATCAATAATTACTTGCAACTAACTACAAAAATACATATATCACTATAAAAGCTGCTGTGCTAAACGGATTGATTATAAAGAAGTTGAGCCAATCAAAGACAATCGCCATCGGTGCAACGTCCCTCGTGATTGGCTTTGTTATGCTACTGATGGCGCCACCTTTCCCTGTACTATGCATATTCTACGCTTTTGTTGGGTTTGGCGTGGCACTCACGCAATCTGGCGCAAACGTGGTTGTTGGTGAACTGCCGAATGCAACAATGACGCTAAATTTTCTGCATGGTATGTGCTGGTATTGTATTCTATTGTGAGGGTAAGATATTAAAAAGAGTGGAAAATCTTTGCAGCTTCGTTCGGTCTCGGTGCATTGATTGGACCACTTATTGCATCCGCCCTGCTTCAATATCGACCCTGGAACTACACTTATCTCGTACTTTCAAGTTTCGCGGTGGTCAACCTTATCACCAGCATATTCTCGTTTCGCCACTTGAAAATCGCAGAGGAGCAAGATCAGGATGACCGCAGACGACATGTGGGCATTGAACCTGATCTCGAAGCTACCGCAGTTGAACTTGGACGAAGCGAAGAGGATGGCGAAAAAGTATCCGGCAAAGAAGAACAAGAAAAGCCAAGTGCCTCTTCTTGTTGTCGTACTCCTTCCGTACATTCAACGCGCTCCAACCAGTCAATCCATTCTTCCAGCAGCGGTACTACAGCTGTCTCCTCCTTAGGCGACCAAGATCAACAAGACGCGCAAAGAAATGCTCTATCTCAAGTGATCCGTTACCCCATTGCTTATGTTGGAGCATTCTTTTTATTGGTGTATGTTGGGATTGAGGTGACCATTGGCGACTGGGCATACACTTTTCTAATTACCGAACGAAGCCACGATCAAAAGTTCATGTCCCATTTAATGTCCTGTTACTGGGCAGGGATTACTGCAGGCAGACTCATTTTGGGCTACGTGACAATGAAGCTGGGTGAAAAACGCATGATCTACGTGTACATTGCCATCTTGATTGGCATGTGCGTCGTGTTCTGGGTCATTCCGATAGTGGCGGTGGATGCAGTGGCGCTAGTACTATCTGGTTTTGTGCTTGGACCTCTGTTTCCCACGATTTTGTCTGTTGCCAAGCAATCTGTACCATGCCATCTCTATGCAACCACTGTAGGATTTCTTTCTGCTGTATGTCATTTCTTCTGTTTCATAATATGCCAGCACTTTGTTCCTGTTTTTTTATTATTATTGCTGACCAATATCTTTCATTTACTCGCATACAGTTCGGTAGTGGTGGGTCGGCACTTTTCCCCTACATCACAGGTGTACTTATTGGTGCTGTTGGAGTCAAGGCAATGCCTCCGCTGACGTTGGCAATGTCCACTACTATATTTATTGCTTGGTTCTTTATACCAAATCCTGAAGCCAACCATAGATCGTTGGTTAGGAAACTAGCGGCTTTCATTTTTAAACGGGCGCAGTAATTTGAATGTTGTACACATAAAGCAGCTTTGTATGTATATACACACACCAGAACATCACATGTGTGTCGCGGAGCCCCAGAGAAGGATTAAAGAAACGGAATATCAGAAGCATCGTATGTAGTAAAAAATGGATGTGTGTCATTCAACTTTATCTTTTTTTCTTATCAACTAATTCAACTCTTCTCTTTTTCAAAGAATAAAAAACAAAACAAAACTTTTCATTATCTTAAAAAGTACGCGACATAATGTATTAACATAACATAACTAAGGTATTAAGGAGCTACTGCGAACAGTAGAAGTTCGAGTACATGTTGGTATTAGGATCGTCATAGAAAGGAGTGGTTGGATGTTGTTTTTGTTGCTGCTGAGAGAGTATCCACGACATGAATTCTTCGTTATCAAGCATAGGTTTTTCGGCAACGTCTGCTGCTTCGTCGAAAGGATAATGGAATGGGGCAGAGCTGGAGTCCATGGAAGTGGTGCTGGAAAGTGGTGTAGGGAGCGGAGGGGGAGAACTGCTTGCTGTAGATAGACTACCGGTGATACTATTAGCGCTGTTGATAGCAGTGATAGGAATGTTTGCAACTTGTTGTTGGTTATGAGGCTGTCTGTCGCTTAATACTACTGGCTGTGTACTTGGTAGCAGTGGAGCCGTGGAAGTAGACGGAGCTTGATGATGTTGGTAATGGTTCTGATGATGTTGTTGTTGCTGCTGATGTGGATGCGGATGCGGATGCGGGTGCTGATGCTGATGCTGGTATTGTTGGCTTTCCTGTTGTTGCAGGTCTTGGGGTATATTGGTCGTGTTCACGAGACTTGGCGGTGTGCTTGCTGTGGATGACACTGGTGAAAAGCAAGCCGATGATGTCGCTTGGTTGCCCACAGAAGGAAGGTCATAGCCGCTTGGGGGAATAACCGAACCAGAAGGAGGGGCAGGGAGACCATTGGGATAGGCACCTGGCTGTTGCTGCTGCTGTTGACACAAGTAAGCAAAAAGGAACGCAGAAAGCTCGCCATAGGTGGCAAAGACGGGTTGGAACTGTCGCCTTTCGTGAACTTTGTAGTGCCGACGTAGGTTACTAATGACGGTAAAGCGTCGACCACAACCTGGACTGTATTTACGTTTGACGTGAGTACGCTTCTGTTATTTTCTCTCTCTTTCTTTTGTCGCTACTACTCCATAGCAAACGCGCACATAGTAAAAGTGAAGAAGAAAACTTACACATGGCATGCGAACGGCTTTTCACCCGTGTGTGTGTATCGGTGTGGCCGTAAAGCGCTTGGACGTGTGAATGTTTTGAAGCAAAACTCGCAGTGAAGAATACGTTTCTTGGTCATAGTGCTATTACTGCTGGGAGCCTAGAGGCATATAATGAAATGAAGGGAAAGTAAAGAAGAAAGAATTAAGCACAGATTCTCGCTCGCTGCATGTTTAAGTAGTGAGCGGGTTACGGGTCAGGGGCAACTCAACAAGAGTAGTCCAGCATGTATGTATGATACGACTTATAGTAGACCGATCGTTTTTGTATATTGCAAATAATGCGTGAAAAAAAAAGATACATTAGGAAGCTGTCATTGAAAATAATAAAGCATACATCACAGTCGTGCGTTCAACAACCATCCAACAAGCATTCACTTTATTTTTTCTTCATTCCAATGTTGGTACAGTAGTATTAAGAAACTTATAAATTAGTCAATGCACTCGTTTTCCTGTACCTGGGATGTAAATCATCACAAAAGGGTCCATAAGGAGACTTATTCCTAAATGCTTTTTTTTTCAAAGTATTAGGTGGAATTTCCGAAACTCTGACGCACGTAAAATTTAAACGCGTATCCGGTCTTGGTATGTGAGGGGAGGAAGTGTTTACGCACTTGGCTTACCTTGTGGTACTTTTTCACAGCTAACTTATTTTGTGTATACCTTATGGTGCTGCTGCCGTAATAATAAGATTTCCGGATACTTACCTGACCACTGGGTGCCAATGTTTCATTTACGTAGCAAGTGTTACCATCGTGCATCAATGCCACTCATACATAACGTTGTAAACAAATGGGCTCATCACGATCACTTATGTAACGTTACGCCGAACGACCGCTATGGTGGTGGTCCGTCACAGCGCAGCAAGCATCTGCGGATGGATGCTTGGTTATTTAGTTAGTTAGTTATTCAAGTTTAGCGCTAGCACGTTATTCAGCGGTTTGGCTCGTTCCATCTAAAAGGAGGAAGCGATCAGCAGCTCAAAAGAACATGCGCCAGATGCATATAACTGATATTCAATATTTGCAAATTAAAAAATCTTCAAAAGAAAAACTTGACAGTACAAAGCGGGGTCTCCTTAACCATGCTAACGCAATGATTTATACTCTGCTCTGTTGTCAAAAATGCAATACATCCCATCAATTAAATTTGATGAGTAGCAACGCGTACGTAGTGAAGGGGAATGGAAGGGAGATAATGCATCTACTATATGAAGTGATATTCGTGATGATATTCTCCAAGGGTTGGTGTAATAATAATAATAACAGAGGGAAAAAAGAGCTATGCGCACAGATCATCATATGCATTTGTATCCACATCGGCGAATCTGTACTAGCCCGCTGTGTATAATGTATAACGTGTGCTTGGACCAGTCATAATACGAATCTTGTCACAAACGTTATATGAGGTGAACGCAAATCGATCTCCCTTCCAGATTCTTTCTGATAGTGTCATGATCCTCGTGTGTTAGGTAATAATAAGGCTTGGTCATCATCGGTGGCCCCAGAAACGCAATAAGCTTTAGCCTGTATTTTGTGCATTCTTCTTTGTGGTGCTATACAAACCACTCTTCTAGGTTTAGTTGACTAGTTTGGGAATCGATTAAAATTTTTCTCTCTCTGACTTGACTGTACTGGGTACTTCCCCACCCTTGCCTCCCCCCAAGCATTTATTGCGCCGAAGGGGTGTGCTAGCATTCGAACCACTTTTTTGTTCGGTTACATGGGCCCTGTTCTGTTAAGTTGATGCATGTGCAGGGTCATGAGGTCTTGGGTGCTCTCCCCCCACCCCTACCCCTACCCCCGCCCCTCGGATGAGGCAAGGCATCAGTTTTCGAAAAGTAGCTAGCTCTGATTGCCTTTTCAGGGGTCATCGAAGTAAATGCATTGTGTCAAGCCGTCGTTGTAAAAGTCGACAGTACCCAAGTGAATATCGCGTACATTACATTTATTGTGCATATTGAGCAGACCATCATCCAGGAAAACACGGCCTGGTCTCCTTACTATGTACAAATAACGATTATTTCTCTTTACAGCGGAAGAGAAGCCATTTCTTTTTTAGAATTTTCTACACAGGCAAGATGTGAAAACTAGAACTAACTGGGTATCGTAATAACCTCTTCCAACGTATTATGCAATCGTTCCGATATATGCCCCTTGTCCCCGTGCGCTGGTATTCTGACCAACCGGTCGTGTAGTAGAATGGCATATGCTTCAGTACTTTGCTTTTGCTGTATATGATACGGCTTCCTTGGCTTTCTGTTGTCTGTATAGCACTTCAATGCAGTGCAGACAATCTTCAATTGATACTGAGAAGTGCTGTGTGCTGCATCGGTGAAGACACCTACCTGTCACGTTCCGAGCGTATTTATTTACCAAGTTTCTTTTATTTACCAGCACTAAAAGCCTTCGTTTGAAAAGTTGTTTGTTGCACATGGTGGTGGCCAGGGGCATACACATATGTCCGATTAGACCCATTCTTTTCTTCCAGCTCTCAGTGTACGTTAAAAGGAAATCAACCTCTCTCTCTTTATATGTATGCTACTACTGATGGTTTTTAAAATGCACGGGACAGGTAAAGCTTGCATCTGGTAAAAATCCCAATAGTTTTAAGCAACATTAAACTGGAACTCGGATGCGTTGTGCTATATGGCTTTAGAGAAAAAGAACACCCTTGTGCTACAGTAAACACCTGATCATTCGATCTGTGTGACCACGACATACTTTACGCGCGGGCAGTTTGAGTGGGAAATCGTCCCGTTTGTAACACAAAAGGCTATACTAAAAAAAGCTTGTCCCTGATTGCCATGGGAAACCTTTTATTCCTTATATACAACAAAATGGAAGCTCTTTGTGATACCTGAAAGGCTTTGGCATGATGATCGCCATTGCATAGTGTCTAGCCGATGCATGAAAGAATACGAGAATATATCTATCATCTCGTCAATTGTACTTTACAACGACAACAGTTATGAGACAAGCACTCACCAGTACATACTTACATATAATATGGTGGAAGAGAACCAATGAATGGGTTGTTTTAATTTTCAGACAACTGTGTACTGTTTGCTATCAGTTTGAACGCAAATATATCAATAACGTGTCGGTGCACCATATGAGCTCATTGTGTACGCCATCGTGTTGATTATGTAGTATAGCTTAAGGTATAAGCTTCGGGCATTCGTGCTGCTTGCATAAAAGTAGCAAATCCTTCTCTTTTTCAGATTTGCGGTACATATTGTCACATGCTACATATGTTAGCATATGTCTCTATAAGTTGAACGATCGAAAAAAAGCTTCGCTCCACCAATTTTTTTATTTCTTGTACTAATCAGCATTATCAAGAAGACTATTCATGACTTCTTGGCTACTTTACTGTACGGACATTAGAGTATACCATTTTTTTCTTTCATAATGACATAGTGCTTCTGAAACCTATTTCAACATAGTAGACGAAGAGAATAAAACAATAGAAAGTATAGCTCTTAAACACACTATATGAACTACATACCTATTTAAAAATCCAATGACTTTAGTAGCAGCTTTTCAAAGAATAGATCACATTTAATAGAAACTTTGATGGTATATAGTGAAGAAGAGATATACAGAGAGCCATATTGCTACAATATCATTTTCTCTAAACAATGGCTAGTGAAGCATCCTGCAAGGTAGAATTATGTGGTCTAGAGCATAGCTATATTGTAAATTATTGATGTTGTTTCTGAGGATATCTCGTTAGATAACAACAGTAATATATTGGAAGCGCTCGAGATAAAAGCTTCGTATTACAGATCTTTTCGACGTGTACAAAAATCGATGAAAGAATAAAACACTGTTGTATCGTGCTATTCGTAAAATGTGGAGCAAAGTACTACTTTTGCATTCCGCATGCCAAAAATTTCAAAACATTGCAGTATATTTATCTGTCATCTTCATACGTATCTTTATTTTACAACATTACGTCTGCAAAACACTCATGAGAGCACTGTGTTAGTTTTTTCAGGGTGGCATCTACTGCTTTGAAACCTGAAACTCTCCTGGTACACCAAATATAAACTGTGTGCATAGTCATTACATGTTGTGTGAACAATTCTTTACTTATATACGGAGAATACAAAGTTTGACTCGATATAAAACCATCACTGCAACTCCTTTTCTCTCTGGCGTCAACATCGTCATAGTTTCTATATATACGAAACTTTGGGATGGTGAAATTACTAAATCATAAACAATTGTTCAACAAGCGACGTTAAAAGACTAATTAACAGCGTGCTATAGTGATACTTAGGCTGCCTTTTGCGTGAGAGAACACAGGTTATTCGATCCGGCAGAAATGCAGAATCAGGCATTTTGCAGGATCTAATGGCTGGGTGCAGCGGAATACCGAAAAACCAATGGCATTTGTGGAAAAGCATCGTTTTGGCGGCCTTACAACAACAAACATTACCGGATAGCAAACAAACATTGCGTGTTAAGACGAACAAATCTAAAGGGAAACGTAATCACAGCAAAGCAGTAGCTCTAGCAGCTTATGTTTTCGGATAATATAGTAATTGGCAAAAGTGAAAAAGATCACGATAAATATGAAATAATAAGTGCAAAAAAAAATTCAGTACTGGGTAGTGCTTCCTTAACTTTATGAGAAAGTACACATCTTGATTATGTTTATTTATCTTCGCAGTTATATTGCCACTATGTCATGACGTACCGCAATACATCAATGCTTTTAGAAACCCAGTTGCCACACCAGTCATTGTTTACTGTTGTGTATACGGGTTATATTATGTTTCAGCAGAAAATACCTTTTGATTTCTCTGTGGCAATCTATTCTATATTCTGATCTTTCTATTCACTTATTGCTTTGTCCCAACTTCTTCTTTTATTTTTCTTCTCTCATACCTATATGCACATTTTTAAAGATGAAGACCAGCAGCCGGTCAAGAATATCGCTGAATCCAGCTGCTATAAGAGCGTAACGTCAAACGACGATACGATTGATATTCTATCATCGTCTGAAAGCGTCAATACTACAGAATCAGCATATGCATACGCTGCTAGCGACACTACCACAGCAGAGCCGTTGTTAAAAGACACGTCTAGTACACGATCATATACAAGCATATACTCGCGAAACGTGCCCAAACGAGGCATTGACGATCGTCAAGGAAGATTATCCGATACTGCACCAGAGGAGCTACGAACACAATATATTTTGGGCGGAAAAGCTAGCCTAAATACTATCATCATATGGTTTGTGAAAACAATTGTTTGATATGGACGCTCTACATATGAATCAAACTCAATCTATTACTAGTGTTTACATCGGAGTATGCCTTACTTGCATTGATGCATCAATTGTTTCAATAATCATGAGTCAAATTGGTAGTGAATTTGAAAGGTATGTCTTTTAATTTTCAAGTATAAGTATTAGTCTCTGGTTAATCAAACTTATGCACATATTGACTGGTGTAACTTTATAGCGCCAATCTTGCTACATGGATTCATAGTGCATACACCTTAGCAACGCTCGTGACTATGCCACTAGGTAATAAAAAGCTTGAATATCAACGCTTCTTCTGTCATTTAAATACAGCACTCTTATTTTATCTGGTAACCTTCGTTTTCTTCTCACTACAGCGGGAAAACTATCCGATATATTTGGACGCAAAGTCATACTGGTTGCGATCAACGCGTTGTTTCTAATTGGATCGATCGGATGTGGCGCGGCACAAACGTTCAACCAATTGATCCTTGCCCGAATTGTAGCAGGGCTTGGTGGAGGTGGACTCACTTTGATGGCAAACATTATTATTCACGATCTTGTACCTGCCAATAAACGCAGCCAATATCAATCTTACGCAGGAGCAATACAAACTGTAAGTGCGCCGATACGATTCCATGGCATGGGCCCACATATTTAAAAGTGGATTTATTATCTAACCATATTCTGCTCTCATACAAAAAGCTTGGTGTTGCCCTAGGTTCGTCCATTGGAGGAGTGATCACCGATACATTTGGATGGAGATATTGTTTCAAGATTAATATCATTCCTTTCGTGTGGATGTTATATATATTTATATTCCAAATGAACAACTACAATGCACCATCAGCGACAGCCAAGTTGGGAGAGAAACTGCGTTCGATTGACTTTCTTGGTGCTGCTTTACTGGCCTTAGCCAACGTGACCCTTGCGACAGGACTCTTACTAGGCGGCAATACACACGATTGGAGTGACATCCTAATTATTTCGTTGATAACCACTTCAATCACTGCATTTGTCTTGTTTGGATTCCATCAAGTCCGATGGGCCAAGAATCCTATCATCTCGCCTACGACAGCTGCTAACCGCAATGTGTGTGGCGCGTCCCTGTGTATGCTTTTGATCTGTGTGGCGAGCAGCGCCACCATATGTCTGGTGCCACAGTTCTTCATGGTAATGTGTGACATTACAGTAGATCAATAACAGGAACAGAAACTGCTACTAGTACGCCTAATGAAACACGTTTGACCTCTTTCCACATGACATATCAAAATGACCAGGGCATCTTAAAATTCACAACGTCAAAGGCAGGGCTCTGGGCGATGGCGGAGGCATTTCCAATTCCTGTTGGATGCTCGGCTGCCGGACAATATATTCGATACAGCGGACACTTTAGAAACTACCTGACTGTATCGGCTGGTTTCTATGCTATAGCATTGTACTGTATCAGTCGATGGATGGTTCTGCTTGTGCCCTTTTCAGTCGGGGTAATTTGTATTGCATTGGAAGGATTTTTTGCCGGCTCTGCTATTGTTGGAAGCGTCATTGCAGTAGGAGCAGATATACCGCAGGAAGGTAAGAGAAATTACGGCCCAAAGTAGCAGTATAACTACATCGGAGGAACTAACGATTGCTCTTTTATTGCTACTTAAGAAATCTCTTCTGCAATGGTGGTTTTGACTATGTGTCGTTTTATGGGTAATCTAATGGGTCCTGCAGTTTCCTCTGCCGTCGTACAAGGAAATTTGAAGACACTTTTGCTTGGTCGAATAGATGGTCCTGAAGCTCAAGAGGTAAAGCAATTGAGGAATTTTTTATTATTATTTTTAGCTCGGCATATAGGATACTAATAACGACGACATCTGTTTACGTTCATAGTTGATACATTTCATTCGGACATCGATCAGTAAAGTGCATGTACTAGAGCCAGAGATACAAAACATTGTATTGGACGTGCTTGGAAAATCATTGCAAAAAGCTTTTCACGTAATGAGTGGGTTTGCCATAACCGCTGTTGCTGCGTCGACCATACAGAGAGATATTTCTATATAGCCCTTTGTAATAGTATTTTTGTTTGTATGTAATACCCAAAAAAAAGTTGTTTTTCATTATTTACTTTTACTTTGACCATGATTTCTATTGGGGGCGAATGATGGATGTCGTATACACTCTCTTATTGTAGACAAAGCATCTTTTCTAAACAAACATAACGGGGGTCGCTCAGGCCTATGTCTTTGTTTAATGCAAAGCGAGGTGGCCTCGATTAATAAGGCAAGTTGGCACAATCACTGTACATATATGCCAGTGTTTCCTGACCGAGTATATATGCAGGGCCACCTTATGGTACAAGGTTCAAATCCCTCCCCCAAATGACGATACGGGATATATCTAGTGAAGTTAGCGTTAGTAGGCCAGATGACAACAAGTTTTGACTAAGCTCACAATGTATCGATCTATCGAGATAATAATGTGACCTCATCTGGTGCACACAGGCGAACCACGCAATTTTCTCGTGGTTGCAGTGCCAAGGAAAGTTGTATCCTGTGGTTTAAGTTTGTGCGCCGTCTCGGTCATCTGCAATCGAATGGCTTGCTCATTATAAATTTTCATTGCTTCTTTTTTTGATATAACTCTTATTGAAGCAAGATGTTTTATTCTCTTCTAAGCTCATTAAACCATTTTAGCTAGAAATTAATGGCGGATATGCGTGTTCTGTTACCAAAGCCAATAAGAAATGAATTTAAAAGAGAAAGATATGGTGGGTGATCTTGGTCAATCGAGAATCGAGGGCTTCTTTATCCCCTAAATAATGCAGCAAACTTGCGCATATTACGTTCTAGCTATAACAAGCCGCGTTACATTTGAAGCCACTGAAAGGGTGTATATCTCTACGAAATGGCCAAGACGACCGTATGAACGGAAATATTTTGGGGGGTAATTTTTTTATCGCCATGCATGGGCCCACCGATGGTCATCTCGATTCGGAACCGCGCATTGCTGCATATGAAACGCTTGCCATCACACCACATCGACCCAAGCTATTGGACCGACCTCAGTGTTACACAACGACATGATTTGATGAAAAAAGGGAGCTTCTAGCTCTTCGTTTCTTTTGTTGTCGTCAAATGAGGGGGGATGAGGGCAGGGGTTCCAAAAGACATATCGTGACAGTAGCATAGGACTATTTACATGGCATTTATCGGTTTAATCGAGAACAAAGCAATGCTCCACATGAAATTTCAGATTTGCTAGTGCGCTAATTGCTTTTATGCTGACACATGTGTACGATACTCTGATGCTTTGCTTCCCCATTCTATTACCGGCGTACGCGCTATCAAAAGCTTCCCCTTGGTCAAAAAAAGGCAGAATTGTGGCTATCAGTGGATGCCCTTTTCTGTGATGCAACGAAAATCATCAGGGATGGTTTTGGAGGCAATGATGATGCGCGTTAATTTTCGTCAACTCTTGAAATGATATGTGTAATACTTGCCTCTCTTATACATTTAAGATCGCTTCGGTCTTAGCGTCGCTATAGCAACTGCTACCTCTGTATCACCCTATTCTACTAGTCCTTTTTTAGGAAAAATTGCGGTCCACGGGGAAAAATCCTGCGAATGGAAAGCTGCGAATGGAAAGTTTAAGTTATTATTTCTTGTTCGCGTATGTACAAAGCTGCACAAAAACAATAAGGGCTAAACCATTTTTACTTTATATTTACATTTATGACAAAAAAAATCCATCGACACGCATTTATCAATCTTTTTACGATTTTAGTCTTAGAGAGTGTAATACCTGTAAGCTGCATTTCGCTCAACGAGATGTGCTATGCTATGCTCCAACGCACATGATTCAGGAGCTTCCCTCCACACCCCCATTTTGGCGCGGGAACCCCATATTTATGATGCTGCGTCAGCCACGCTTGTGAGTATCTCGTTGCTCCCTATCAACACAGGTCGCACTTTTTGTGCTGCAGCAGGGACGATCTGAATTCTTATTAACCAGGATGCAAAAGGGTAATTCACTTCTACATTTTTAATGTATGTATTAATAATATTGCCTGGAATATCATATCAATATGTCCTTGTATTGCTATATTAAAAACGCTCGCGTAACACAATATGCGTTTTTCTGTAAACCCTTGGTAGATCAGAATGATTATTAATCGTGTATTTGTGATTCCAAGGACACGGCGCGACTTCTCAGAAGCCTACACTGAAGTGAGCTAACGGCACAAAAAAGGAACGGATCCTTGCTGCTAGCTCTCAGTCTCGTCAAAGCAGTACAGCGACAAACTTACCTGAAGAAAAGCACAAGGATTAAGTGCACAAGGCAGCTCTGCAAACACTTTTATCGAGTTTGTTTCCATGCATTGTTTGCCAACCTATAACAGTGTACGCATATGTAATGTTGCGTCGTTCGATTAGGAGGGGTTTTTTCCTTTTTTAGATTTATGAATGCAGTACACAAAAATCAATCTGTAGGAAACAATGTAGCTCTTACCGAAATAATGCACCCGTAGTTAGTCCTGCAATTGAAAGTGGTCTCTCTCTCTACTTTTGATTGCCCCCATGCAAATTGCTATGTTGGCGTATAGAGCATAAGTGATGCGTAAGTATGAGCATCATCACCTGTTTAAAGTCTCTGAATGACTGAGGAGCGAGTATCATTAAGTTGCTTCCAACTGTCATATGATCTGTGCAGAACGAGTTACTTCTATAAGAGATTCGCAGAGAAACGCAGGCTTTCCACCTTTGCTCTTCTGCTGCTGTACTTGCGCTTGTGCGTACAAGTGAGTATGAGACTAGCAGCGAACTATGCAACTTCTTGAAAAGCCTACTGGTACATGTGCGTGTACGATTGAGAGAGATGTAGACAGCTTCAGGGTCTCCGCAGTTACATTTTTACCAAAATCTGCAAGTCAAGTGTTTAATTTCAGTGACGAGGAAGACAATGTTGTATCACTTCAGCACATGTGCATGTGGCCGTGTCAGTTCGATGAGTATTTCTTGCACCTACCATAGTCATGCCTGGTATTTATTAGTATTTCGATCTGGTCGAGCACAAAGTAGTGTCTACGCGCGACCTAGTACTTTTGTTTGGAGTAGTCTTTAATGCGACAATAACAAAAGAGGAAAATCTAGCATGTAGGGACGTACAAGCGAATATAGCAATCGGTGTAAATTATTGCCTTGAATGTTATGCTTACGTAAAGGATGTATAGCAAATAAGCGCTTACCAAAAATTGTACAGTAAATTTGGCGCCAGTGACAACTTATGATTTTGTTGCAAAGTCGCTACTTGTTGCTTGTAGCAACAAGCAAAAGGACGTGTCATACTATTCCAAAATGTAAACAACGACCGTTTAGTCAATAGTCAAAGAACAGAGAAACTCATTGGCAGACCAGACTATTCGTGAAAGCGCTCGTTATATTAAAACTTATTGCATTATCGCTCCATGACCTTTTCTCGTAAAGCCCGAGAACTATCTCCAATACGTGATAGAATTCATCCGTTGTATAGTACGTGCAGCGCATCTGCTTGGAGGTTTAACTATATACTAAGCCGTTTGGTTTTTGTATTTACGATCACTGTATCGATGGTACAAAAAAAAGAATATAGATGTAAATGTAATGTAGGAAAGAAAACCGCTGGCCTTCTTCGTCCCGTCGCTTATATATAAATAAAATAATGGTCAAATGACCCTACCAAGCAGGAAAGTTTTCACATCTATAAGTTTTCGAAACTCACAATAAACACACATCACGGAAACGAGGAACGAAAGACAATTTGATATTCAAATGCTATTCAGAAAGAAAATATAGCGATGTGGATGATCGATCGCTGATACACTGTTTAGTGATAATGTGATGTACGATTCTCTTTGTTGAGATCTCCCGGGACACTATGTGTTTACTATACGGACGTCAGCTGTTTCGGAGAACAGCATGGAACGAAACGGCAGAGGAATCGTTTGTATCTAGAAAACATTACCGAGTGTTACCAGTGTATGTGAACCAAGCTCCCCCGAGTGGACGAGAGATGAGAAAGGCAGTAGTCTTATTGTAAAGTAAAACTTTGATCAGCGAGTGGTATGTAGAATCAGGGATACGCTCTATGTAAGTCATGCGGGTCTTCTTTATCATAGAGCCCGACAAGGTTCGTGTTTCGTAACGATTACAATTGTTGGCTATGTTGTATTAAATCATTGTTCGCATACGCACATATATTGATAATAGCTAGAGAAAATAATTGGTATTCTTTGATTATCACTCAACGATCAGTGTAAATAGATCTGCATAGAGTTTATTCTATTTACTAAGACTGCGTCTTAAAGCGAACGCTCATTGATTATGAAAGTAGCAATGTATCAACAGACTACCGAGTGTTCTATCGGCAACAGCGGTATGCTTTTGGTCGTAAAAACAAGCAATCCAACAACGGATGGTTGACAATCTATGTTCCCTAATAGATATTCTTCATCTTTGGATCTAACAGCACCACTAGCAGAAATACCAGAAGAATAAAAGACATTTCGTGATCCACAACATGAGGTTACATTTTGTCTGATAATGTGAGGTACCAGGTCAAAGACGATCCAGTCCCTTCTACCCGGTGTAATGCCCTGTGATAGCATTCCACCAAATCAATGGAGCGATGAGTGACATGATAAGAAGGTATATGTATATATATTCTTCTAATACTTAAAGTATTATCAGCTTCCTATCCGTCCACTAATTCGTCGTTGCGCTTGCACTTGCTGTCTTTGTTTTGCAACCTTGACTATCGTCAATGAAGATTTAATCATGTCGGATATATTGTTAAAAGACTCAATACGTTCCACTTCTGCAACCACCTTGCGAACATCCACAATATCCTCCGTAGCTGTATCGACTTGTTCTCGGGTCACGCGTAAACATTTTTTCTCATCGACAATCTGAGGTATTTTACGTTGAATATGGTCAAACACCCTATATAATCCGACTGAGCAATCGTTTAATGCAAGCTGGGTTGTTGTTACTACGCCTGTCGTCACTATAGATACAAAGTCAGTTTTGTTTGCTTATTCCATGGTTTTTTTTTTTTGGAGAAATAATAACCTTGATGAGCAGCATCGTGCATTCGTTGCTTCCGTTCTTGCTCATCCGGTACTCGCTGATTTTGGAATGATTGTGTCAGAGCAGAAATGGTTATACTGGAACTCGATGCTCGTCGAGCAAAGATGGAGAGTTGGTCAATGGAGAATGGAGGGGATGCTGATGGCTCGCTTGACGGTGAATTTTGGCGCCAAGAATTGCGTTGCTGCTGCTGCTGCCGAGAGGACGACGAAGATATTGACGTTGAGGAAGAAGATAGTCTGCTTTCGCTTGATGTTGTCATATTTGTGTTCTTGAGGCTTTGCCAAAAAAAAAAGAGCAAAGATCCTACACAGCCTTCACTGACTGCGGTTTTAATTCATTCCTGCTGCGGTCTTTTTGTGTTACAGGCACGAGAATCAAAGTCTTTGATACTCTACCTCTTTTTTTCTAGTGATATGAAGAAAAATATGGTAGCGAAATACAAGCCCGTACCGTGCGTTTTTGTTTTCTTGAGTGATTACTGCAAATACGGTAAGGATTTCTCCACAACACACTCGATTGTTACAGTGTAGCCAACAAGGAATGATTTGCGAGCGAGTTGAATATTTTATGCTGTGGCGTATATCATATAATCGAATCGCTAGGGCATACAGAGTTTTCGCTCATATTGCTACTCATCTGTCAATAAGAGACCGGAGATCCTGGCTGTTGTTCCAACAGAGAATCTGTTCGAGCACTTCGAGATCATTACATCTCAAGCATGGATTAGCGAAAGAACTACCCGATTTAATGATCAAATCTGTCAGCAAAGTTGATATCTTGCTCCACAGTTCATTAAAAAATTTGACAAACATCTATTCTATTTCTTGACGATATACATATATAATACATCATGTCGCACATTACACTTAAAATTGATTGGCAGAAACCCTTCTCGATATCGTTCAGCTTTTGTCATTTGACTTCGCTCTGCAATACTGAATTCAAGCGAGAAAAAGTATTTTTTTTGGCTTAGCGCTACATGGCTGGACAATCGATATCAATGAATTTGACCATTTGTACAGTCATCTCGATTCGCTGTCGACAAAAAGCAAGACGACAAACAAGCTTTGAGGCCACCACTTTTTATTAAATACGCGAGAAGAAATGTAATAGCAAGACATCAGCAGCGAAAGAAAATGAGGATGATCATCAAAGTGGATTCACCGAATTAGTGCTCAATCCAACTAACCCGTTATTACAAGCCTGTGTATCATCAGACCGTGCTGATACCAGTAATGACGATTATGTTGAGCGTGACGAATAATCTTGAATATATAAGCTCCATTTATAACAAATCAGCCGAGCCTTAAAGTAGCTAAAGTAGGACACAGTTATTTATTCATACATCCATGCGTAGCTTCATGCCAACTAGGTAGCAGCTTCTAATCGACATGATTGAACAATGATATAACCTCACCAGCAGAAGCTCGACACCGCCGAGCTACATAATCACCTCTTGCCGCCAAGTAATTACCATCATAACAGCAAAGAACAACAGCAACAACAACAACGACAAGGTTATCTACGACTGTGAAGCAGATTTCCTTGTTGTTGCGTATGTCTCAAAAATGATGGAACCGGAATCTATACACATTCGTGTGTGTCTTGAATTTTCTCAGCCACACTACAAAGTGATACCGCTATTATGGTGTGCCCAAACGGCAACCATCGTATTGACAAAAAAAAGCCCACTCAATTGGACAAGCTATTTCGCTAATTGCACTATGCCCATCTTCTAGTAGCAGCTACAAGCGTGAATAAGTACAGTGCCGGATGCACCGTTGTATTAGCCGCTGGTGGGATCGACTCATGTTCAGCAACAGCCTCTCATCAATCTATTCTTCGCTAATAGCTGCACCGTCAAAATTATCTGAAAATCCAACAACATCCCTACTGAAAGCAGCTATCGCCGTCGGCCCACATGAACACATCACACGTTGCTATTCCGTCAATAATTACGAACGATTTGCAAAGTGAATGCGGGCTTCCAGTTCTACGAACCCGATAATGCCGATGATATTTACTTTGCAGGAGCAAGAGGAAGCCATCATTTAGATGCATCAGTCGCTATGTTGCGGCGAAAGCAGCAGCGGCAGCAGCAGGAGGAGGAGGAGGAGGAGGAGGGGAACGAGGAAAGGACAAAACATGCCAGTTCAAGCTGAAGTACGTAATACGATGTAGGCACGACATTAATAAACAATCACACAACTCCTTCGTCTTAAATTCATTAAGGCAAAGTCACCGAACCAACATGATTGCCTTAATGCTCAAGTCCAGCCAATGCCATCATTTTATGATCTTTGTATCGAGGATACACAAAAATATTGGCAATCTGACATGGTTCGCAACAATGCGCTAGAAAATTAGACACGCGCGGTATAAAATATCTGATCGAGTTTAAAGGAAGACATTATAATTGGCTTTCGTAGGATTTTCAGAAGGTCCACTAACTCATGGAAATCTGAGCCACTGTCAGTTTCATGTACTTGATACCATTTTCTCCTGTGTGAATGATGCTATAAAACGAGGAAGCGGACATATTTTTGCCGTGGCATGCAAGGGCTCTATGTGGATGCATTGTCAATTCGAATCCAACAATACGAGAACCTGCATACATTATCCAATTTAGCTGCCAGAGATTCAGCAGCCCAACATGTGCGGAGGACGATCCCTTATGGACAACGAGGCAATGCATATGTGTATGACAATGATGAGTATGTAACAACAGTGCAGTGCTCTTTTTATGTACACTGATATCCGACTCCCTGTCAGTGAATCTCTGAGATTGGATAACAAATTATAGGCGAAAATTGACTCGCTGCGCATGACGCTGCATCGTCAGGATAGAGTGTCTGGAACGGCTGTGATACAGAAAGTGAAGGTGGAGTAAACGAAATCCAAGAGCCTTACATTCTATTGAAGATGACCCAACAGTTATCCTAATTAACCAATTTTAAAACTATGTAGCTTATAGGATTATTCGAGCCATACAAGGGCGTGGATTGATTGAAGACATACCTACGTATGATGAAGTATATGATATAACTTAGCGTGCACTCATTATGTAACATATTCTTCATAGTATCAAGTATAATACTTCAAATGAGATATAGCAGTCATTTATATACAGTTAAAAAAAAACAGACAGACGATTCGAAATGTACAATTCACTTATTGGGGAGAGATAGGAAATAGAGAATGAGGAGAGGGAAGGGGAAAGAAAGGGGGAGGGGTTAGCGATGGAAGATGAAAGGTATATGTGTGTGTGAGAAATAATGACAACGACGTACATTTCATAATGTACCAAGCAAGTCCAAATCCGCCCTTGTCAACGGCCCACGCTCCTGAGGTCCTTCACAGGTCACCTTTAGCTTTTCTCGAGCATCCGCAATCCTGTTTGCAAACACAACTCTGATATGCTTGTACAGATAAACACGTTTCTTTTCCGTTCTGCACAGCTGGACCTGGACGGCATAGCGCAACGAATGGCCATCATAAGACTTTTGGCGCAAAAACGTCTTTGTGTTTTTTGGCATATCCGACACATCGTATGGAATCAAGAACAACTTGACGGCCGTCTTGTTTGGGTTTTTGATCACCACCTGCAGTTGGCCTTTAGGTGGCAGACGATAAGGAGGTAACAAATCAACGGTGCCTACATAGGGCGGTACATGGTCTTGTAAATCGTAGAAAAACGCAGGAAATGTGATGGCACGATGCGGTGGACATCGAAGCGAAGGCTTGCATTCTTTGCCCAGCACGCCAATTTGTGCTTGGAACAGAATGGGTTTGGATGGCATGGCGGACATGCGTCCACTTAGCAGAGATTCTTCATAGCTGCCTACAAGTGAGCCACCGTGGTCGGCTGTCCACGATGTACGTCGTCCTTGTTGATGGTGAAGATGATTTGTCGGTGTCGGTGGAACAGCAAGCCAGGGAGCACGGGTACCGAACGAGGGGGAGGGGGAGGTGGAATAGGCAACAAGGCCATGATGATGGGTATACTGCATGTTTGGTATGGGAATGCTTGCTGACAATGTCTTTTTAGTAGGTGGTATGGGTGTTGTAAGGTAGGGTGGTTCGCGTGGTTGTTGCTGAGCAAATGGATGATGATAATTGTGTTGTTGATACTGTTGGTCATGCTGTTGCTGCTGCTGCTGGTCTTGATCATGTTCATGCACCGCTGTCGTTGCTGTTACCGTATCATCTTCAATGGCGGACAACGAAAGGCGGGACAAGCGTCGCATGGCAACACCACATGGAACCGATGGCTCATCTGCATGAGCATCCAGATACATTACTTTGAGGTTGACACGGCCTTTGGGAAGAAACTGGTGTGTTTTGATATGTGCGCTATGCGGGAAATCGGTGTTTGGAGGACAGGAACGTGAATAACAACGATACCCATCGACGGTGATCATGGCAGCCAAATCGGATTTTTTCAAACCATTATTGGAAAGCAGCGTGTGGACAGGCATGAGACGTGTGTGGGAATAAACCGCTTGGAGTAGCAAAATGGCATCTGTTTCGTCTGTCGTCGTCGTTGTCGCTGTTGTCGTTGTTGTTGGATCCAAAGACATGATCCAGCGCTCCAACAAAGTTCCGCTATCGTTAGTGGCGTTGTTGGTCTTTTGGAGAATATGAACGACAACTGAAAAGCTACCACGAATGCGCTGGAGATGGTGGTGCTTCAGACCAAAGCAACAAATGTCAAGGTGGTCCTGTGCGCACCCATACTGGGTACCCAGGCGAGCACGTAGAATAATTTGAATGAGTTTTCTGGTGGCATCAGAAGTTGAAATGCTGCAATGATCTAGCGTAGAGGACGGTACAGCAACAGGTATAGGCATTTCGCCCTTTCAGAATCTGCTGTTGTTGGGTTTTGGAGGGTTTGAAAAAAGAAGGGATAAAGCACAGAGACACGAACTCAAAACGATCATTTATATGCGCCAGACAACGAGAAAATTTTTTTCTTTTTTATTCGTGTGAGATATGATAAGATTTACTAGCTTTTTTTTTCACCTCGCTTCATATCAACTCAGCGGTAGTAAACGCATAGGGCAACCGGTTAACTTGTTTTTAAACCAATGAGGGATCGTATTTGAATATTTCCCTTTCGTTTCTTTTGTACTCGTCTTCCATTTTTTCCTGGAGCAGAAAAAAGAAAGTTTTTTTTTCGGGGGGACTTGGGAGGGAGGCACCTTCGCTTGTTGCGCTGTTGTCAAGCACGCCATCTGCCGACAAGATGACTCAGAGAAAACTCGTTGGCATGAGCATAACAACCAGTTGATAGCCATGGTTACAAATTGGATGGTGTCTAGTCAGTGCGTTTCTACAAGAATACGTGCATTTAGCGTAAAGGAGCATCCATCACTCCATGCACATGACATTTGATGAACCCGAGGACAGCCGTCTCATCTGAATTTCGAACGCTTAAGAATACATAAAACAGAGGTGAGGCGCAATATGCACCCTCCGTCACGTACCATCAACACACATGCAGCATTAAACCTTCAGGCTCACAGACTTGGAAATATAATACCTGTTACCGCAAATACACTGTAAACAGCCCTCCCATCAAACTGTTTTGAACAGCTCATTGTACATGTATATGAATGTGCGTCGCACGGACTCTGTCGGGATCACCAAAAATGCATGCTTAATGCTACACAAGCTTGACCGAAAAAAATTTTAGAGCCAACGCCTGGAAACGGAGATAAGCCTAGTGCAAAGAAGTGAAAGAGCATTACATACTGAAGAGGCTATTGTTGCTCTTAAATGTAAAATATCACATTGGCTTCAATATGTACCGAGCAGTTAAACAGTCGATGAAGTAGTATACAGCAATGGATGAGTGCATACTATGTAAAATGTTTGTAACCTAACATCATAGCCTGTAGTCATGCATGCTCTTGTTCAGTGGATGACTTGCATGTTACACCGTGCTTATTACATGCTCGTTGCTTCCGACAGAAAATATGTTTAAATCCAAAAATATGATAAGTTTATATGTAGTTTATAAAGTAAACAATATGTACATCAAGTAGATAGTGGGGAAATGGTAATAAAGCAGGCCAAAAAGGAAGAGAGACGGAGAGAGAAAGAATAAACAAATAATATCGATATGGAGTGTATGCGCTAAGAAGGGGAAAGGGGGTATAACAGCGTTCTTGGTTTAGCAAATGGACTTTGTACTTTGAGGACGATCAAACAGCAGCGTCCTCTTTTCATCCAACAGATCATCCGGATGGATCTTGATCGCATCCATCCTATGCCTCAGCTCCTCCATATCGCGTTCATTTTTAATCTGCTGGGTATTGCCTTGAAGCGCCATTTCCGTCTTTTGCAGCTTGGCTTCCAGCTTGACCGTATTGCTGCATAAACCCTGCAAGTCATGCTCAGCCTTGGACAAGACAGCCATGACACCCTGAGCATCCTTGTTTTGGAAACAGTCATCAAAGTTGATCTCAAACTTGATCATTTCGTCCTCAATCTTGACCTTTTGGCTCGTCAGTTGTTTGTCCAAATCTGCTACGCGTCGCATCACCGTGGCATTCTTGCGAGACGCCATCATCATTTCGGTTTTGGAGGATAGCAGCACGTGGGTCCTGTCCAAGGCTGTGTCTAACCGTTCTAGCTGGACAGAATAGCCGTCGTGTAATTGCACATAGTGGTTGGAAAATGACTTGAGGTCGGGAACGATCGCCAAGGACTCGACTTCGGACTCGCTCTTGATGCCTTTCAGTGCTTCTTCATGCGCGAGCATGATCGATTCCTTTTCTTCCAACGCTTGCTCAAGCTGCTCTTGGAGCTTTTCAATGCGCTTGCGTGATGCCAGTTCACGTTCTTCGGAATGTGCTTGCAATGCAAGCACGTTTTCTTGGAGACGCGCAATTTGTTGATGTAATACGCGTCGCTCCTCCTTTTCTTCCGCCAACGTCGTCGTTGTGGATCGATCGTCTTCTGAAGAAGTGCTCGCGGATTTTTGCTTGTCTAGTTCGACCATCATGCTAAGCAACTTGGCCTCGTATTGCTGTTGCAGATCTTCCCTGTCGCGTAGCGTATCGTCCAATTTGATTTGCAATTTCTCGTTAGACTCTTCTACAGCATCCAGTTTGCGCGACAAGTCCATGATATGCATTTCAGTCCTTTCTTCCGCTTGTTTAAATTTGTCAATCGTACTCTGTAGCTCTTCCACCAATGCTGAATTATCATGAGTGTCGTTCTGGTTGGATGCATGCTGCTGCTGCTGCTGCTGTTGTTGTTGTTGTTGTAAACGACGTTCCATCATCTCGATCTGCTTTTCCTGATCCTCCATCACGATTCCGTACTGTTCAATCTTGGCCTGATGCTCTTCAAACATAAAGTCCGAGTGGTTGAGTGCAGCACGGGCCATGGCAAGCTGAGACTCAAGTTTTGACATTGTCTTTTCGTACTCTTCCGCAATGGGTTCGGCATAATGTTGGAAATTGTACGTCTTGACGCGTTTCAGCTCATCTTCTACTACTCTGTTACGTTCGCGCGTGACAGAGGCTTCATGATCCAGCTCTTCTACTTGACGCTGCAGGTCAGCAATCACGTTGCGCTGCTCTTGATACAGCTGATCAAAATCCGCGCCTGAAAGGACAGGTGATCCAGCATCAAGAGGTGTTATTGTACCTGTTGGAGCTGTTTGTGGAGATGCTCCTGCTCCTCCTCCTCCTCCTCCTCCTCCTTTTCGAAGCTCTGCTTTTAAAGTGGATATCATATTGCGTAGCATATCAACGTTGTCGGTCGTCATCCATTCCTCCACTTCGTTCTTTTCAAGTTTGTTCTTAATGTTGCGTGCACGACTTGCATATTGTAACGTGTTGATAGTCTCGGGCAAATTGTATTCTGCTGGGCTGACGCAGGCAATCATTAAAGTGGTTGCATTACCACCTAGTGAGTCCTGCAGCAGGCGCGTCAGTTTGGAATCACGATAAGGGATATGTGCATGTCGCTTAGCAGGATCGCCTAATACTGAGATCACGTTGCCAAGTGCCAAGAGACCAGCGTTGATGTTGATGCCTTCTTTACGTCGGTCGCCTTCTGCTGCTGTTCGTTTTAACTGGAACGCATTTTTAATTGAAGAATGAAATTATATTAGTAATTTCTTCTCCCTTTTTTTTTCTTTACTAGATGAATGAAAAAAATAAAGTGTTGATCAACTGGTGAGTATAGTAACAGCAATCAATGATAAACCTACTCTTTCACTACCGGCCAAATCGACAAAGTGGAACTTGGACGTGGTAATGATCCAATCGCCCGCATCTTCTTGCCCCAGCTGCTGTGCTCTTTGTTTGCGAGGCGTCCATCGTTCCTGTTTGAGCGTGATGGACAGGATCGCATGGGAACGCGACGACTTTTCATTCATATCAGTTGCGCCTGTGGCACGGTTCAATGTGCCTTGCTGCAGGTACATCATAATATCGTCTGCATTTTGCACAGGCATTTCCTTGACGCCAGTCCAATAGATCTGGCCCTTGACGTCTTCGCGGATGGTTATTGGCGGCCGTTCCGTAGGCGGTGCTGGATTCAGCAGGTCGATGAGTTCTTCATTATAGATTTCAACAAAGGACACTTTGACGCTATAGCGGTGTTGCGTCGCTCCTGCGGCTGATGCCGGCGGTGTTGTAGGGGGTGTTGCAGAGCGTGGAGCGCGCATACGGCTTTTGCTGTAATTGACGGATGGTGCTGGTGAGGATCGTGCGGACGGTGAGGTCCCACCAATGCTGCTGCCGGTAGCTCCTCCCCCTCCAGCGGTAGCAAGCAGATCAAAAAGTAAATCCACCGCTCGTGGAACAATACCATCGTGCTCTACTCCGCCATTGTACTGCGCTGTACCCATCGTGTACGTCTTGCCTAGACATCCGGAATACATTTAATATTACTTCAGGTTTCGCTATTAGACCGAGTAAGCATGATCTAAACTTTTGTTTGGTACCTGACGATGTTTGTCCCTACGCAAAGTAAACGAAAAGTTGTCAGCATATCTTTGTTTGTTTGCCTCACTAAGAGAAAGAGAAAGAGAGAGAAGAGAGTTCCATACATAGGCGAGTATTGTAACGTTGTAGCCTAAACACACAGATGGGTAAGAACATATTTTCATGGTGACTACTACTACTACTACTACTACTACTACTACTACCGCCAAATCCAAAGAACAGCAGCACCCTGCCCCCTTTACACAACATACCGTCGACAAAGTGACGAACAAGCTTGTCACCGACGTTTAAGAAAATGTCGGACTGCGCACAAGAGGGTCGGAAGACGTGGTCAAAGTGAAACAGCTTGCCCTGAGAGACGACATGGACATTCTTATCTTGAACATTGAGTACATCATTCTCAGATAAACTTGCAAATCGAGGCTGTGCTCGATCTCGATCGTTTAACGGTCGGATACGTAGTGCTTTACAAGATTGAAAAAAAGTTGTTGTTGTGGTTGCATTAGTTATAATCTAATACAAGGAGTGTATTTTTTTATATATAGAAAAGACCAGACTGAAACCAAGTACTACTACTACTGCTGCTGCTACGACTACTACTACTCACTGCTTCAGCCCACACACTCAAGCAAACACACCGCCCCCCACCCCTTATGTTTTATGCGATATACACTTGCCTACTTGCACAGCAGCTTGAGTAGGGGCTTTTGTCATGGTGTATTGGTAGTTTTGTTACTTTACACAAAAGAGAAAAGAAGGTTTAGACATTTTATACAGCAACTGTTTATTTTAAAGTCGCACAGCGTTTTTTTTTTATTTTTCGACGCTCACCCTTCACCTCCCCCCCTTTTTTTTTCGCTCTCTTTGCTTTAGTATTACACGAACATCCCCGACACATTCTCTGAGGCCATTAAATGCATTTATCAGTAAAATTAAGCAATTATCATCCTAACTAACATGCTAATGATCCTTGTTGTCAGCCACAGATCTGGGGATATCTGTTGCGCGGATGAACACAAAGAGAAAAAGTGTTCGTCATCATATGCTATGCGTTTGCAAGATATAAGATGCGTGTTTGTTGTTGTTACATACGGTGTGTATGGCAAATGTGCATGTCCTATTCTTTTTTAGTGCCTGACGAGATGTTGATAATGAAAGCAGAGGATTTCTCTCGGAGATAAGGAGGGAGGGAGAAACTGTATGTTATGTGTAAGTGTAATTGGAAAGGGAGAGGGGGAGGGGAAATAAAAGGCGGTACAAATTATATATTGCAATTATAGAACACTCTTGAATCGCTTTTCGACTTCTTCCCAATCCTCTGTCGGTATTCTGGTGATTTCTCGCTGGAAATGCGTCTCGATCTGATGCATCAGCTCCCAGCTTTTCTTATCATGTACAAAGTTGACGCTGACGCCCGTGCGGCCGAATCGACCCGTGCGACCGATTCTGTGAAGGTATGCTTCATAGTCCGGCTGGCCACGCTGATCCAGGGGCAGGTCATAGTTGATGACCAACGTCACTTGTAAGATATCAATGCCACGAGCCAACACGTTGGTCGTAATGAGCACCTTGAACTCGCCCCGTCGGAAATCGTCCATCACCCTGTCACGTTCTTCTGGCGTCATTTTGCCGTGCAGAGCCACCACAGCATGGCCCATGCCTGACATGCGCTTCGCAATCTCGTCGGCCGTGTCACGCTTGGCACAAAAGATGATGCTTTGACTCACCGTCAAGATGTCGTACAAGTTGCACAGCACATCGTACTTGTGCTCCTGGTTATCGCAATCCATGTAAAACTGCTTAATCAAGTCCACAGACAACTCTTCACGCTTGAGTGAAATCTCGTTGGCCGATGGTGCAAAGCGGGTGGCAAATCTGCGGACATGGTCGGGGAAGGTGGCAGAGAACAGCACGACCTGGAAATCCCTGTTCTGGATGGCTCCCTTGATACGGATACTTTGGTCGCCCAAGCCAGCTTGATCCAACATGTTGTCAGCTTCGTCCAATACAAAGATCTTGACCTGGTTCGTCAGCAAAAGACGTCGTCGGATCACTTCTTGCACAGTGCCCGGCGTGCCAACCACAATCTGCTGGTGCACGGGACGGCCCTTGGGAAGTGAGTCCTTGACCGCAAGCACGCTCGTGAGTTTGGTGAACTTTGACATTTCCTGCACAACGTCGAGGATTTGGCGCGCTAATTCACGTGAAGGTGCGAGACAGATCGCTTGGGGTTGGTTGATCGCTTCGTTGACTCGCGTAAGCATCGTCAGTACAAAAGCTGCCGTTTTGCCCGTTCCACTCTGCGACTGGCCGATCATATTTCGCGGTCTACTCAAATACATTAGCCATCTATTATACGCTTTTCCCGATATGTCGTCGCTGCCTAATCCCCTTTTTCGCCCTCTTCTCGTTTAAATACTCACGGGTTAGCAATGAGCAATGGTAGAGCGCGTTCCTGAATCTTGGATGGTTTAGAGAATTTCATGGCATAGAGGCCTTTGAGCAACTCTGGGCTCCTACACAATTGAGTGTATATCTCATGTTAATACTCGGAAAACGCGACGTTGGCGGAACCACGACTCTCTAAACATCCCCGCCCCCTCTTTCGTGCCCATTCACATCCCCCCTCCTTGTTTAAACATACAGTCCTAACTCCTCAAACGATTTGACGGAATAAAGTGGCGAGTTGGGGTCGGCCTGCTGATCTGCTAACTTGACCTGGACCGTGTGTGTGCTCTTGATCAAATTCGATTCTTCATCTAATATGATTATTTCTTAGTTACACACGAAGATCCATAGAAACTACCATGTAGATCCTATTTTTATTACCTTTGGATTGCTCTTTGGATTGCTCAGTTGATCCATCAGCGGGCTTGTCGTTCGTAGTAGTAGTAGTAGTTTGAGCCGGAGAGGCAGGCTTAGTAGTTTGAACCGGAGAGGCAGATTTCTGATCTATAAAACAACGGAAACCGCCAGGTTCTAAGTTAATCAGAATGCTCTCTCAAACACATCTCTCTAAAACAACACGGTCCATTAACCACATGCTTACTCTCAGGCTGTTCGGAATCTGTAGCTGTTGTTTATGACACCACAAGAAATATAGGAAAAGCAGTACGTTAATCAAGAGATCAAAACCACGAGAAATAAAATAAAAAAAAATGCTTTGTTTTTTACGTTTTGATGTAGTGAGATCACCGAGCTTTACAGCAAGTGTGTCGACAGATTCTAAAAAAAGACCAATAAACGGGTTAAGTCTCAAGACATTCATTGCGTGTGTGTGTTCTTTCAAGATTTGAATCAAATAGATTAGGGGGAAAACAACAACAACAACAACAGGGAAAAAAGTAGATCGGGCTCGAGCATTCTTGGTTTCTTTTCTTTTTGTATCCCTTACAGTAACCTTTGGGTGTATTCTCTCGAACAACACGGTGGGATTTTTTTTTTTGTTAGGAGACGAAAAGGCGCAAAAAATAACTTTGGCACCTTGTTCTCTCCTTTTGTTCGGTTGTCTATACACTTGTGTATGCGTACGATCGTGTGTGTGGAGAAGAGAAGAAACTTTAAAAAGAACCAAGCTCGGAACACCCTAGATTTAAGAAAAGGAGAGAAAGGAAAAAAGTAGGATTGATGGCAAGGATCTGTGTAAAACACGTACCATTCTTCATTGTGATATTTATTTGCGAGGCCCTCCACGAATACAAAGAATAAGAAGAGCGCTTTCTTCAGTGAAATGTTGCGGCTTTATTAAACCCAGCCAGCCGTGTGTGCTGCGACATGTTCTCCGATCTGAATTATCCTTTTTCCATGAGAACAGCAGCTTTCAAATACGATGCGAGCAAATACTTTGATTTTTATCAGTGAATTACACTTGGTAGCCATGGTTGCTAATGCGGTTGGCTGGGATGCGTAACTATCACTATAAATCTGTCGTGAAATAGTATAGTAGCTGTACTGTTGTCATAGTTACTGCGTGTCGTTATGTGAGCTTATTGATATTCTTTGCATGTATAGTAGGAATGCAGCGCCACGTATCATTCTACATAGAGCCACTGTCAGTACAGCAGACGAAAGGAAACAATGTCTCTTCTATACTTGCCCTTTACTACTGTTATTGCGTATATAACATCGCTTATTGGCAGGTTGTATTTCAACGAAAGAGCTGTGGTGGGTGGCCTTCCCTCTGCTCGATGTTACGGAACAATTTATCAGTTCATCCTCGAAAGCTACATATTTTGATCAGCCCGACAAAAGAGAGTAGATCGATCCCTCGCTGCCAAGAGGTGATGGCGTTCCCGTTCAAGTAGTACAGCCATGCCTATATTAGGGGACTGCATGGCGTAATAATAACAAGCTGGTTAAGCGTGGTGCCACTTACTATTCCACCGCACTTTGCTAACAAGTAACATTGCGGCTCTTGATGACTGAGAGACTATGTACTATCAGGAGCGTTGGAAGACAATGGTTCAAGTACGAATGAACAAGCAATGGTTATTCCTCCACTCGGCAAAAAGTAAAAACGAGATCGTCATAGAAATCAAAAAAAAGTGGCTTGAGCGAATAATAGGATCACCATGGAAGGATGTGTGAAAGCCGGCAGGGGTTGGTTTTCCTCGCGCTCTGCGGCTGCAAGTGATATCATCGTCCGATTGGAATGATGATGGTGATGATGATATCACACACACACAACTCAAACGAGATTTTGCTGGAAAGTACTCGACCAGTGAAACACCGCCAACCGCCATTTTAGGAAGCATCGGATTGCTGAGTCATACAAAGCCCATAACAAAGAAATACATGCAGCCAGCCTGCTGTTAAAAGACCGTCGATAACCCCCAACCACTTTTGCAGGAAAGCATTGAAGAGTGAACGAAGGGAGAGACAGAGCGAGGACGTATCAAAGTAGTATGTGCGGAAAGAAGAAGAAGAAGAAGGGGCCGGTGGTGACAGTGGGCTATCGGATGGAAAAGGAAGCGAAGGAGGGGGGTGCCGCCATAAGGAGTAGGCCTGAGAACCAATTGAACTGCGGATAAGACTCGTGCTGCGGCGTGTGTGTGTGAGTGTGTGAGTGAGTGAGTGATTAAATGCCGTATGTGTTAGTTGTAGTGCGTGTGACGTTAAAAGGTATATAAAGAGACACGGGAAATTTTCCGTCCGTTTCGTTTCGTTTCTTTTTTTCTTTCTTCTTCCTCACTTTTTTTTTTCCTTCAAGCAATACCACACCACCATGCAAATCTTTGTAAAGACCCTCACTGGCAAGACCATCACCTTGGAGGTCGAGTCCTCTGACACTATTGACAACGTCAAGACCAAGATCCAGGACAAAGAAGGCATCCCCCCAGAACAGCAGCGCCTTATCTTTGCCGGCAAGCAGCTTGAAGATGGCCGCACCTTGTCTGATTACAACATTCAAAAGGAATCCACCCTTCATTTGGTGCTCCGTCTCCGTGGTGGTATGCAAATCTTTGTCAAGACCTTGACTGGCAAGACCATCACCTTGGAAGTCGAGTCATCCGACTCGATTGAGAATGTCAAGACCAAGATCCAAGACAAGGAAGGCATTCCCCCAGACCAGCAGCGTCTTATCTTTGCCGGTAAGCAGTTAGAGGACGGCCGCACCCTTTCTGACTACAACATCCAAAAGGAGTCCACCCTCCACTTGGTGCTTCGTCTTCGTGGTGGTATGCAGATCTTTGTCAAAACCCTCACTGGCAAGACCATTACTTTGGAGGTCGAGTCGTCCGACACCATCGATAACGTCAAGACCAAGATTCAGGATAAGGAAGGCATCCCTCCGGACCAGCAGCGTCTTATCTTTGCCGGTAAGCAGTTGGAGGACGGCCGCACCCTTTCTGACTACAACATTCAAAAGGAGTCTACCCTCCACTTGGTGCTTCGTCTTCGTGGTGGTATGCAGATCTTTGTCAAAACCCTCACTGGCAAGACCATCACTTTGGAGGTCGAGTCGTCCGACACCATCGACAACGTCAAGACCAAGATTCAAGACAAGGAAGGTATTCCCCCAGACCAGCAGCGCTTGATTTTCGCCGGCAAGCAGCTTGAAGATGGCCGCACCCTCTCCGATTACAATATCCAAAAGGAATCTACCTTGCACTTGGTGCTTCGTCTTCGTGGTGGTATGCAGATCTTTGTCAAGACCCTCACTGGCAAGACCATCACCTTGGAGGTCGAGTCGTCCGACACCATCGACAACGTCAAGACCAAGATTCAGGATAAGGAAGGCATCCCTCCGGACCAGCAGCGTCTTATCTTTGCCGGTAAGCAGTTAGAGGACGGCCGCACCCTTTCCGATTACAACATCCAAAAGGAGTCTACCTTACACTTGGTGCTTCGTCTTCGTGGTGGTATGCAGATCTTTGTCAAGACCTTGACTGGCAAGACCATCACTTTGGAGGTTGAGTCGTCCGACACCATCGACAACGTCAAGACCAAAATCCAGGATAAGGAAGGTATCCCCCCGGACCAGCAGCGCTTGATCTTTGCTGGTAAGCAGCTGGAGGACGGTCGCACCCTTTCCGACTACAATATCCAGAAGGAATCCACCCTCCACTTGGTGCTTCGTCTTCGTGGTGGTTTCTAAATCCCCTCTTCCCACTTTCACCTTTCTTCTCTCCCGCACACACACACACACACACAAACAAATACTTCTTTCCTTTCGCACATTCAAAACAACGCATGATTCATTGCTTTGCTCTCAAATAAACAATTAAATGGCATCTAATGAAAGCCAAACATTTGTTTGTCAATAACATGAATCTTGTTCTTTTTCGATTTTGTTACTGATGAGAAGTGGTGCAGTGCTTTTTGATCACATGTGTTTTATAAACCTGTACAATGAGTCACTTGAGTGGTAATCAAGTTATGCCAAGCAGATACGTATGAGACGATGGCGAACGAGGCGAATTGATAACATTCTCCCTTTTTTGGTCTGCCAGAAGCAGCGATTCCGATCAATCTAAAAAGAGAGAGTATCGTGAAGCAGTAGGAGACAATTCTTTTGTCATTGCGTGTATGCACATGGTACGTAGCTCGTTTCCACCCTTTGTCCTATTGTTGATTTCTTATTAACACGCCATTCGTGTTGTTCGGGGCAGTTAGTGACGCCTTGATCACTGTGTCAGTGAGCCACTCTGTATCACCAAAGCTACTGCCGATATGATTTACTTGGAATCAAACATATTAGTGCTATACGTAACATTTTACGGCTGATCATCAAAGACTGCATCGGCCACTTTAGCACACCTTTTCTCAATAAACATTACGATGTCTAAGAGAGCGACAACCTGGGCGATAAAGCAGGAACCGTTTTCTCATTAGATGACTGTTCTGAAGGACTTGCGAGCGCAAAAGTGTTATAGTACATAGAATTCTCTCGTTCTTTGTATATAGACTGTCTACATGAAAGAAACATCTTATTGCTCTGTATGTATTGGTCATAAATACTCACAGTGGTACTTGATGTTAGGACTGTTGATCGTACCCCACCACGTTGCTCTGCTGAGATATGCGATGTCTCTCTCAGCGTCGAGAACACCAGCAATTTCTTGCAAGAAGTGTAAAGTTCTTTCAGACCTTTGTATCGACTTTGAGTACGATGTCATGACTTGATTGAACCTTATTGATCAAACTGCATTGGTTTTTTTTTTATCGAAAATATGCTGTATTACAGGGAACACTTGCATAGATCAAAGTAATGATCAACAGCTCTATCACAGCCGGTGCATATTATTTGTCATGGATCTAAGTACCAAGGCATTGTCAGTTTTCTTCTATACATATCCCTCACAGTCGCCATGAAATTGCACATAGCTTCGAAGCATCATACACTTCTATGGCGGATAAATCTCATATAACTTCGTATGCCTCTTTCTATCCTTAAGCTTATCATCTACAATGTGTTCAGTGGAAAGCAACGGATGCTTTCAGACAATGCTACAGTAAATTGTGCTTCCAATATGCGAAAACAAAAAAAAAGAATTCTATTCGTAGCAGTTACATCACCTCAATCATGCACACCGAAAAATATTTGCCCTTGAAAAGATATAACGAGCCGCCGAGCCGAAGCTCCGTAGGAATTGACATGGAGCGAAGCGTGAGGGGTGCGGGGTGCTCAAGATATCATAAAGGTGCGAAGGCGACACAGGCTCGTGACCAGTAAATTACTTCTTGTACATCCCCTTGTTATCAAACATCAGTATCCCTATTTTGTAAATATGCGAATTATCATTCACAAAAAGGTACCACTCCTCCCTTAATATATCACCTGCAATCTAGAGAATAAAGAAAAATCCAAGTCTAAAGGAAAAGGTGGGTAAACTTCGTTACGCTTTAGTTAGCGATACTAGAGGTAGCACGTTAGGACTCGTATTCATCAGTATGTAGTGCTATCCTACCTCCTCCATTGTAGCTATGGGTAGCAAGTAATTAATATAAAGTAAGAATGATTAAAAGCAAAACATCGTCATTGTATACCGGGGTTATGCGCACATCGTCCATGTGTGGCACATACTGTATTCATGGATATACTTTTAAATTAGCTGTATCTTGCTCTAGCTATAGCTCATGTGTCTATACACACTTTTTCCCCATTAACAACAAACTATACCGCTTTTCAGAGTGCAAAAAGTGCAAAATATGTGTTTCATAAGCAAAACATCAGCTTTCTACTACTGTATGCTGTACAACAGAGAAAGTAGTTTATTATACAAGCTATCTGATTGAAAACAGCCAAAACAGGATGTGCATCTTTTGGAAAGACTACACGATCCTCAAGATGAGGCGGCAACCACACCGTCATCACGCGGTGTTGGCAGTTCTTTGTCACGCATTCCCTGTAATATTGGACAGAGTTCTTGCAGCGACATGATCGTTTGTGGGATCTGGGCAGGGGACATTTCTGCTGGCACCAGGTCCGGTGCTGAATCTTGATACGATAGTTTACCTATAACCAACACGTTCTTTTTGGTTAGCTAGACTTTCTCCATTGTTGTACTGATCGCTCCTTGACGTTTTCCCCAGTCCCAGAAGTATATAGCAACATACATCGCTTCAATAGAGTAGCATGCCAACCTGCATGGCGAGCACCTACAAGCATTGAAAATAAAAAAAGTAAGCTAGCAGTCAGCCCTTTTCTCTTTTGTTCTTCCCCTCCTCTCTTTCTCTCTCTCTATCCAAAAAGAGCGTATCGGTATCCTTCTATGCAAACCAGTACCGTAATAATCCCTGCATTGATACACATTGTTAATCAGTAAAAGGGTAATACCTGATTACATCTATCATTGCCCAAAAGAAAAAGGGGGGGAAAGTAACATACTTTTCTATATCATCGCCAACATGTAATGCTTCCTCGGGACGTACGCCCGTGATTTCACAAGCCTTTTCGAAAATTTGTACCTCGGGTTTTTCATATCCGGCCAAACAACTTGGAAGTACAAAATCGAAATAATCATCCAATTCCAAACTCTTGATCACCGACACTGTATGCAAAAAATTGTATGATTTCGGATAATGAGGTAGTGAGTGACTCATATACTACACCGAGAAAAGATGGGGCAGACTTACACACTCGTTCGTCTGAATTACTAATGACACCCATCTGAAACCCTCGTTGCCGTAACTGCATCAACGTCCTCCGTACGTCAGGGAATGTTGTGTATCCTTCGGCCGTCATGAAACGCGTGTACAATGAGTTGAAAAGTGTGTCGAATACCGGATCAAGGTCTATTTGGCACGTAGCGAGTTTGTTTGTTTGTTGTTGTTGTTGTTGTTGTTGTTGAATCCATAGCATCCTACTACTAACTCCTTACCTTTCTTATTGGCGCCTGCGCCGACAAATGTTGCATAGACAAGCTATGGATATACATTATTCATACGGTAAGGGTTGCCAAGCAATTTTGTAATTCGATCGAGTAAAAAAGGCACAGTTGTTGTCATTAGCAACCACTACCATTCAAAAAGACAAATTCCCTTTGTTTTTCTTTTGAACACAAACCTCTTCCCACCATTGCCGAGTATGCATGCCTAAATGTAAACCATAAAATGGTGCTCGTTCAAGTTGATCCCTATAAGCTATGCCGAAATGTTGACTGACAGCTGATTTCGATACGTTTACACCATGTTTCACGGCTTCCTGCGCCTTTTCCAGATAGCATGTAAGTTTTCTTTCCCTACTTTTCCTCCCCTTTGTTAAAAAAAAAAGGCTGTACATATTGAGACGATAGTGAGCCTTTCGGTTTGAAAAGAGTATTGTATGCATCGAGTGTCAAAAGTCGTATACGAGCGGCGGACATGACAGTGTTGTTGTTGTTGTTGTGTAAATAGGATAGGTTATGACAAAGAGAAAAGAATAGAGTGAGGAAAGCAAAAGAGAAATATAAAAGGAAAAAAAAAAAAAAGAGCGAGGATGATGAGGTTCGCGTCCCCTGTCATGTGGCACAGAAGCTGCTCTGCTTGGCTGAGATCGATTACACAATGTACTTTGCATACACTGCAGATCCTTCCGATTTTCTACCTAGTTCAATTCTTAAAAGTAGACATGCTCTCTCTGCTATACGCTTTGGGTTTGACTTTCTTCCAAGTGCATCCGGTTAACTACAGCGCATTTCTTAGGGGATGAGGGCTCCGTGAAGGGTCAGCATGGGTACATCCGGGAGACTGACGGCACTTGGATTGTTTGTAGATTCAATTGTGGTAGTAACATTAATGTTTGTTGCTTCTTCCAAATATAAAAAGGTTCCCACAGCTCATTGTACTCTTAATTTGTTAGGGTGGTGAGCACGTACAAAGCTTTAAATTGTTTGAGGATGATCAAATGAGGGGCGTTCTATACAAAAACAAGTGTTGTTGGGTTGAGATCATCATCCATTAGAATGTGGAACACACTCTTTTTACCGATATAATACATACTGCTTGAAATCATGTAAATCATCTCTAGCATTTGATATGGAAGCTCGGGTAGCTTTTGTACTCTAGAAGATCAGCAATATTGAGTGTAGCATTGACGCTGTGAGAGAGCGTCAATGACTCGATTTGAATTCCCTTTCCAATGGGCTCACTTGCGACAGCTTGTTCACTGTATAAAAAGCAGTAAAGTGCATGTCACCGTATATATGTAGTAAAATTTACTGGATACCACAGTTACATGACCATTGAATATTCTTCCCTCTTGCGCACTCATACTACTTGTATATAACCATTAAACAGATCCACATCTCCGGTTGGAAGATAGCAAACCCGAGCCGTTCAGCGATGCCACAGAGCGAAGCAAGTCCTTATTTCATCTTTCCGTAATCCATCCCAAAAGTGAGCATCTCCTCTTTCAAACATCATCCTTATCTGGCCCATTTGTTCCTTGATCCTTCTTGACATATTAAAGCGCACTTCATCAATCCAACCTGCAACGGCTGATATTGTCTCACAATGACCTGTTTTTTTTATGGAATCATGGATTATATAACGAGCATTTCTAAACTTTTGGGACGATGTGTATATTATATTACAGCTTGAGAGAAAGAGGGGGAGAGGGCGAACGAATAGATGTTGTTGTGGTTGTTGTTCTTGGTGAGGTGGTTGGATAAAAACAAAAAAAGGTTTGACAGGGTCGTCGTCGTCGTCGTCATTATTGTTGTTGTTGTTGTTGATTGCAGAATTCTTTTATTTTTACAGGTGTTTGCTGAGACGCGCCAAATGGTAGTTGATGGTGTTTTGCTGCTTGGTCTTACGGCCCTGTTTTACAAAATTACAAAAAACACACGCAGTGAGTCAGTCAGTGGTACATTATACATTTTAGGAACAAAAAAAAACACTTTACTGGTTTTGCCATGCATTCTTGTAGAGATTTAGCAACAGCTTGACAATGCTTCTCGTCAATGCCAGAAGTAGCCCAACATTCAAACAATGCACCCATTTCGACGACGCATGGGCTTGATTCCAAAAGCTTCTTGGGTCTAACTTTGAGTTGCTTCAACTTCATGGTTTTCGGGAAAAAAAAAAGTGGCTCTTGGCTTAAACGACGAAAACCGGACAAAAACAAAAATATTGTTGGACCGCCGTCAAATTGGATGGACTTTAAAAAAATCTTATGCCCCGGCATACTCTGATGCGGGTTCCGTCGGCCAGCTTTGACCATTTCGACAATATACATCCGTTTGAGGTTGGTTTTAGGTAAATGTGAAGAATTCCCCAGAATTACAAACAATTCCCACCTTCCTTCAGTGTTGTTGCTCCTATTAGTTTTGGATTTTTCAAAAATACGGAAACAAAAAAGGAAAATGGTGTTCCGGGACAATGACAAGCAAGAGATCCGGCGCCAGCGAGAAGCTGATTCGCGAGAACAACAAAACGTCGACTGTCTCGATAGTATGACGCTACAAATCCTACGTAAATATCGAAAAAGGTAACGCTATCAAATGTGTGTTAAAGAAAACACAAACGAAAGCCGAGCGTGTAACAAGTCAAATGTTTGTTTTGCTTAGACTGGAACCTTCAGGGTATCAATCATTACCAGACCTATGGCCAGACCTAAAGGAACTGATTGATGCATCCTTACAACTGCCATCCTGGCAGGCCATTCAACGGCTATTAAACCAAACAAGCTACTTTTACGAGTTCTGTCATGGTTACCGCGCAGACACGGAGCAAGTTGAGTACCAAGAATATTTCAAACATCTGGAAGACGCATGGATACATCTTTTTGGACAAGAGGATCTTGCAATGACGGATCGGATTAGAGCGCTGAACGTGTTACGGGATGGGCATCAGCTTGCTGCAGAGGAATTTGGTATTCCAAACGCGTTGAATCGAGCTTTGGAAGCAGGTGTCATCCAACAACAGCAATAAATCTTTTCTTCTTCCCCCCCTCAAAATAGAGTTACCTTGATTTGGTTCGTTTTTAGGTCTTGTGTGACAACATGGGCTTGTGGATCCATGTGCCATTTGGTGGGGCGATCTTTTTATCTTTGTTTTTATTGCTTTGGTTCTGGCCCGACTTGGCGATCTAATTCTCCACTTGGCAGAGCCTCTGTATCCTGTGATTTTCATCGTTACTAGTTCATTCTTCGAACAATTTTCTCATTTTGATATACAAGAGAAAACAGCACAAAACTTTAACCGCGGCCCTAGCACCTGGAAAAAGGGTCTTTTATTATACGATTGTCACTGCATATCCAGCTGTAGAGCTATCGATGTACTGTTTACTGTAACGTACATACATGGCACTTTATTTTGTGATAAACCAATTTCGTGTCTTTGTCCGATTACATGCATATTCTATCTAAAGGTGGTTTCAAGCATCGCTTAAGCCCTTTCTTTCATCTATAATCGGGGCTTCTTCATACTCGATGCCGGGTGTTTCAAATATCTTGAGAGGGGTGCGGGGACGCCTTTCTCCATCTCAACTGTGTAAAAAGCTGAAAGTTGCGTCCAGTTAGCACTTGTATCTATCATTACTCTTTTTCTTTGTGTTTGTATCTATTTCCAGGGAATCAATGTCTCTATTATTTATGTCACCGAACAATCACACGAAGCGAGTGATTTCCAAAAACAGTATAATATGTAATGAAAATACATCTCACATCTAGACAAGAGGATATCTACTATTACTAGCTGTCAAAATTACCTGCTCACTGTCTGTGGTACGTAGTGCGTACCGATGGTGTTCATATCTTTTGATTTTATTGAGGCACTCCTCCTTTCCACTCCCCTTCCCCTTTCTATGTATATTTAAAATGACGAGAAGAACGCACGCAGTTTAGAGTTGTGGTTGATCCCTAGGATGGTGGCGGTACGTAGAGTAACTTTTGAAAAGGTATGATAGAAATCGAAAAAAAAAGGCTCATTATAACAATGTTCACGGGTAACAAAGCAAACATAGTTATTGGTCTCGTCAACCGTGTTCTTTGTCGTAGCGGGTGGGATCGACGTCCCCTCGAGCTTCATGCAGAAGAGACTGTGCTACAGATAAAGAGGCTCGCAATAATTATATAGCACTATTAAGTGGGATAACCCACTCCACATTGTTTTGTACGACAAAAAAGCCAGGCACCTTTTCTTCGCTTTCACACCGGGTGCATGCAAATCCTGCTTTTCTTTTCCGCTGCAACTGCTGTCGACTCGCCTTTTCCTGCTCTTCTCTTTTTTTTTTTTTTCTTGCTCTCACTTCTTTTTCTTTATTCCACAACCTATGTTTATGCCATCGTAAAATATATATCCAACCCAATCTATTATTTCCATAGTACCTAGATATAAAAAAAACCCCCCACCCTCAAGTATACGTTTATTTTTTTAATCATGAAACCCGCCTGGATTGCCGCCACAGCACTGACGACTTTGTGCTTTGCGTATACCGCCACCGGTGCCCCAACTACAGCAGCAAACGATTGCACAGGTATGTCTGCACATATTGAGTGGAAATGACCTTTGTCTCATGTCGGAATCGCTGTGGTCAGAAGCGAGAAAGAGAGTAGGCTCGGGTTTTACGGGGCTGCATAATAAGGCAGTGCCACTAACTCACTTGCTGCTGCTATTATTCCACTGCCACAGGTATCGATGTATTATACCCAAAAGAAGGAGCGTCGTTTAGTCGCAGTGAACAACAAACAATCTATCTCATTCTAGGTAACGGACACTGTGAATAGCGCTCTCCCCTTCGTGTCACTTCAGCGATCGTGCTTTTTAACTTTTTCTACTATGGTTACTAACTACGATTCCTCTTACTGCGGGTGGGGGTGTGGACATTTGGCACGACAGGCAACAAGGCACATGATGCAAAGTTGCGACACATCAACGTGGCGCGAGAAACAAGTGATGAGGCCGGCGCCGACAAAGCGATGGAGACGGGGATAGACAAGGACGATACGCTTAGCAAGGTGGTAGTGCTCCAACAAGACTTGAATCAGATTGAGGGCACGATGCCTGACAAATTCACGTTCCGGTAGGTTACGAGGTTTGAGTCCGTTTATGGCTTGGTTTTTTTGAAAGGGCGGTTCCTGAATCTTTTTTTAAACCTGGAAAATTAAGGGGGGGGAAGCGCTTTTTGAGTGGGTAGGGTCGAAAGAAAGAAAGGAGGAGAGCTCCGAAGGACGATAGTCTCATACATGCCACTGACTGACTGACTGACTGACTGTCTGTCTGACCACTTATTAATAGCATCCAAGTGGAACAAGACGGACGCGACTGCGTGTATGAATCGCCTTCCTTCGAGGTGACAGACTAAGAGAGAAAAAAAGAAATGCGACCAAATAAAAAAAAAATATAATGAAAATTCTGGACTATGCTCAATTGGTGCGGGTTCATTAACGACGTGCTCCCGTCGTCTGCTAGCTTGTGTGACATTGGCAAAGAGCAGCTAGCCAGCAACAGATAATATAGCACTTGGCAGCAGCAGCAGCAGTATCGAGAGAGAGAGAGAGAGAGAGAGAGAGAGAGAGAAAGGATCTAAATTTATTTTTTCGCTTCTTTTCTTTTACTTTTCTCCTTTCCACCTCTTTCTTTCTTTCTTTTCTTTCTTTCTCTCTTTGCTCTACCTGTCCTTCCTTTTCAACGTCTGCTCTCTCGTAGTCTACCGCGTTTCTAAATAACAACAACAACAATGAAATTCTCTGTCGCCGCAGCCTCTGCCTTGTTGGTCTCTGCCTTTGCCGGCATGGCCAGCGCTGATGCTTACGCTGATGCCATTGCTGAATGGTGTGATGGTAAGACTTGTCTTGCTTTCATCTCTGCTGCCAACCGGTGACCCTAATTCTTGCTATTTGATCTTGTATAGGTTTGGAAATTGTCGAGCCCAACGAGAACACCATCGCTGTTGCTGGCAGCGTCACCAAGATCACTGCCAGTAAGTTGTTAGCCCTCTGTTGTCTGAATAGTATCAGATGCTTTATAGTATATAAAAGACGTATTGACAATGATGCTATCTAGCTCGTGAGCCCAATGACAAGCAAAAGACGGTCAGCGGTCTTGATGTAAGTAGCCCTTTTGCCGGCTGTATCCCCAACAGGCACACACGCGCACACAAAACAAATTGCCCCAGGTGACTAAAATTTATGATTATCTTGACAGCTTTACTCTGTTGACAGCGACGGTCAAGCCAAGTACATCCAGAACGTCTGGCAGGGTAACTTTACCTTGAACCAGCGTGCCACCATCACCGATGACATTCCTGCCAATGTCACCGCCGGTCTTTACTACTACCGGTACGTATCCTAAATAACGCATATAGCCTAGTTGCCATATAAAGAATACATGCTGTTGAGTGGGTCCTGGGTCCCCCTTCCCCCTCCTCCTAATCCCGCTCATGCTCCCTCTTTGAACAATTTTACTCATTCATCATCCCAACAAAATTAATAATAATAATAACAACAACGAAACGACGACAACGACGACAACGACGACGCACGACAATAGTGCCTGGATCACCAACTTGATGGACGGTGGCAAGCACGGTCCCGACTGTATCGAGACTTCGCACAATTTCAAGGTCACCTCGGGTGTCCACCAACACCCGAACGGTATCAGCTACTACACCGAATCGCTTGACGACGTTCAGTTCTACCACCCCGACTACTTCCGCGGCTGCTTCGGCTTGAAGGTCACCACTCCCGCCAAGGGCAAGACTTACAACGTAGGCGACCACATCACCGTCACGGCCAACCGCGACAAGGCTTCGCAGACTGCTGTCCTCAAGAGCATCGACTTGTACAAGTCGACCGAAAAGAACAAGGCCGTCTTTGTCGAGAACGCCTGGGAGGGTAAAGAGCGTTTCACTGACTCGTTCACTCTTAAGGATCACTTTAAGCCCGCAAAGAAGGAGGATATTGATGAGAGTGCTACCTACTACTACACGTAAGTCAACTACTACTACTACTACTACTACTACTTATTACTACTACACTGTATCCTGATCCACTCTTGTTATGCTCTTAGTTTGACTGTCACCAGCAACAAGTCCAAGGATGAGGACTGCACCTTCCACTCCGAAGGCTTCAAGATCAAGGACACCAACTAAAAAAGAACAAGCTCAAGCGTGACGCGGGACGCTTCGCCCACCACCACCACCACCACCTTTACATCTTAACTTCCTTATACCAAAACACAAACCCTTTCTCTTCTCCATTTAAACAGATGCTAAGCATTTTGCTTGCTGACCATTCTCCTCTTTTATCTTTTTTCAAACAACCACACACACACACACACACATCAACAACAACAACAACTTCTCTTGTAGTTTTCCTCCTTCCTTCTTTGCTTGTGTATTCGTAAAATGCAATCTTTTGTCAATCAAGAAAACAAGAAACCTTGAAAAATGAGTGCTCTAGATCTTCTTGCGCAAAGAAAAAAAAAAGACTTGATGTATCTATTAATATCTCATGGTGCGGGGAGGGGGGTGGGAGGAGACCCAGCCAATTAATAATGACTCCTTGCCATTTTTGCAAGAGTCCCTACCAAATAAAAAAGAAACCTGACAAAGGGTTGTCAGGAGAAAGGGGGAGGGGCACCGAGTTTCCACTCATTGTAGGTTCTGCGTGCGCGGGCTTCTCTTGGATGTACTCCTGGGGCTCCGCCATGTTCTGTATGTGCGGCAGACACAGCAGCGATCACATTTACGTTGTCTAGTAGACGCAACGTGTGTGTCGTCATGCACTTGCTGCCATGGCGTAACATGAGACCACCAAGTATAGCCATCCAGGTCTCACAAGAAAACTACATACTACAGACCGCCCACCTTGCACCACCACGTTGTTTGTTGTTGTGGGTGCGCTTGTGCTGCCGTCATACAGTAAAACAAACACACCGTTTCTCGGAGGGCGCGGGGGGGGTTGGGGAAGAGGTGTTTTGATATCATCCGCGTCCAAACAATTACGAAATGATACCATCACTTTAGTTCATAATGACATCTGTTGAAAATTATTGATACAAGAAAAGTTTCCGTCTGGTCTAAACTCTTCTTTTCCTCCACCACCAAACATCCTCTTTTTGGTGCTGATACTCTCTTTTGACGTGATGAGTGAAAACGACAGTGCCAATAAACGAGCCCGTGTTAATAATCGTGTCTTGGCCGCACGAGAAGATGAGCTTAAAGATATGGAAAGGTACACGACACTGTCATTGGTACTAGAGTACCCTTTGTTTTTTTTTTATACGTGGATTCAATCGTGCTCGAAACTAAACCTTGTTTTCTAAAAAAACCAACAGAAAAGAAGTCAAGGTTGATGACGAGACCAGCTTTATGCTCACCCGTCTTGGTGGAAAGTATTATGCAACATCTGGCAAATGCACACATTATGGTATGTTTCTATAGATCACTTTTATAGAGAGGAACACCCCACTCATTGACGTGTTATATTAGGCGCACCATTAATGAAAGGCACCTTGGCATCTGACGGTCGCATCATGTGGTGAGTGGAAAACAACTCCATACTATGGAAAAAGTCCTCAAGATGTAGGAATACATACACAAGGCTCAAAAATCAAATGTTGTCATGTAAAATTTTTAGTGCATGGCACGGTGCATGTTTCAACGTTAAATCTGCCGATATTGGTAAAATAATGACAAGCTAGGATGCTTTATACAAAATAGCGGGATTGTTGACATTTGAATGTTTGCTACTTAGAGGATGCGCCTGCACTGGATAGTTTGCAACGTTTCGACGTATCGGTAGAAAACGGCAACGTGTATGTTACTGTCAGTGAAGAACAACTCAAGAACTTTCGTCGCCACCCACACTGTGCCAAGCACGATCCCAAGAACAAAGAGACTGTGGTCATCATTGGTGGTGGTGCAAGTGCTGCTGCTGCTGCACAGAAGCTGCGCGAAGAAAACTTTCGAGGTCGTATCAAAATCGTTTCTCGGGAAGATTACTACCCTGTGGATAGGTAATTATACAAAAGCGTCTTCTTTGTAATCATCATCCCACTCTATGATTAGTGCGGTCTTCACAACGGTTTGCTCTTGTTAGAATCAAAATCACAAAGCAATATGCTATCGAGAGTGCCGATTCCATTTCGCTTCGTCCAAAGGAATTCTGGGACGATATCAACATTGAGTTCCTACTTGGAACGGTATGTATCAATAGAATAAGCCAAGTTGACCTTTCTCTATTTTTATATCAAATGAGCTCATGATATGCTTCTTTTTGTCATTGTTAAATACAGGATGCCACAAGCGTCGACCTCGAGGAACACAGCGTGACGCTCCAAGATGGTCAGCAATGGAAGTACGACCATCTTATTCTTGCTACAGGTGGCTGGGTATGTCTTTAGAGATAGTACTGTAGTGGAACATTGCAGTTGCAACATGAATGCGAGATGCTTACAAGTCCATCCCTAATACGCAATAGCCGAAAAAGCTGGGCATTCCTGGTGCTGATTTACAGAATGTGTTTACCATTCGTACAGTCGAGACAAACCAGAAAGTTGCACAAGGTATCTTTACAGGGTCTCCAGTTTATACTGAAAGACAAGAGGAAGAATAGCTATGTAATGGGAGCATTAACGATATGCTCCTCCTTTTGAAAATTAGCTATCAAGGAAGTAAGCGAAAAAGTAGGTCGCAAACCTCGACTTGGTATCATCGGATCATCCTTCATTGGCATGGAACTAGCCTCAGCAGTAACTCAACAAGATGCCGCCCAAGTTACAGTCATCAGCACCACAAAATATCCATTCACAGCCGTGCTTGGTGAACACATTGGTGAGGCTCTCATGAAGCTCCACGAATCCAAGGGTGTTCGTTTTGTGAACGAGGCCAATGTTCAAGAACTCAATCCCAAGAAAGAAGACGAGCACGCAGTGGGCTTTGTCAATCTGGAAGGAAAAGATCCAGTACCTGTAGACGTTGTGGTGATGGCTGTGGGTGTGCAGCCGCAGACGGATTACCTTCAAAAGAGCAACGAGAAGAACTCATCGTCGTCAGGTAAAACGGTGCCCTTGGCTGATGATAAGGGTGTGCTCGTCGATCGCTGCTTCAAGGTTGTGGGGACAGACAATGTGTATGCAACAGGCAAGTAGACCATTCATTATGCATGCGCAGCAAGTTGCCCCAGTCTTGTTCTGACCCAAAAGTATATATATATACAGGTGATATTGCCACTTTCCCGTACCAGCATACGGGTGAGCAATTGCGTATTGAGCATTGGGGCTATGCCGAAAATACTGGTAGAACGGTAGCTTTGAACATTGCAAAGAAACAAGAGCACAAGTTTACTCATGTTCCTTACTTTTGGACGGTACTCTATACAAAAACCACTATAACATATGCTAGTTTCTTTCTCTTTCTCCGCTTTCTACTTGTCTGATCTTGATGGCTTTTGTAATCGGATAGGTACATTTTGGCACTACCTTACGCTATTCTGGTTTTGCTAAACAATTCGACAGAGTAATTGTTCAAGGAAACACAACCGATGTGGAAAATTACTCTTTTGTTGGCTATTATGTCAGTAAGTATGAGTAACCTTGTTTTTTTTTTCTTCATGACCCTAGCGAAGGTGGGACTACATACCAATCACTTTAATTTTTTTTTTCCATCTTTAGAAAATGATGAAGTGCTTGCTATCTGCTCCTATATGAAGGATCCTATCGTCAGTCACTGCGCTGAACTGGTAAGTTACAGTTGTCAACCTATTCTTTTTCGTATGCGACCTTGGCATGTATGCATTGGCCGTGCAAATAATTAATGCTGTATATTTGTATTAGCTCCGTATTGGCAAAATGCCAAAGGGATCAGAAATTGACAAGGGTGTGAATCCTTTGGATATTCCTCACATTGTTGATTAAAATCAGATTAATATTGATTGAGCCCCTCAGCATGATTTTCATGCGGGTGAGTTGATCACGACTAGCTTGAGTAATTCTTAATTTTATTACTGGAAAACAGGGGAGAAGAAAAGGATTTACTATGATACAATGTTGGTTTTTTTTTTTGCGGGATGGAACACAAAGAGAGATGATGATATATACACAACTGTGGAGAGGAAGAGGAAAGAAAAAAAGATAGAATGGCACTAGGGAGGTGATAGCAGTTATAATAATAGTTATAGTGGTAGTAAATAGTATGTAAATGGGTGGAGTGGGTGGGTTGGGGGGGGGAAAGTAACAGTGATGATAATAGGGTTTGAGTTCAGAAGCTACGTTGGCACGAAGAAATCTTCTTCATCTAAAAGCAAGCTTTGTAGCCAGAACACGATTTCGTCAACAAACTTGCTTCGTGACGTATACGGACCCGCAGGTAAAGGATACAGACCGACATAGGGATAATCTTCGAGTCCATAAGAGACGGTTGTCAGCATGTTCTTAGCAAAGAAGAATAGCTGGACAATGGCGTAAGTAGCGAGAATAAATACAACGGTTCGCCAAGCACGGGCGGTTGCTGTGGTTTCGTGGAATAAGGTGTTATGTGCCATTGTCTGCAATAGTAGTAGTGAGTATCACGCAAAACATAATTGGCAGTGAAACTTTTTGTTTCAGCTTTGAACCCAACTCGCTATCGCTTCTTTTTTTTCTTTATCAACTTACGATATATTCAGATACTGGTACCCCATCCCTTCGGGACCCCATAACACGCACGCGACGAATTGTTTCGGCTTGGTCTTGCACACGTTGAGTGAGATCCCGGATGGAATGTTCGTGTTCCGCAGCAATATAGCCGCACACCTCACATAATTCTACTGTTTGCGATTGTACACCTTTCGATGTGGTTGGACGAGGTCTGGAAGCTCCAACCGCGTTCTCAATATCATGTAGTTCTTTAAATAATCGAGTGTTTTCCCTTTGTAAATCATCCCGGTGTCGTTTTACTATTATTCAGAGAGAAAAAAAGGACATGCGTCAAATAACAGTTCCTGTTGCTGTCCCTCTTTAAAAGAGAAAACGTTTACCTCTCATCAGATTTTGTTCCACATCAGCCAGCTTATCCTCAAGTTCCTTGACCCGTCGTTCGCTAAGCTCCAAATGTTCCTCAGACGTTTCCAGCTGTTGTTCGGTTTTCGCAAGTACAACTCTTAAGGAATCCAACTTTTCCTTGTCGCCAACACTGCTACCACTCGAGACCTGCTGCTGCTGCTGCTGCTCTGTTTGTACTTCTTTGGTACCTTGTCCAGTAACAGAAGATGATTCGCCTAGTTCATCACTCAAAGTCTACATTGAAGGTTCAGCATTTAGTTCAAAGCCACCTTATGTTTAAAAAGAGCCTCCTCCCCTCCATAACCCTATCATCTTTTTTTACCTTGACTGGGACAACGATCTGTGCGGCGCGTCGTCTTGCTTCATCCAAATCAGTCTTCATATCATCAATAATGTGCTTCATGCGACTGTTCTCTCTTGTTTTTTCCTCGAGTTCCATAATCAACGACTGTTTTCCTTCAATCTCTTGATCCAAATGCATCTGAAGTTCGGCGGTTTTCTCACGAGCAGCTTTGTGAGAACTATATTCGAGATACAGCTGTTCAAAGTTGGCCTCTGCTTGTTTCAGCTTGCCCGCAGCAGTTTGCAGTGCTTCCTGCAGCCTAGCGACCTCCTCTAAAAACCGATTTTAAACCACATTTTTAAATAATCGCATAGATATGACAAGACCACACACACATGTTAGCCCTTACCATTTCTTTCTTCTAGTCTGTTCTTGAGTTGTTCATTTGTTTGTCGGATTTTTGTGTGCTTACTACCGTATTCTTCTATTTGTGTTTCGAGCTATAAAGAAAAAAGAAGCCAGGTTAATTTTGATCTCGTTACTGCACACAACTTCAATAACTATGGTAGTAATTAAAGGATCTAGCTCTTGCCAAGTCCCCCCCCCACCTCCCACCTCCAGTCCCGCCTTGATGTGGAAAAAATAGAAACACTCACATCACTAATGTGCTCCAATCGCATATGTTCCTGAGTCTGATACTCTGCAATCGTTTTCTTATGCATGACAATTTCATGGCGCATGGTACTAAGGTCGACTTCTAATTTAGCGATCTGTTCGTCGTACTCTTGGGAAATTTTTTCGAGTCTGCGTTCGGTTTCTTGGAGCCGTCGTTGTGCTACTGAGTTACTGCTACTGTGATGATGCTGGCTATGTAATGATTCGGACACGGATGCCATGGGTCGAATATTGTCAACCTATAAAGTTTAGCACAAAGTGTGTTAGTTTCTAGAAAACAACACAATCTATTTTGATACATACATCAACCATATCCCTCAAGTTCCACGTATTATCACGCAAATGATGTTGTTCGAGATTGTGATGTGGTTGTGGCGACGCGTTGAATCTACTCTGTATGCCACCTGACCTTGTCAGGTCCCGATAGTCGTGATCATCATGGATACCCTGCATGCATGTATACACAACAATGAGCATAAACAAACGGACAAATCAAGAAATAAATTACTCATTGTTCTCTCTCATTCACATGTTCTATCATCCTCCGCCTGCTCATTTCAACTTACAACAATGGATACTGGCGATACGGATGGATGGTTTAAACTTCCACCTCGAGTACCACCCGTTTCAGCATCTGAATCATCAGCAGGATCGACTCGACGCATTTTCTGGAACCTTGCAGGTGTAAAGTTCAGCAATCTCGACGTGCGTGATCGAGCATCCATGGACTGTGATACGGGTGAATCAGCCGGCGGTTGTAGCAAATCTTGATAAACCCGTTGTCGTTGTTGCTGCTGCTGTTGATGTTGATGTGCCAATTCTTCTTTATCAATGCTATTGTCGTATTCGTCATTGACACCATCATCTACATGCCCTTCCACGTCCTCGTCTTCGTAATGCCCATCATCATTCATATGCTCACTGGTTTGATAGCGATCGATAGGGTGGTTATTGCCGTTAGCATAGGTTTCAATGGCATCCTCGTCATCGTAATGAGCGACATTGGGGTCGTTTCCATTCATCATAACGCGACCGTTTTGACGGCGTCCACTGAAACAGTGATCATCGTCTTCATCTTCGTCGTGGTCGTCGTGGTCGTCGTCATACTGTCGTTGCTGATATTGTTGTGGCTGTTCCAGATCCCCAATAGACTCGTCACCTTCACAACTGCCGACCAGAGTCTCAAGCAATTCGAAAAAATCATTTGGGTCGAGCAGCAAACTGTTGCCCTTGAGTCTGCCGTATAGATGGATTTGCTGTTTTTGTAAATCCGTCAACAAGGACTTTTGGGCGATCTGTTCTTTTCGGTCCAACAGGCTCAACCAAGTGTCGACAGTGGCTTCCCTTGGCAACTCCTTAACAGGAATTTGTAGCATACTTGCAATGTCCTCTTCTGGAATGTAGGATCTCTGATTCTGTTAATAGAAAAAAAAAAGATGGTAAGTGTGATTGAGGGTTAAGAAAAAAACAGAAACAAGGCGGGATATTCATTATATTGTTGCGTAGAGAAGGGTTCGCTCGTGCACAAGCCAAACTCTAACCCACCCACCCCCCTCTTTTTATCTCCTTCGCTTGAGTCAGGAAAAAAAACAAAACGGTTAGAAAATTCTACATACACGACTGCTTGAATCTAATTCGCGTTGATGCAAATCAGGGATGCTGCTGCTGTTATTATCATGCTTTAGCATTTTTTGCAAAGAGGGGTTGGACAAGGAAAAGAAAAGAGAATTGTAGAGATGAAACGTGTGCGTTCAGCGATTCAACGCGCTCGTCTTTTTTTGTTATGCTGTGGTGTCTACTTTAAGGGTTTTGTGTGTATGTGTGTGTGTGTGTGGCGTGACCGGTCCGTTCAAAAGAGGGAAAGAGAAAGAGAGGAAGTAGAGAAAGAAAACTAAAAGTAAGGGGAGGGGGTCGGCCTTTGTTGCGTTAAACTCTGATTTGCTTGTTTTAATTTTTTTAATGTTCTCTCTTGTATCCAAGAAGCATGTATCGCTAACTAACGAACGGATAGTAACAACCAAGTCCGGGGAACAGGACAAGTGTCTTTGTCTCTCTTGCCACTCTCTCTCACTCCTCACTCCTCGAGAGGCCCCGGTCCCCTGGGTCTCTGTGTTCTTTAATATTATTATTGTAAAATGACCTGACGGGTTTCGCCCTGAGTCAAGCATATGGTCAATGCATCCAGTTTCTTCCTTTTCTACCCAGGCGCTCGGGTTTTTTCTTATCCAGCTTGCATCTAATCTTCCTATTTTCCATTCCTTGCCGAACGTACCACCGTAATATTTATTGCATGCACACACCATGTCAGACGCCGATGAACGGCCAATAAAGCGACGTCTACGACAGCCTTTGTCTTGCCAAAGGTAAGATTAAAAGAAACAAAGAGGACATACATATCCAAGACACTTTGTGCTCTTTTCCTTTGTGACAAAAATAGCCAACAATAACAATAATAGACTGATGCCATAACAAATGTAATAACAAAGGTGCCGAAAACAACGATCGAAATGCTCACGAGATCGACCGACATGCAAACAATGTCAAACTGCCAATGTTCCTTGCGAATATCTTGATGCACCGGGTGATCTTGCAAGCACAGCCTTACGAGATCGGTTTTCAACACTCCACGGCCAGATTGATTCCCTATTGAGTGAGTTTGGATTGATTGAACAACTCGTATATAATCGCGATCCGGCGATACGCACAGATGCGCTTCGGTCATGGCACATTAGCAACGATACTGGCATAGGGGTTTCGATCGATACACATATGCATCACGTAGAAGACATTTATGCTGTGCTGCTACAGTTTGCCCGTGACAATGATAATTCATCAACAGTGACACCGTCCTCCTCAACATCATCCTCTTCCTCTTCAACAACAAGAAATAATAATCTCTGGTTAACACGCAACAATACCATCTATCCAACCATCAAATTAAGTCATTTCACGAGTCTGCTACCAGCTACAGCAGCAACATCACCCGATAACGCACTGTCACCAACACCATCCCTTGCATCTGCCCCCGACCACGAAAATGCACTCAACCGTGATACCGTCCAATGGTTGCTTCATCTATACCCAACGTGTCTGTTACATGGCTCGATCCTTGGCTTTGAACCGGTCATGGAAAAGCTAGTACGCATCAATGAACACAAAAAACTAAACAAGACACCGATCCTTCGATTGCTATACACGTCCTGCATGTGCTACATGCTCCTCCATGCATGCTACTGGCATCCAATAGAATCGATCACCTCAACAACCGATACTGTCGCACTCGCCCAAAGTTATTATGATGAAGCCAAAGAACTCGTATCGTCACTCTATTTCGAACAAGAAACGCCCAGTGTGCTTATTTGTCACGCCATCTGTAATCTCGTTCTTTATCACATTGAAAGCGGCAATACATCAGTCATTTATTTGTATTCGGGTATGGCGGCACGATTGGCGGCGAGTTTGGATATCCCGACATCTGACAATGAGGAAGAAAATGTATATTTGTTGTCATCGTCGTCGTCGTCAACGTGTCAAGAGGGTGATAATATGGTCAGCGTCGTGTTAGAGCCATCTTACATTCGCTCGATCCGTTGGTTCTTGCATTCCTTGGACACGGCAGCGTCACATTTCCACAACAAACCGTATGAGGTACAGTTGTACAATGAGGACGGGCCGCCGTATCCCGACACGAGTGACAGCCACAACCTCGATTATCAGCAACGTATATTCCAATGGCTCGAGTATCGAACCTGCGAAATTACACGAGACATCCGGCGGACGTGCTTTTCAAATGATCGGCAACAAGTCCCTTACAAGGAAATCGAGCGGATCGAGCAAAAACTGCGGCTGTTTCAAACATACCTGCTGCGGTACACCTACGACACCAACGACGATCAAACCGAAAATTACGACAGCAACAACAACAACGACGACAATGTGTTATTATGGAAACGACGATGTAAATACATGCATTCGATCCGGTACTATGGCCACTGGATCTTGCTACACCAAACATACTTGCCTACGCCATTATCAGTGGAACGGTGTAGCAAGGCTGCATTTGCACTGGTGGATCTATTCGATGTATGGCAGCTCGATTGCTACTTTCGACCCTGCATCCATGAACTCAAACAAGCATGCGAGATCCTGGAATATCTCGTCGACCATCAACCCAATGAAAAACAAAAGGCACTCGATGCTCTATCACGATTGCTCGGGGTCATTCTTGGTACACCTGTTCATGATATTGCGCGCACACGTCCATTTATCCAACGAGTTCAACACATCCTTGCATTGCATCATCAATAAAAAAAGACAGCAGCATCCCCGCCCATACAACCAAAAAGAAGAGTGATTTTTGAATCTTTTACTTCAAAAAAGAAAAAAAGGGAAGGGGTGGTTTTCAAAAAAGTTGTTCTTTTTAAAGGGAAGAAAGAAAAAAAAAAGAGAGAGATCCTCACCGCACCGGCGACCGTATACAAGGCACGATTTATATATGGTTTGTTTCTTAGACGTGTATACGCAATGTATGGATTTATATTTACTGTTCAGCAGGGCTGCGGGATCGAGGCGAGGGCGAACGCGAGTCGGCGCGTCGTTTCTCAGGGACAGGAGAGCGGGAACGTGAGTCGCGGGTGGCAAGTTCGGCGGCGGGAGGATAACGTTCATCAGTATATCTAGGAGGCGAGCGCGAGCGCGAATCGTAGCGACGGTCATAAGGAGGAGGCGAGCGTCCGCGGGGAGATGGGGAGCGGCCTGCGCCGCCACCACCACGGTAGTAAGGGCTGCGCGAACGGCTGCGGCCACGAGGGACAGGTGCGCCATACGATCTGCTGTAACGACGTGGGCTTGGCGAACGAGGACGGCGGCCAGGCGAGCCTCTGTCATAGCGCCACGATGCACTTGGTGCGTTACGAGCCCACTAGCATAAACAAAGCGTATCATCAGTTTACCCCGATCCTATTGCAACCAGAAGCTCTCAGTTGGCCGAAACAAAAAAAGTTTACCTGTACGCTGATTGTATAGCCATCGATACGTCTTCCATGCATCTCATTAAAAGCATCCTCAGCATCACGGGGATCTTCAAACTCTACAAAAGCATAACTGTGGTAGAAGACCAGATTCTTTAGTTGCCAGTGATACGACGGTAGATCAACGCTAGTATCAGAATACTTACGGCTTGGAGGAGTAGCTCTTGGGTGCAGGGATATCACAACGTACAAGACGACCATATCTTTTTTTTTTTTTGATTGTCCAAAAACAGTTCAATAACACAAAACGAATCATTTGTTTTTTTTTTGTTACCAAGTCGTATAAACGGCGCGGGAAAGAAGAGAGAGATATGGGATGGATCGTTAGTCGTCAGGCAAATAAGAAACTCGTAGACAAGGGAGAGAAGTGTGTGGAAAAAAAAAAAGGTTCGTCGTTCGAGGCAAGCACGCAAAGAGGAGGAGAAGGAGCAAACAGAAGAAAGGTTTCCGTTTCGTAGGAACGCGTTTTATCTATCACTTTTTCTATTTCCTCTTCTCGCTCTTTCTGTTTTCCCTTCCAACTCAAGAGTAACGACGCTCGACTCGGGCTCTTTAGTGTGTATACCGACGACGTTTTTCGAAATGGTGTTTGTGGTCGACGACGGAAAAAAAAAATAAGGAGGGGTGGGAGGGTAGAAAGAGAGAGAGAGAGAGATCTTTCCAATGGAGTAGTAGTAGGTTCTGGACATTTGTTGAAAAGTACCTTTCAAACTCGTATGCCAAGTCTCTTGCACGCGTTCGGGAGCCAAAGCCGGCGACAAACAGGGTCGTTCTCATTGTGTGATGCGGTGTACGTAAGTTGAATGGGTGGTGGTGGTGGTGATGTGTTGGTATGGAAAGCCAAAGAAAAAAAAGAGCCTTTTTTTTTTCCTGCTCAGCGCTTATTTTTTTTTATTTAACGCCTTTATACTACTGATTGACAGAGAGTGGAAGAGAGAGCCGAACAAAAAAAAAATTCTGCTTATACGTCACAATGTCATTTTATTGGCTAACGTGAACGGCGCTAAATGATGCTAAAAAACGGAAAAACTTCTTTCATCATCACTGACGCCAGCCTGCGTTGAGCTGCATCAAGGTCAGTACAGCATCCATAGAATATTCAGGCTTCTTTATCCTTTGCTGCTGATGATGTGGTTGCTCCTCTTCATCTTCTACTTGATCATCTGCATCATCATTCTTGACATCACTTCCACCGCTTGATTGTGGTATGTGTTGGTCTGCTTCGTTCTCAACGACATTGGAAGAATGGGTCGTTGATAAATCTGCTTCTTGTCCTCCTGACGTAAGTAAGAGTGATTGATCTGCCGGTTGAGTTGATTCATGAAAATGTAATGATTCCATGTTGACGTCTTGTTCCTTTTGCTCGTCCTCTTGCTGCTGCGGTTCTTCTTCTGGTTGCGGTGACGATTGTTCCTCATTATATTCTTCGGACGGATGATGATGATGAGGTTGTTCGGATGATGATGATGATGATGATGATGATGATGATGATGATGATGATGATGATGATGTTTGTTGTTGTGGTTGATGAAGGTAATCGTTTTCTCGCTGCACGTGTTGTTGCTGCTCTTCATCCTGATGTAAAAATTGATCGTGTTGTCCAAACTCTTCGCCAGGCGGCGTCGTTGGTAACTTGCCTCCATTCGTCAATGCTTGTAAAGTCTGTTGGTTTCAACAAATAGGGGAACGCAGGACACGGATTTTGTATATTGTATTGGTTGTATGAAAACAAGGATTGTATATTTTTTTTTGCGTATATATAGAAATCGTTGTGTGGTATATGCAGGATGTATGTATTTTGCGATCAATATATATATTACATTACTTCTTTTTTGCTTTTCCCTTTGTTATGAAGAACTGTTCGAGTGTGGATTGTTCAGAAGGCTTACAATCATGTTATTGAGTTGCTCCAACAATTGCCGTTGCAGCTCAGGAGGAAAGTCCAACATTTTGGCTGCTGCTGACTGATCGACTGTCATGGGTGGCGGTGGTGCAGTAGCAGCAGCAGCATAGTAGCCCAGCTGTTCTGGTAACGCTGCTGCTGCCGCTAATGCTGCTGCTTGTTGCTGTGGCGACTGGTGTGCATCGTCTGCTGAAGACGTCGTCGTTGCTCCAGCACAAGAAGAAGGCACGGTCATGATGCCACTTGACGGGCTTCCTGGTACACTGAGTACATTGTCAATCATGTTCTTCCGTCGTTCTTTCTCCATGCGCTTTTGTCGCCGCTTTTCGAATTCGTCATTGGCCCACGCCCGTTTTGCTTCAGTGTCGGCTGGTCCAAAGAGTTTACTCGCTCGTTTATTGACTCGGCATCGTAAGTCATTATCTTTGTCTACACAAAATAGTTAGAAATGTTTAGTTCCTTTAACACTTTTGGCACGTTTGTGTGTGTATGTCTATGGGTTTCAAGCGGAGGAAGTTTGTTCACAAAGTAAAAAAAAAGCCATACTTCGCTCTTCGTTGTGAATACGCCATTTCTTCTTTCGTTCTCTGTTTGCAGCACGAATGTTATCTCTTTTGACAAAGTCAATATCGGATCGTGGTGTCTGTTGCTGTGTAGGAGGTTGGTGTTGTTGATTTTGAGGCTGTAAGAGTTGTGGTTGTAGTTGTTGTTGTGGTGGTGGTGGTGGGCTAGTGTTGTTGTTGTTGTTTGAGGATGACGGTGAAGATGCTGTCGAAGAAGAAGAGACGGCAGCAGCACCAGCACCTACGGCGGCTGCAACAGCTGCTATGAGCTGACCATGCTGTGAAAGAGAAGCAACGCCGTGACTGTTGACAGCGGCCAGCATAGCTTCGTGCAATTGTTGGTGATATGGCTGGAGCGCCGAAGAGGACGGCGTGGGACTACTACTAGTCACGGTAGGTGTGGTGGTGTCATGGTGGGTGTTCTCACCGGAGGCGCAAGAGGTGGACTGCTCTTGCATATTTATGTCTTCCGCTTTGATCACAATATTATCACTGGTGTCGTCCATTTTGTATGCTTCCGTTTCTTTTGATGATAATAGTAAGAAAACAGTGGCGGTCGTAAATAAAAAAAATAAAAGAAGAGAAAGCGGAATAACGAGCCTGCAAAAAAAGAAGTTGCTTGTTTGGATATCTTTTTTTGCTCTCTCTAAGTTTTTCCAACAATTCGGCCAATCATAGGCAGTGGCTGGCGCAAAAAAAAATTTGCAGATGTGGACGATGGATGGGCGTTTGCTCTTTGGCAACATCCAATCTGTATGATGATTAATGCAAGAGTCTTTTTCTTTTTGTGGTTGCTTTAATAATAATGATTGGCGAGAGACGGTAAAATAAAAGAGTGTGTATGATCCGAGGGAAGAAGAACGAAATATGCAATGGGATAGTGGTAAGTGTATAAATATAATAGTATATAGTTATGTGTAATTGCGTATGGAGTATGGAATATATGAGAATGGAATGCTTTGTTGTAAAGCGAGAGAACAAGGGTGATGACGACGACGACCAAGAAGAAGAAGAAGAAGATGGTAATGATGATGATGATGATGACAGGAAGGAGGAGGAGGAGGAGAGGGAAAAATACATTCTACACTTTCATGACGCCAGACTCGTCCCATTCAAAGCCAGGCATGATCATATCCATTCCATTTATACTGTTGTCCATGCCACTTTCATACCAGCAGCCGCTCACATCCTCCTCATCCACCTTGATCTGTTTAATAAAGTCGTTGTCCGGCGCAATGGAGAATGTTTCATCCTTGTAACCTTCCTTTAGTGGCGAGTCGAATGCCAACGCACAATTGTGTCCATCCTTGATGATTTCTAGCGGTGCTGATTCTGAGAACGCGTCGTGGATGCCCCCACTCAATTTGCCCGCCACTTCTCTGAGCACATCGTTGGCAAACATCAATGTATTTTCCACCTTGTCGTTGGCTCCCATGCCTGGACGTAGCGTAGGCGTGGTCGTCGTTGCTGCTGCTGTTGTTGTTGTACTTGGTAGTGGTGGTACTGTTGACGTTGCAATAGATCGCGTTGTCGGTGTCATTGAAGCTGCGCTTGAAGGTGTTGGTGCTCTACTGGGTGTCATGGGCGTTGCACTAGGTGATGCTCGAGCTGCTGCTGCTGCTGCAGAAACAGGTGGCGACATGGCCATTGTAGCATGAAGCATCCGTTGCTGCTGCTGCTGCTGTTGTTGTTGTTGTTGTTGTTGTTGTTGTTGCAACTGTTGCTGCTGCAATAATTGCTGCTGCTGAAGCTGTGGAGTGCTGATCGCAGTAGGAGCCACTGAAGTAGGCAGCATGGCAGCAGATGTAACAGGAGCCAAAGAGACTGGTGTTTGTTGAGCAAGCGATTGTTGTAACTGTTTCTGCTGCTGTTGCTGCTGCTGCTCTGCCAAAAGCTGCTTCTTCACTGTCTCGACACGCTCATTCAACAACATGCGGATTTGCTGGTATTCACGAGGCCCCAGCGAAATCTTCTTTTCTTCCACTTGTTGTAGTATATAAGTGCAGTGCAATGCTTTTGCAGGCAACCGGTCTATGATTGCTTGTGGCAGGCCTTGCAGTCTGGCAGCTTCTTGGACGTTGGGTAATTGTACGTTGGGAATCTGAGCAGGTCGTTGACCAGGCATGGTCGTTCCTGAAATGATTTCTTGGGGTGTGTTGCCACCAATAGGCGATGCTGTCGTCGTTGGCGTTGCTCCTGCCATCGGCTGCTGTTTAATGACAGGGCTATCGCTCACCACAATGGGTTCCGCATTGTCCTGTTCAGACGCTGTTGTTGCGGTGGTCGTCGACCGCTGAGTCTGTGTAGGCGATTGCTTCTGTTCCCCTGGCGTCTGGCCTCCTGCCGCACCACGCTGCTTCTTGGTTGGCGGTAACTTCAAATCAATACTTCCTCGCTTAATGCCTCCCATGTTTGCGTTCATGGGTGCGTTTCCAGCAAGCTGTTCGTTCATTTGTTGCTGTTGTGGCGTACCAGCACCTGGCACTGGCGGCTGTTGTGGAGGTCTGGATACAGGCTGCTGCTGTGGAAGTGGAGATGGGACGTGTTGTTGTTGTTGTTGTTGTTGTGGCGGCTGCTGTTGTCTTGGAAGACGTTGCTGCTGTTGGGTAGGCGTCATTTGTGGAGTTCGAGTCATTTGGGGCGTCTGGCCCATTGTCATTTGAGGTGCTTGCATCTGGTTCATTTGTGGAGTTGCCATCATTTGCTGAGGGTTCGAAACCGGGTTTGGCTGAGGAGCGGACGCCATGGGTGCGCTGGATGTCACCATGGATTGAGCCAACTGCTGCTGTTGCTGGTTTTGCTGCTGTTGTTGTTGTTGTTGTTGTTGCTGTCCAGTAACTGCATTACGTACATAGGCAAAGTAACCCGTAAACTGCTCCCGTAGCTTGTGAAGGTTCTCCAGAGTGAAAATAAACTTTTGTTCTGGCAAATATCGAACTTGATCTTCAAACATGTATTTCATGATAATGAGACGACGCGCAGCTTCACCGTTTTGCGTTATGGACAGAAACACGGGCAGCAGTTCGTCGATCTTGTCGCACATGGGTTTCATCTTTAAAATGTGCTCGGCAATCTCTTGCTTTTCCTGTGGGCTCAAATTCTCCAGAACAGTGGGCATAGCTAAGGATGAAAAGGTTAATCTGTCTATCCATCATACTTGCGCATCTTCCCCCTGTCATGATCAGGAACTAACCTCGACTGCTTCGGACGTTCTCATCTAATTGTCGCGCAAACTCTACAGCTCGTTGGGGCTGTTGCATTGCTAGTCTCATCGTGTTGGCGGCTTGCTGTTGTGGCGTTTGCTGTTGCTGTTGTTGAGGCATTCCACCAGCCATGTTTTGCTTCATCATAGCAGGAGTGGCGGCAGTTTGAGGCTGTTGTGTCTGTGCTGGTTGCGAGACATGTTGCTGCTGCTGCTGCTGCTGTTGTTGTTGTTGTTGTTGTTGTTGTGGTGGTGGAGGTGGCTTTTGTTGTTGTTGTTGAGGTCTTGGAGATGCCTGTTGTTGTTGCTGTTGTTGTTGCTGCTGTTGCTGCTGCTGCTGTTGTTGTTGCTGCTGAAGCAACATATGCTGCTGTCTCTGTAAATGCTGGATCAAGATATCCTGCGTGCTTTGTGGAGTAGCTCCCGCCCCATGGGGAATTCCTTGGCCTTGCTGTGGTGGCGGTCGATTCAGCTGTTGAGCAGTGAGGTTATTTGCCAAGAGCGCAGCTGACGCAGGGGGCATGGATCCCGGGTCAATGACATTGGCAGCAGCAGCAAAGCTTGTGGGTTGCATCGACGTTGGCGCACCTGGCATGCTTACTCGACCAGGACGAAAGTTCTGTTGTTGTGCCAAGTGCTGAGCCTGAGCCTGTGCCTGGGTCTGTGGCGCCTGCTGTTGTTGTTGCTGCTGCTGCTGTGATTGTTGCTGTTGCTGTTGTGGCTGCTGCTGTTGTTGTTGCATTGCGCCTCCTTGTTGTTGTTGTTGTTGTTGTTGCTGCTGCAACTGCTGCTTCTTTTGTTGTTGATGAATGGCAATTTGACGAGCCAAGTACATTTGCAACTGTTGAGGTGACAATGACACGCCCTGTGGTTGTGTGACGTTAACTCCATTGGCACTCAGGTTCTGTAAAACGTTCAGTGAAAGCTGGGCTTGCTGTTGGTTTGGAGTCTGGACATTGGGCTGTTGTTGTTGTTGTTGTTGTTGTTGCGCTGGTGGTTGCTGTTGTTGGCTCGCCAAACCTTGCGCTTGTCCTCCTGCTGCTGCCACACTCATTTGAGCCGCACGTTGCAAAGCAACTAGTTGAGCCTGCGTAACCTGGCCGGTAGCCGGTTGTTGTCTTGGAGTCCCGTTCTGAGGCATGCCCGGTTGCTGCTGTTGCTGTGGTTGCTGTTGTGGAGGCCGTTGTTGTTGTTGTTGTTGCATCATGTTGGGTGGAAACATGTTTCCTCGTCCAGCTGCTGCAGCCGCTGCCGCCGCCGCAGCAAGTTGCTGTTGGCTCACACCAAAGGGCAATTGAAAGTTGTTCTGTTGCTGTTGCGCCTGGTGTTGGTTTTGCTGGTTACTCAATTGCGGGGAAGCGTTTTGTTGTTGTTGTTGTTGTTGTTGTTGTTGCTGCGGCTGCTGCTGCTGTTGTTGCTGTTGCTGTTGCTGTTGGACGAGCGGAGACATTTGTTGCTGCATCCCCATATTGCCGTGGGCCATCTGACCGTCATGGATCATATTGGGTGCACTGGCTGGCATATTAGCTCCTACTCCTCCTGGTGCGCCGCCGCCGCCGCCATTGACGGCACCTGGCCCTCCGTTTCTTTGCGCTTGTTGCTGTCCGATGTTAGAGCGGATTTGGTGAAGCTTTTTGGCATATGCCAAGACGTATTGATTCTAACCGAAAAATTCATTGAGCTTCGTCGCGTTCTTCGGGGATAATCGAGTAGCTCTCTCTCTCTCTCTCTCTCTCTCTCCTCCTTTATTCTCTTCTTCCTTTTCAATGCTAATCACCTTGTTTATACTGTTTTGGTACAGATTCAACTCAAAATTTCTTGCAGCAGCCATGATATCATGCTCCCGCGTGTTGGGTGAAAGAACGTTCAGTGCTTGTGCCCTGTATGTAGATAACAGAAAAAGAGAGCATCAGAAAAAAAAAGGTCCCTCTCACACCATGTATGTCTTTGTATCCACACGCTTTTGAGGGAATAGAAGAGAGGCCTTTTGTGGAGAGTGATGCGAGGGGTGGGAAATAACATGGATCACGCACATAAAGCCGAAGATAGATAGAGAGCATACGTGTGTGTAGAGGAAGAAAAAGTACGTGTGGGTGGGGAAAAGCGAGAGAGAGAAAGAGATTACAGTGATTTCGCTTACAACTGAGTGATAAACTGATTTCTGTCACTCTGTGACAACTCATCACGCCAATTGGGATTGGGAACGCCATCGTTCTGAATACCCATGTTCATTGCCTGCTGGCCATTAGGCACGTTGGGGTTTTGCTGATTCATCGTCAAACTTTGTAACCAACAGCTATGTTGTGTGAAAAAGCGGTTGCTTGGTTCTTTATGTTGCTGTTTGTTATGTGAAGCGTATAAGCGTCTGGGTATGCAAAAGGAACAAAAAGGATTTCAAAAAAGAGAGCTGCTGGAAAGAGACAAAGGAGTAGAGCGTGAGCGGGACAAGAACAGAGCAAGAGAGAGAGAGAGAGAGAGAGAGAGAGAGAGGAAGGAAGAGAGGGGGGAGGGAGTGTAAAAAAGCTGAATTGCGTCGTCTGACAGCCAATCATTGTGTTCAAGTGCACGGTTGTGCGTGATCCCTCCATACTGGGTAGGTATGCATGCTCAACACCACTCTGTACTTTTTTAAACAAAAGTACTGCGTTACTACACATCAACACTCTGCATCCATGGCAAAGAGAGAGAGAGACAGAGAGACAGAGAGAGTGCGTATACGTTTATCAGGCTACCATGGCTATGCTGTTCATAAAGCCGTGCCTAGTGCCGATGCCTGCATGGTGAAGGTTCTGCCGCTGAGGATACGGGTAAGTCTAGCTAAAAGGACAGAGATCTGCTACTGTGTCTATGCGCACAAGGTGCCCACAACGGCCAATAGACATAGCAGTAGATGCTCCATGGCTTCTGCAATGCGATGGCAACCTGCGTTGCGACAAAGAATAGAAAAGGTTGACATGAGATCGAGTCCCAATATATCAATTGCAATGTGGTGCTGATCTCATGAAAATGGCAGTTTTGGGCAACTGTTTAATTAGCAGCAATGGCCTGCAGGCAGCATAACAAAAAGGCTCTCTCTCATCATAAATTATCAAGCTGCATACACACACACACACTCTCTCTCTCTTCTTTTATTAGCACCTTCCCCTCCCCCCCCACACTATCTTTTAATGATCAGACTGTTTTCAAACCAGCGTTCCCCGGACAACAGGCACTCGTTTTCACACCCCAGTATGTCACTCCCACGATAAACCCGGCGAGCTACAGCTCTTTACATAATATGGATTCAGAGCCCTTTTGATTCTACTTGATCGGTACTAGACACTGGCCATCATTGTCCTGTGGGGAATATACCAACATGTGCATAGTCCTATACGGGCTCTACCTTTCTTTTTGTTCCTCCAGTGATGTTCAGGGGCTTGACGCATATTATCTTTCTTTCTAGGAGAAAGCAACAAAGTGTGCGAGAAAATAAGAAAAGGGGGGGGATGATGAAATTCAATGTCGTGGAACCTTGGAGAAAGAGATATGAGCGTTGTGAGTCACTCTACTACTTGGTGCAGTTGTATGATATGTTCTTACTTACATATAACTATGTTACAACGATGATTCTTCGCTCACAAACATGCATCCAAATGAATAATGAGATAGTGCAAGGCACCATACAACAATCGTTTGGAACTGGTGTCTCGGGATCGAATACTTCTTTTTGATGCTGTCGCTGCTACGCAGGAATATGAAACTGATTGACCGAGACGATCACACGGTTAGTGGATGCTCAGGCACGGCCGCATGATATTGGTATATACCTCTGTGATATACACTATTATGCGATAATGAATATGTGGTGACCCGTAATTATATGTCTGCTGTATCATCATATGCAAATACTTGTAAAGGACCCGGCTTTTGCGTTGTTGCAGCAATCACCGTCGGCAACCCTGATTTAATATGCCTAACCTTATTTTTACGAATCATTATGAGATATTTTGAGTAATTATAACTTGGATTATATAACAGAGTGCTACTTCATTATCAGTGCTGCTTCCGTTTTGGCCGTAAGGGCACATCGTACATTTCTATGTACATATCGCACTGTAAACCTGGCGGTAATCGCACCGTAAATCTGGCGGTAATGCAGCAGTAATTACAAAACTGGCAGATCATTACTTTTTTTATACAAGATTTTATTTTTAGCCAGCTTGTCGGATTTTTATTTTTTGCAAGCATTGCATATTTCGGATTTCTTTTCTTCCTAAGCTTGGATATACTGATGCGGTATGTACTGTAAGATGTAGTACTGATACTTGAATATATTAGGTAGCATTCTATATCCAACTTCTTTATTAAAAGTACTGTTCTGGTCAATAAACGATGGATATATAACGAGTAGATGTTCGGAAAGTTGTCGATCTCCAAACCAGCTCCAACCTCTGAGATGGGCACTAGAATTTGCTTTTATAGCAACACCGACGTGATTACGAGGAGTCCCCTTCCTCGGGAAATCCTTTCTTCTTCAAGAGAAGAAGAGCACTCTATTAGCGGCTATGTACATGTTTTTTGCTATGCCGACTTCACAGTTCATCCAACGTATGATTCCGTTAAAGATGCGAGCATAATCTTACTGTTATACCCATGAAAGGCTGTGATTCTCGGCACAGTGGATCCTCCGTATCTGCCTCTGAAACAACAGTAAATGGTGAATAACGGGAAAGCATATAAAATACATGGTCTATCGAATTAGAAGCTATTATGTAGTAGTAGAAAAATAAATATACAATGCACGTTTAAGAAAAGGGACTGGGTGCATGAGAGGAGGAGATGACTGTGGAAAGAGATGAGGAAGAGCGTTGTCTACGTGTCAACGTGATCCACCTTTTTGACCGGCTCAAAAAGCCACCCTTTGATACCATCCAGCACTTCGTTTCCAATGATTTTGATGGCCTCCTGGTCACGTCCCACAATGCTAACAACAACACGAGCACCGTCCTTGCTTGATCCCCACTTGGGATAACTGCCAATCTTGACATGCTGATCGGTTACACGATTCTGTGTCTCTGTCAAAAAGTTGGCAATATCGCCTTCAGACATCTTTGTAGCTACTTGTACGCGATAATAGCGTCCACCTGCGCCTCGCTCTGAAGCCATGTGCTCAAACCGTGGCTTCAAATCCGCCATCAGTCGTTCAAAGAGTCGAGGGATACCAGGTAGAATGTGTATATTGTCGTTGACGACCACCACTGGCACCCATAATTCGTGCGGGCTTGTACGTAGTATCTTGGCGGGCGCAGGAAATGTCGCCATCCGCTTTCGAGCGTCAGTCAGTTTCCAGTCCTTGAATTTGACACCCATCACTTTTTGCATGGCTGTGCAGGTCTCTTCATCGACTTTGAGTGGCAAAGAGTATGCGCGAGCAATTGCTTCATAACTGATATCATCGTGTGTTGGGCCTGATTTTGTTGGTAGGAGTCGTTAGTATACTGTTGTATATTTGTGCATAACTCGAGTCGTTTGACATTAAGTTCTTTACCTATTCCACCGCTCGTAAATACGAGGTCGTGCTGGCTTGATAACCGTGTTACCGTTTGAGCAATATGATCGTAATCGTCACCAATAATCTCCACTCGTTTCAAATCAATACCACAGTCAAACAAATACTTTGCTAACGAGGTCATGGAAAGTAAAAGTCAGCGTACCATGGTTATTGTTATTGCAAAACGTTTTTATAGAAGCTGTCAGTGGGGCATACCCAAGAAGTGAGCATTAGAATCGCGTGTTTTGCCGTTCAGAATCTCGTCCCCAATGATACAACAGGCTGCTGTCACTGGCTGATTTCTTGGTGCTGTGGTACTCATAAATCGTTGTCTTATGCTTCTGTTCGAATTTAATAGTGAATCGCTGTATGTTGATCTTGCCCGTGTCGTGACTTTGGTGAATAGCGCTACTTTGTGTAAGGGAGATGGTGGTATATATGTTGAGGGTGGAGCAAAAGTGGTTGCAAGTCGCTTAATAACAAACATACTATTGTAGTAGTAGTGTGCAAATGTTCCAAATAAAATAAAAGAGAGCGTTCTTGCCCTAGCAACTTACCAAATATGGACGAGCCTTTGTCTGAGAGTTTGCGGCATTATCCATGCGAGACTGCGACAAGCTCGCAAACCGTTTCTTTCTGCATTCTTTTCTATATGCTTTCCCACAATGGCGGCTAATGCTCAAGAATTTAATATCGAAATGGTAAACTACATACACACCGTAGAGAAAGACTCGGAGATATTTGCTTTTCAATCGCTGTAAATAGGTTTTTCTTTCGATGGAACTTTTACATTAACTGAAAGGGGTGGGGGGGGGTTTTTTGGGGAACCTTCTTCATAGGCCGCAGTTCCACGGGAGCATGTCAAGGATGTTCTTCGAGGTATTTACAAATGGAATTGAAGAAATCATCTTTAACACAGCTTTAAATCAGGTTCTTGATGCTCTTTTCTCGACCTTACCTTCGAGTACCTGACCAACTTGTTCTTATATGATAATACAGCCTTACTTCACTCAATATTCTTCCATCGATTGCTTGTACACGTTACTCCTCGAGAATTTGTAGTCTTGGATACGACAGTGGTAGGTGATTTGACACGTGCTCCCACCGACTGCTTCCTCAGCTTGTTAATCAATCAATGCTTTCTCCCACTTTTTCCACATGAACGATCCACCTTTAGTCCGCAACTGATAACCGAGATGTTGAGCATCTGATCGACGAACGAGCCGCGGAGTTTGTGCAAAATATATGCTCAAGCCATGTGAAGCAGGGCAAGGTATATATCCATCACCTATTTACAAAGAATGTGTATATATGTGGGTGGATAATGAACGAATAAGCGAATGTGAGCGCAGGAGGAGGAGTGGATGATATAGTAGATAAGAACTACGGGCTGAAACGAGTGGATCAATTACCATAGATTGCGGTGCTATTTTACGAACAACGGGATAAAAAGATTTGGTTTCAACTGTCAAAAACCAAAGAGCTTGTGTGCTGGGAACGATGGGCCATAACCATGAGCCTAGCACAACCTGCAAATGATCAAGGTAAAACGCGGTATATCAGGGGACATGTCATGAAGGAGGGGATTTGGGAGGGATAACCGTGAACCATCTTTTAAGCTAACACTTTCACGATGTATATAATGCTATTTCTTATTCAACACATTTTTCAGACCGACAGAAAATACAACGATCTTTAGAAAAGCAGCTATCAAAATCCCTGCATGATATATTGAGGCTAGCAAATGATCACAAGGAACATATTCCATCTATCAAAACCATAGATGGCAATCCATTCCCATATCATGTGAGTATAACAGTATAAACAGGATGAAGGGAGAAATATGGGGGGGTGGAAAACGATAAAATAAAGCGTCTCGACTTGTCATAAAGACGGATGGGAATAATTGATCAATAACACTCTTCTCCCATTTCTGTACTCGATAGATTGCTATTTTGTCACAATCAGAATCATGGGGTGCAATGATTAAACGGTTGCTGGTCACGGATGCACCGGCCGCCAGTGGCACCGAGAGTGATACGAGCGCAACGCCATCACCTAGTTCAAGCTCTAGTATAAGAAGAGGATCGTTAGGAGTAGGCGGAGGTAGCAGCAGTGCAGGTCTGGCACGGCCTGCTCCTACAAGTAGTACCAGCAGTAGTAGCAGCACTACTGCTGCAGCTAATATTTTATCAAGGAGTCCAAGAAGAAGTGATTTAAGCTAATATAATAACAATCTTTTATCTATCATCCCATGCAATTGCAACCCCACTCTCTTAACAAATATAACTATATTAATCCTCATCGCCATCACCATCACATGTACGCACCAATTCACATTCGCACCACCACCGTCACCTCACTATTACACTTAACATCGTCACCTATTATTATTATTATTATTTATTATAGACACCGTAAAGAACTGCTTTATTTTTTTATTACATATCATACCACCTATCTTTTTTCCCTTCTTTTTGTCAGAAGCCAAGCAATTGTATGTATCATTTAAACAACAATGTCTTTTTGAAAGACTTTAAGCATTTATTTTCTAAGATATCATCAGAAGCTAACACAAGTTGGCAAGTAATGGAAAGCCTGCACTCAACAAATACGATGAAAATGATGTACGAATATCCCCTTCTAGGATTATGTAATGCGGCAGTAAACCCCTGCCGTTGATTTCATATGAGTAGTAATCTTTGTTGTTGATGTTTGTGCGATAACCCAAGAAGTTTGAAAAAGTTGAAAGATTGAAAGTTAACGGGTGTGACATTAAAGGGGATCGACTGTAAATATCAAGGCTCCTCCTCATATAATGAGATGCATATATTGATTCAATCTTATTAAAGAAACAGCTATCATATAATGGCCGTTTCTGTCTACGCAAGACCCAACGCACAAAGAATACTTACAACATACTACATCGTAAATTTGATCTTTCCGTCTATGGCTACAATCGAAGGAAAAAACCACAGGCCGAACAAATCCAGGCTCTGCCTATAGGGACAGTCTATAACATGAACAATTGATTTTCTACTAGAATCGTCAAACCCGCGCCGCTCTAATGAGGCAGTACTCTGTATGAGTTCATAAACTACATCTCCCTATCATGAAGGAAAGAAAGCGAGTATAAAAGTCCTTCTAGCAGTGAAATATGACAGGGTTTAAAAGACAAAAGAAAGTCAATTAGTGCTATGTGCGTCCAATTGCAAACAACCACTCATCCTTCGGTGCTTATTCGTGTGTTGTCCGTAATAATTCCGCGCCGTACTTTGTCAAAAAGTTTTACCCTATTTTCTATCAGTTTACTATACTCTACCATCTACAATTGTTGGTGGGGAAAAAGTTTGAAGCCGACTTTTGAGAAGGGAGACAAAGGCGAGTTAGATCCATGTATTTGCTCCTTTTCGAGTCGTCTGATCAAGGTAAAAAGTACTAAGCAGATATGAATTTGTGAGTAGACGATATCTTTGCGCCTCTATCATGTGTATGATATGATACTCGAGATAATTACTTAGCATTGATTAGATGTCGTTTGATGGATGCGTTATTTGCGTTGGCAGAATTAGCTTGGACATAGGTCAATTGTTTTAGCATGATCATGCAAGTTTAAAGTAAATTTTATATATCAGCCACGATGTGGCGCATAAGGTATGCTAAACCAAAAATCAAATGGACGACCAAGGCTTACACGAAACGCCGTCCAGCAGGCAATTGATACATGTCGTATTCGTCTAACAGTCTACGAGCGCCAACTCTCAAGGCAATGGCTCCTAACCTTTCTCTTTGTCACGGGCAAGCAAAGATCATGCTTATGCTAGGAAATATTCCAGCAATTCTTTTTCTCCTTTTTCCGATTGAACATCGCTGTGTAAGACCTATATTTACATATTACAATACTGGCAGCAATGGTTCATCATACCCTCGCTCCCTATTGTGATTGAGATTGTGGTTTAGTGACGTCTGCAACATTAACGATATCAACAGTAGAGTATTTAGAATGATACATACATATGTGGAAAAGCGTAACATAATGTATTTTTTATTGAGCGAAGTATATGAAAGAATGATGGAAAGTGTGAAATAAATATGCAGCTAGCTAGTACCAAGAACTAAGTATGAACAGAATACAAAAGAAATGAAGTGGGTGATGCAAAATTAACTTGCTGATTACGTAATGGGGGTCTTGACCATCAGGGACATGACTTCAAGCATCAAATCGGCAGCAGCCAAAGCAGTGACTTGAGCATTTGTATCATAAGGAGTTGATACCTCGACCTGAAAAGCGATCAAGTTAGTATAGATACTCCATTGTTTCAGCACTCTATATTAATAAGCATCGATCATGAAAAAATCAACACTTACAATGTCGGCACCAACAAACTTGAGGCCCTCTAAACCACGGACGATGCGCCGCAACTCACGAGTGCTCCAGCCCCCAGTCTCGGGAGTTCCAGTAGCAGGGGCGAAAGCAGGATCCAAAACATCGATATCGATGGAGAGATAGACCAGGTTATCGCCGACGCGCTCACGAATACGTTCAATAATGCCCTGGGTGCCAATTGTGTCAATGTCACGCGCCTCGACGATTTCAAAGCCCATTTCAAGATCGTTTTCATAATCACTTGGTCCGCTGAGGGTGGTACGGATACCAGCGTGGATCGACTCACCCTTCTTGAGCAAGCCTTCTTGCGAAGCGTGGTAAAAGTAAGTGCCGTGGTTGACTGCAGCCACAGCAGACTTGGAGCCACCAAAGACTTTGGGCTTCCACGTGTCAAGGTGAGAATCAAAGTGGATCACAGAAACTGGGCCGTAGGCACTGTTGATTGACCGAAGCAGGGGCAAAGTAATGGTATGGTCACCACCGAGAGTAATGACACGAGGGAACTTGGTGAAGCTGGGAGTAGCGGGAGCGTGGTGCAAAACTGCTTGATGGCCATCCTGGATCTGCTTAATAGCAAGCTCGTTATCGTAGGAGCTGTATAGTTATGAATACATTAGATTTACTAATTTTACTTTATGTGCCAGCTTTGTAGATGTGGAGAAATGAATATTTTATACCTGACAAAGATATCCGAACAGTCAACAACGCGGGCACCGGCTTGGAAGGGATTGACGTCCATAGGGACATTATAACCACCATAAAGAGCTAGTCTTCGAGAGCCATCTCTAATTCCGGCAGGGCCGAATCGAGCGCCAGGACGGTACGAGGTACCGGTATCGAAGGGAGCGCCTTTAACAAAGTTAAAGTTAGCATAATGTTCAGCTATAGAGTTCTCACAGGTTTTATCTTCTATATTTACCAATGAAAGCAATATCAAATTCGGCGGTATCGTTGCTCCAGCACTGCTCGTAGGGAAGATGAGCAAAAGTGGGGATACCAGCAAACACGGCATCGGCAGTCTTGCCACCATCGCCTTCAGGAGCACCAGGATCACCAACGGATGGGGTAGAGGATGTCTGGACGTTGTGCACAGCTTGACGATTAGGACGGATATCGTGATCGCCAAATGATTGTTGCATGGGATGTGCAAAGACCGAGTTGACAGCGGCAGCAATCAAGCCAACGGAGAGGATAATCTTGGGTACCATCTTGGCGTAGTGAAGTGCAGAAGAGCGGGAGGAAAAAGAAGAAGAAGAATGTAGGTTGGTTACTGGGGCTGGGAGAGGGTCGTTGTCTTTATACTTTTCCATTGAAGAGACAAAGGTACGAGATAACCGGGGGATGGAGGGCTTGATTTAAGTGTTTCTCGGTTTGCATTATGTAAAAAAATGTGTAAAGCGCCTGGGTTGCCTTTTCTGGTGTGATAAGATTAGACATGCGCGACTTGGTTATTTTTATGTAATATCACCACTCGCTCTCGCGTGCCATTACCACTGACGAGAGACGTGTTTATTTTCCTTTGCTGTACGTAGTAATAGAGAGAAAGAGAGATGAATCTAGTTCAAAGATTACTCTATATGCTATAGTGCTTCATGGCGTCAGTCCTGCCGCTGTAAGCTATTATGACGGTCATGGCTGCTCAATGTGCTTTGAGCGTCAATCAGGTTGTACCGACCGAGATAGTGCGGAGAGAGACGCGTCGAACCAAATTTAGTGATTTCATTAGGTAAAAGAAAAGTGATAAGCGGATTATGTTTGCGCAAGAGCGTGATTATTACAGTCAAGTGTTAAATTACTTTTTTTAAAGTTTTTTAGTTTGTAGAATAATAGATACAACGAAAGAGAGAAACATTGAAAGAGTAGGGGAAAAGATGTTTACGTGTTTTTCGCGTGTAAAGTAGTAGGGAAGAGGTTTAGAGGGGAAATAATGGCGAAAAGCAACAGTTTCTTTTTTTACATGTTTGCCTTGGCAAGATCAAACACTGCCTTAACCTTGGCCAGATAGTATGGTGCATACATCATATTGATCAAGCCTTGCAAGAACGTGAAGCTCTTGGTCAAGCTATCGATGGGGTAGTCGAGGATCGGAGGAATGGGCGTCTTGACGAAAGGAATGCGATCTACAGTGACGGCCTTGGGCACACACAAGCCGCGGAGACCTTCAACACCAGCCTATTTTACGTAAAAAGAAAGCACCACCCGGTAAATAATCGCACTCTTTTTAAGTTTAAAACCCAATGACTTTACTTACAAAGCGGCCATATCCGGAGATACCAACACCGCCAAATGGCAAGCTCTGGCACAAGTAGTTGACAGCAAAATCGTTCACGTTTGTCATACCAGTCTTGAGTTGAAGGCACATACGTTCAGCAAGCGTCTTATCAGCAGAGAACACGGACGATCCCAAGCCGTAAGGGCAAGCATTGGCAATACGAACAGCATCCTCAGGTCCATTATGCTTCATGATGACCATAATGGGTGCAAAGGCTTCTTCGTTGGCAATTTCCATATCCGGGGTCACATCCACAAGCAATGTCGGCTCAAAGTATTGGCCATGAGGATGCTTGGGATGTTGGTAGCGCTTACCACCCTTCAACAAACGAGCACCGCGCGACACAGCCTCTTGAACAAGTCCTTCCAGTTTCTCAAACTATTTGTAATTTTCCAATGGCACCGAAACATTATAGTCAACATACATTCATGCCCATCGTTCAGCAAGAAGCCCTCCATATCTGAGTCTGTATATTACCTGTGTACCCATTGTCTGTGCACCACAGTCGACGCCTTCACCATCAGCCAATACAGAGCCCTGACGAAGTCCCGAGATACGCTTCTCCATTTCTGCGATGACCTTGTCATAGATTTCAGCAGCAATGATAATACGTTCGATACCAATACAGTTCTGACCGCAGTTCTGGAAAACACCGCGCATCAGCACTGGAATAGCCTGGTTGAGATCCGTATCCTTGAGCAAAATGGCACAGTCTTTGCCACCCAATTCGAGCAGACAGGGTACCAGAGAGTCGACAGCATTGCGTTGCACGAGCTTGCCAACACCAGGCGAGCCAATGAAAGTGACATGGTTCACACCGGATCGAACTATAGCCTCACCGACGTCAGCGAAACCAGTAATGAATTGAACGAGATCGGGGTCGTGGCCGTGCTCAGCCAAGCAGGTCTGAACAATACGCTGGTAGTACTGTGTCGACCAGGCAACATATTCGGATGCTTTGACAATGATGGCATTACCAGACATCAAAGCAGAAATCACGGGACCCAATGCATTATGGAACCTGGATATAGTAAAATCAAAATCGTCTAGAGCGTTAAATTACTTTGATTTGGTACTTTTACGGGTTTAAATAGACGGAAGCTTACGGATAGTTCCAGCTGACAAGAGCAGCAACAACTCCCATGGGTTGATACACAATTTTGGCATGCTTGTACATCATCATCAATCCAGGATCACGGTATTCAGGCGAAAGAACGGCTTCACCGTTGTCAATAGTCCAGCGTAATTTGGCACAGGTCGTAATGACTTCACCAAGCGAGGCATCCACCACTATAATTCATACACGAAACACCCAATGAGTAATCAAATTGTAGCCATCCCCATCCCAGCTTAAATCGTGATAAGCGACAGCAGTAAACCTACTCGTCTTGCCAGTGTCTCTGCATCCAACGCGGCAAATATCTTCTTGATTTTCGAGCACAAAATCCAATAAGCTTCGCAAGACAGCACGTCGTTGTTCAAACGTAGTCTTTGTCCATTTTTGTTGGGCACTACGGGCACGTTCATAAGCCTCTCCGACTTGCTTGACCGTAGGCGAGGGAATATTACCCATGTGGTAGCCAGTGGCAGGGTCATAGCACACAATCTCACCCGGGTTGTGAGGGTCCTAATAGGGTACAATCAATCCGCGAGTCAGTATTAATGAGTTTCCTATTTCTCAGCGTCGGGCCGTTTAATCTTTGCCAAAGCTTACGCGAATAGAGGGGTTTTCAAGAACTGGGCCTTTCCAGGATGGATGAGCAGCTAATAGCAATAATACGCGGTTAACGTGGTACCGCCTTTATATTGACATTCTGCTTTCCGAGGTACACATACCAGCAGGTGGCTCAACCTTGAACTGCTTCGTTTTTGGTTGCGAAATCCACGAGAGCATGAGCCAGCTCACCAATGCACCAAAACCAATGGTGGCCCATTGCGTGATGGTTAATTCGGACAAATTTAGCGAGTCCATCCGAGAAACTTGAAGACACACAGACACGCTTGTTCGGCCCGGTGTTCCTTACCAAAACTTCAATTTTGAGCGGCGTTCGAACGTACAAAGTGCTCTGTTCCCTTTTGTATGAGCCGGGTGGAGGCTGAAATTTTATTGGTTGGTCACACGTTCAAGGAAGTGGCGTGCCAAAATGAAACGCATAAAGGAAGCAACAAGAATAGTGAAAAAAAGTACAAATTAAGATATATGAGCCATTATTCATCCACAGAAATCTGAGGATGTAGTTGGTGGTAGAGGTGGAGGGCAGACTGGGCAACGATGGCCGGGTCAAAGGGGATGCGGTCGAAAACCAGCTGCCAGTATGCGCGCCAAAGAGCAAGAAGCGTACGTACTCTGGACGGCGGAGATGTGTGGGGTGAGTGTGGAGGGAGGAGCAAGGCACCAATTGAGCTCTGTGATGAACTGTGAAAGGCCCAGGGCTGTTGGTCCGACGTAAAAGAGAACACTCCAAACCTGTGTCCATACCTGCCAGCGCGGTGGACAGGTGATGAGAAAATGCGGGATTGTGTCGAATGCTCTGTTTCCTGCTAAAGTATTTCCATTTACCCTGAGTTGTACCAATAGCGCCTTCAATATCTGATATAATGAAATCGCTCTCCATGAAATCTCTACTTCGGATCTCTTGGTTGGCCGAAGAGCGTGGAGAAATGTACACTCTGTCCACCAAGGACCTCGCTTTAAGTTTTTGCACCGTTTGTCGCAAGAGACGGACTCGTGTTGGATGATCATCGTCTGTTACAGACTTGCGGCAGTAACCAACGATGGTATGGTTATCTTGTTTCATCTGTTTGATTTGTTGTCGAAATTTTGGTATGTACGTCTTGATGGATTCGGCTACAATGCCTATAGGACATATGTCTATGAGCATCACTTTCTTCAACAACCAGATAATTTCGCATCTTACCGTGATAAGCTTCCTCAAGCACGTATAAAGTACGATACCGGACTCTTTGGCGACCAGGTCCTTCCGTACTTTCTCGTCGGATAGTCTCAGATTTGCAAAGGCTCAGATTGTTTCTGCTGCACCATTGTGCAAATCCCAATGAGGATTTCTCGTCGAAAAACGTGCTGAATGGTGATATTGCTGCTTGAACCCCATCCATCGTTACCGATTTTCTGGTATATAATTCGTTCATTGGGTTTTCGGCAAGCTAGGCTATTTAGAGGAAGTAAAAGTCGTAACAAGGTTTCCGTAGGTGAACCTGCGGAAGGATCATCATCAATCGAAGGTTGGTAACGAAAACCTCGTTGAAGAACTTCTTGGCCATTGATTCGGAAGCTATTAAAATGACAGAACTCTTATAAGGGCATTTTCACCAACACAGAAAAAAATACTGTATAGTATTTACAGCACATACTTACTTAACACAGGGTTAGCATTTTCGCTTGCTGTGGCTGCTTCTGAGACTTGATCCTGATATTCGTGATATCTGAAAGGATTCGACAACAAAGTTCTTTTGGGTATCAATACTGGATCTGTTGGATCCTGGCTATAGCAGAGCACCAGGTCCCGCACAAGCTCCAGGTTTTTATTGCTCTAAGCATAAAGACACAGAAATATATCACCGATAAGGGTGGAGGATATACGTACGACGTCTGTATCAACTTTTTGTGTCCGTTGGCATACCCGAGGTGGCAATAAGAAAGCTCCTGGAGATGTAAGACCATTTGCAAGAGAGAAACGCACTATGCGCATGACTTTGCCTGCGTGTCTGCTTTGAGCCAGTCATGTGTGGCCGTATACAACTCGTATTCAACAAGCGCTTTTGGCTGTTGAAACGATGTCTGTATTTCAACGGACCTTGCGAGACCAAACAGACATGATACAGAGGAAAAGGAAAAGACAAGGGGACAAAGGAAAATGCAGGGGTTTAGAAGATATTCCTGCCCCGGCAGTCAGAAGGTCATATGGTTTTGTTTTGCCTCCCTTTTTATTCATTGTTTTTTGGCAGCAAGTTCGGTACATAGCTCTATAATCTTTGCACAGTTTTTGATACCCTTCTTCAGGCGTATCCAGAGTCCCGACTTTAGCTCCTGGCCAACACCCACGACAACGATGTCGATGCTGTTGACAACACCCGCGACGGCCACCTGATCACCGACTTGGCCGAAACTCTTAATTGTCCGGTGCAATTTTCCAGAGCAGCTCGAATTCATCCCACGAAGCTGTCTCGATCTCTCCGTCGCTCTCGCCATGCGATGGAGTACACTGGCTTTTTTCCGTTCAATATCCCACAATGAAATGGCGCTACGTAAGAAGAAAGTCACGGCGGTTCGAAATTAATGTACATCGAATAAGGGAACATGACCTCATCAATTCATAAGAGTTACAAGAGACATACCGCCATCATCGCCTGCTGAATACTTCAAATACGTAAAATCAGTCCTGATAATTCACGTCGAATTGATCCATTTGTAAAGTACAAAGGCGGTTCTTTACTGCCAACAATCCCAAGTTGACTTCGTCAAGTCACAGCTCAAGTTGAACTGTTTAACCGAATCGCAGCAGCAGCAGCAGCAGCAACATCGGTGGACCCTGAAAGAAACTAAACATATCTCACAACATTGACAGGTGTATATGCTGCTTCCATTAGATGATATTGAGTGAAAATTGATATATAAATTGCAATTTTTGCGAGCGAGATTCCGCGTTCACAAATCTGTTAAGCAGACTCCATCCCTAACTATGGCACCTTAACCAGATACTAACTAGTGAGCGCACGGCTGATATTTAACTATATATCGGTATGATATACCTAGGCTCCTATAGTAGCCTTGTCATATAACTGTTCCTCTTGTTGTCCCTTTTTGCTAATGTGCGACAGATACAAATAAAAGAATACTATATCAAAAGTACGATCTGTTTTACAAACCAAAATAAATGTTACACTCTTGTGTATATGCGCTTTGGATGCTCACACTATGCATAGCCTTTGTTTGGATTGCCAACCGCACCGGCAGGTTTGTCAGAAACAGAATAAAGACATTGAATTTCTACCTCTCACTTTCTATTTAAATTTTCAAGTGTTGTTTTCAATCACTCAAGACCTAACACGGCTTGTTTTATCTTACGTAATGTTTATTGCTCATAACTGAAGCTAAACAAACACTTCTATTAAGACCAGACGTAACATTCCTGCTCTTATTTCTCATTTACTTGGACAGACGTAGCATTCCTGATCCTTATTTCTCATTCATCTTGGACAGACGTAACATCCCTGATACTTATATATTTCTACTCACTGAGCTTAATCAAGACAACAGCTCACCACTATTTACAACCTTGGACATAACCCATACACATTTCTATGATGCTTTACTTTACACTCATATCACTTCACAACCCGTCTGTAATAAACGATATTATTACTGGTGCTCACTACAAAACATGCACACAAACCGTTACGTAACTACCTACCCCAAACTCACTGTAACAATAGTATGTAGTAATATGCAGAATGCAGTATAGTGTTATATTATACTTTTAGAAATATCAAACAAATTACAATTTCCCCATCGAACATTTTTATACCTTTCTTTCATTGGATATTATCAGAGTCATCTGTTTTAAGATAGCAATTTGATTACATACAGCCAAAACGCCTATTGTTGAATACTAGCGATTCTATTGGAAGCTATAGTTGTTGATATCATTATTTTATTTGAAAAGGTGAATTGTTAAGTTTCGACAACTCAACATTTCGATACCTATCCTGATGTAACGCAGATATCAAAATTTGATTCCTTCTTCTTGGTACTCAAAACTCAATACGATATCATCTGTCATATCCAATAAACCAAAAGAGACAGAATAAGTCAATAAGACCTGAATCGCTAAAAAGAAAAGTGGGGTTATTATCAATTGATGAAGTCTCAGATGTTAAAAACCATATATTTTAGGCACTTTATCAATCTCTTATAAAAATTATTTTGATATTTTGATATTTTGAACTTTTTCAATTTTCTTTTCATTAATATATCGAATTATATTTTTATAAAAGTTTCTATATAAATGAAAATGATCATTCTTTATTATTGAATTTTTGTTTGAATGTTTATTTTATCATTTTTTTCATTAAAGCTATTCTCTTTGTCAATACTTCTATTATCTTCTCTATTTTTTTCGATTCATGTTTATTGTTGTTACTATTATTATAGTAATTTTGAAAAATGTTATAAGAAGAACATTTACTTTAGTGATAAAATCAAGTATAAAATCTTGAGGTCCGCCAAAGTCCACCTGGGTCCACCATTTTTTGAAATCCCGATAGCAGGACCACAGTGATATCCAGCGATATCATTGGTTATACCGAATGATATCTGCGAATATCAATTGTTGGGGACCGTTTTTATAAGTAGAGCTGTGGACCTGCTTGTTATTAATAAAAGAAGAGCTTGGTATCTTTAGAATAATTACGGAAAACCTTCAAAATGCTTTAAATGAACCGGGCATTGATTCCATGTATTCAAGGAAAGGTTAATGTCATCCGAGATTGCAGAATAAGTTTTCTAAATCGTGCTGTTCTTAATGATTGAGCTGCTCTAGGTCGTGTAATTTGTATCATGCTAGCTACATACAGCAACTGTACCACTCAAAGAGCCTACATTTTAGTGATCTCTCCAATACTTTCAATGTTAGATGACAGTGATATGGATGCCATGGTGTTAGCAAAACTACTACACTCTAACATACACATAGATCCAACATCAGTGTCTACACTTCAGACTAACCCTATCTTTCTTCTGTCTCGTCAGGTACCTTGTTGATAGCTTTCAAAAAGCATTAGTATAGATGGCACATTGATTCAGTGGATTGGACGGTATACGCTGTTCTATCTATGCTTGAGATATTAAAAATGTTTTCTCTCCTTTCCTGTACTTTGAACATGTAACAGACACTAGGTAGAGATAGTTAGTGTTGTTTTGTGTAGGAACATGTCATATCTTGTTCCTTTCTTTGCCTGACTGATGAATAACAGCAACTTATTGCTGCCATTGCAACGATTATAAAACCACTTTGTAACCGCTATCGACCGATGAACTAACTATAAGCAGTTCTAATGACTATCATCCTTCCTTGATAACTGCTCAAGATTTATGTATTCACAATGCATTTTGACAGCGGAAGGTGCGAAAAACCAGCGCAACATCTGCAGCAGTACGAACATATTTGGAGAGAAAAACTAGTCTACATCGCCTTCATTCAAACAACATATTCCTGTTTCCAGTAATACATTATCGCCATGCTGCTAACCATGTATCGTTCGTGGTATACACAGTCGTCTCGAGTGTCCATTGTTAAATTACTAAAATTAGAGCCATATCCAGTACTGCGTGTATATATATAATCTAATTCCTACATCTTAAGTTCTGCATCAAGTGCAGCTGATTTATCAAATGCTTCAGAAAACGTACTATAATAAGCATTCCCTATTCCAAACCATTGACAATAATCATTTTTAGGACAGGCCTCGTGAGCCCACAAAACAAAAGTTATATATTCTTTGAAAAAAAATGGGGCCAAACAAGGCCACGGAACAAGCAAAAGTTAAAAAGAAAAAAAAAGCGAGGCAAAAACCATCATGGCCAGCAGACCACAACATGAAAGTAATACAATAAAAAAAATATGGCCAAGCAAGGCCAATGTTAGAAAGTTGAAAAAAAGCGTGTCAAAGGGAAAGCTAGCGAGTGAAAAAAAGAAAAAGATGGTGAAATGAATATACAAAAAGTTTAAAGTGTATCAAAAAAACATAAGTCTTTCGATAGTGAATCTAATGAGGTAATGCCGACAGCGAGATAGTGTCTATGTATAGTGTCCAACGCTTCTGGTACTCTTTCTCGTATTCCTTTTCTTTCGATATAATCTTGAACTTTCCGAATAATCGCTCGTGTTCTACGAAACCATTTGCCGTCTGAATCACTGTTTCGCCATGCAGTTTTGTACACTTCTTCCATTCTAATCACAGACATGCCGCCATTCCAACCGTCAAACCATTCATTCCATAATTGTGGGATTGTTTGGACGTTTGTGCGGTTCATGGATGGATATATGGGCTGTTGTTGTTGGGGGTGATGATGATGGTGATGATGATGGTGATGAGTTGGTGCTGATGCTGCTGACGATGATGATGACGATGTTGGTGCTGGTGCTGCTGACGACGACGACGAAGATGATGATGGCGCTGGTGCTGCT